CCCTCGCTGTGTCATCAAACTTCCACACGTCGTGTCCTCGCCTTCGTCGCTGGGACACTTCTCGCGAGGTGCACTTTCATTATGGCGAGTGAGGAGGTTTTCCTGTGAACAACCGGAGTGTTGACCTCATCGTTCCTTATTATTCAAGGTATGCATGGTCACTCTAAGTAGGCAACCGTGAGGGCTTCGTTCAAGCCTGACTGGCAACAGTGAGCATGCTTGAGCCCTCCGGTGGTTCCAGTTGATCCCGCGAGAACATCGAGACGGTCTATAGAGTGGGCGCAATATGCGTGTCGGGTATCAAAACACCCTAACGAATCGGCCTCTCACAACAAAATTTGGAATCTGCTCATGTGGCGGCACTAAATCGCCGCGACGAGACGGTATCACAGTCTCTCCCTTCCAACCTCGCGGAGCCACAACCGCGCTCCCGAACAAGCAACCAAAGCGACCGACGGGCTGTTATTAGCCTCGCAAAATTCCCGGCCCAGCCCTTCCAGATGCGCAGCACGCTCAGCCGGCTCGGCTCGTCTGCGTCACAGCGGGCAAACTAAGGTGCTGCTGTTCGGCGTGGGCGTCGCGTGCGGACGGGCGGGAGGGAGGGAGGATAGAACATTCAGGACCAGTGAAGCGAAACATCACACAAGGCTGGTCTGCGGTCGGCACACAAGCGCCCCTCCTCCCTGCCTCCCACCTGCCAACCCCATCTTCCTTTTGCGTAACGAGGTGGGCTGCAGAGAGGGCAGGATGTGCCGCGCGTGCGTGTACGACAGCCAGCCGGTTGGGTGGAACCGAGCCGGACAATTCGAGACCGAGGAGACTGACTGTGAGAAGCTGAACACCCGTTTAATTTCGCCATAGATTTTTGGCGTGTATATCGAGGCCCTGTCGAAATGAAGAACCGGAAATTTTTGAGACCTTAATAAATCTCGTGTCGATGACCGCTGCTTTGCCATCCTGCGATGGTGAGCGTCGTGTTCCATAATGTGTCATCAACTTGACCGACACTTGCTAAGACAAGAGACGCTGGGAGTCACCGGACTGTCCCTCGTGATTCCTCACATCTCACTGTCGTTGCTTCCCAAGCCTCTCGTCTTGGCCACGACATTGGACCCAACCTCCTGTGGGATCGCCGTTCTGGTATAAGCCATTCTGGGGCAACCTACCACGGAACAACCCGCTGTTGGACAACCCATCATGGGATAAACCCTTATGAGACAGCCTCATTCGGGGACAACCTGCTAGCTCCCCGAAGGCTTGGCCGGAGATGATTGCTGTGTCGATGCTGAGCTATTGGTTGGAAGCCAGCAGTCTCAAACGGGCGAATTCCGTGGGGTCTCTGGCATTTGAGATTCAATAGACCACGAAGCATATGCACTTGCACTGGCAATGGCTGAAGCCTCACCCACGTCCGCGGCAGTTGCCTCCAATTGGAATTCAAGTCAACGGGCGCCACTGAGTACAACCTTCCTCGCTCGACGCCCAGTCAGTTATTATAACGACTCTACTCACAATTGAGTGCACAGATAGTACGCCCAGCACGCCGAAAAGCAAAAGCAAGAAGTCACTTGGGCTCCAAAGATGTAATACATATCACATCTTCGGGACTTTTGCTAGTGTTCAGATCTGAGTCGATTTACCAGATGACTGCGAGACGTGCAGCAGATTGTCCCAGATGAAATGGCGAAGCGAAATGGAGCTCCCAAACTCGGTGAAAAAAAAAGAATCAGTATGTAGCCTGACTATGAACGCGCTTGAGAAAAGAAGAAAAAAAATTAAGGGCTAACTAAGCTGCCAAAGTGCCGCTGGACGCAACACGTTAGCGTCGCGAGTGGCTTGCACCGTCCGTGGGCGATGATCGTTCTCAGCTTGAATCACTCCGCGTCCCTGACTGCCATGCTCGAGGGAATTCCCACGGTAACCGGCCGTGGAAAGACACGTCCATTCTCCTTCGCGGCGATCACCAGACCGACGACGGGTCGTTCAAGGACGGGCAAGCCGGGCCTTGTCGCCGCTGCCTCGGCGACACCTCTGATACCTTAGTTTAGAATCATGCAAGAACTTGCTGAAACGGGATTCAGCTGAGACCAAGCTTTGATGAAACAATTCCGGTCCATCGTAGAAATATGTTTCGACTAGCACCGCTTGGTATTTTGTCTGACGTCGCGGTCTTTTGCCACTTGGGCGCGGACATCATAAACCTTGGGCTGGCAGCTGCACGGTCCTGAATTGACAGACGTCGCGGTTGTGGAGAGCCGCATCCTGATGGTTGCATCATGCTAGTGTGCTGCCGAAAAGACGCGCCCAGACAGTCCTTATTCTCCGAGGCTGGGGTGACTGATAATTAGACGAGGGTCGGGCTTTGCCCTCTGCTCGGAATCGGCAGTGAAGGGCACGTGAAGGGCACCCATACGAAGGCCACGACATGTGGAAGATGACAGGACTTTCCCGTCCATCCTCTATGCAGCGTACCGAATTCAGAAAGGGTCGAAACCCAACTGAGGATCAACAAGCATGAAATGGCATGACATACATGGCCTGACATGGATAGGCATGCCCCGCGTGGCCCCGTAAGGGATGCCGAAGACTTCGAGAAGGCCGCGTCTAGCGACAGCGGGACTCTCACTCAGCCTGTCAGCCGCGCATTGAGTCTCATCACACACTCGGATATCAGCCACGAGGGGCATCAAAGTCAGATCTGGCCACGATGGGGTCCCGCCCATCAATCGCCGAGGCCGAAGCAAGCAACCTTGGGCATGATGACTCGGTCCGGGAGGTCTGAAAGGGGAAGAGAGAGAGTTACACTTTCATCAAGCCAATTCTTTTGCTCTAGCTCGGATGGAACAGCTGAGCCAGGGGATTGATTGATGGGGGGAGGCTGTGCGGCCCACCGCGTAGCAGTCAATCTAACGATCAAACGATCAACCAGTCAACCAGTCACTCAGTCCAATATCACGGGCAGACATTTGAGGGAGGATACAGTTGATGCCGCGTTCAGACCTCTCCTGGCAGGGCACTAGCGCAGACCTTGTGTGCGCAGTGGCTTTGTGCCAGGCTTTCTGGCAGAGCTTGTCCCCCTCAGCCTGAGTCCGTGAACATGTTTTTGCTCTTGTCCCGGGCGAAAACCTTGGGTAGAGAGGGTTTGGCTGGGGCCCTTGGCGACCGAGTCACCAGGCCAGATCAGCCCCAGACCAGGAGACACGACAGCAGGCAGTATCACGAACACACGACAGGGCGGTGGAAGGAGTGCAGGACTGCTGGAAATGAGTCGACGCGTCGGCGGTGCTGAAAACAGATGTCAAGTCCAGTCAGTCGGTCATGCGCCGGCTGGCTGGCTGATGGGGGCCCCGTCCGTTCTTCTATTTTTGTTGAACAGAGAAAAATAAGAGGTCCATTTTTGAAATTTTACCCTTGTTTCTCGCGCAGGAGCCAGCAGGAGGCAGGCGATCGTTCCACAGGTGCTCGGACCGGGGTAGATCCCTGGTGTCCTTGGTCTTTTGGTCTCTCGGGCCCCAGGTATGGGCCTCTTCGCATCCATGTCGAGCCACGCGGGCTTGCGAGGGAGGTGGTGTGAGTTGTGTGAGATGATGACCGGCCGCAAAACCAATGCAGGCGGCGACGACGACAACAAACCAACAAGCTAAGGGGGAGTCAACTCAACCAGTCAATTGGGCTGGCTGGGAAAAAAAAACAAAAGGCGATAAATAGATACTAAATACTTTGTACTATGTATGTGCTAAGTGTAGGTGCATGGGAACTAAGACCCAGACCGTCGGCGTCAGGATGACTCTGCATCTCGATTCCCTCCGCTCCTTCAGCCTCACAGGAATCCTGCCGGCAATCCATGGCTCCATAGCGACCGCGCTCACCTCACATCGTCTCGCAGTAGTTAGTCTATTGTTGTTCTCTGATCTGCCGGGGGCACACGGGGGGCACACGGGGGGTGTTTGGCTACGGTAGTATTGTGTGCGTGGTGCGTGTGCAGACTGATGCTAAGAATTGCCATCCGCTGCTATTACCATTTCCACGCAGTCTGCATGAACCCCGTGATGACGGTTGATTTGCCCGCCTGAGTAATCTCTGCCAAACCTGGACACACAGCATGTCGACTGTCGCGGCCGACGCAGGCTCACGCCCGCAAAAATACAGACACGCATGGCACTGCGCAGCACAACACGACATTCCCCCAGGGGCGTGGGTGGATCCTGAAACGCACGAACGATGACCAGGGGGTGGGCAAGCCCATCTTTTAGGTTTAGCGCTTCGCCGCTTCTCGAAGCCCTCTATTCTCCGCACTGCAATTCCTTGTCCATCTCTGCCTTCTCTGCCTTGTCTTTTCCTCCTCCCTGCTCCCCCTGCCTTGCATTGCATTGGCACTGGTACCCCATCCCTCCATCCATCTCCCTCACTACCGCACCTGCATCGCACCGCTCGCAGCCACAACACGACCACAACCGGCTTGGCCGACTGCTTTGCGGCGACATCCTCGTTTGAAGCTGCATCGATCCCGAAGCATCACCTACCACCCTGCCCATTGCCCTGCCCTGCCTGGCCCTGCCCTGCCTTGCCTTGCTCACGTCCCAGCGCCTTCGATCTGACACCGGACCCGTCCATCAAGCCAGATCCCCCCCCTGCCCACAGATACAGATACAAGCACGCTTCGTGTGTACCACACCCTCTTCACACCTCCTGATTGGGCTCTACGCTACCTCTGTTGCTTACCGCTCGAGGAAACTAGAAACGTGGGAGTCATTTGACCTTCGCCCTCGTCGGTTCCGCTCCGCTTTCCCAAAACTACGGTCCCTGGGGCATCCCGGGCCCATCCTGACTGGAAACTGAGCCCTGCGCCCCCTTGTCAGGCCTTGTCTTCTAACGTTACCACACACAACCCGACCTCACCTCACCCGGCCTTGCCTTACCTTACCTTTCCTCTTCCTGTCTATTTATATTTTAGCCCGGCCGCCCGCTCCCAAGCTCGCGCCTGCCCCCTTCTGCCCATCATGTCCAAAACTGCTGCCCAAGAGGAATTCGACGACTTCATCGCCAAAAACTCCACCGGCCCTGACGATAACATCCACCCTGAGGACAGAGAGGAAGTTGCCCGCGAGCGAGATCTCCACGCGAGAGACAACAGTGACGACGAGGAAGAAGAATACCGCGCCGCAAAGGTCGACGCCGCCATGCGCATGTCCACTTATGATACCCGCTCCACGGCGGAGCTGATGCTGCCGCCCGCGAGCTTCGACTCGGGCCGGGCCACCGGCGTCAAGGGCGTCATTGCCGACGCGAGGAATTATGAGAACGCCAGGAGGTCCAAGTGGAGCGAGAAGATGAGGAACGCGAGGAGGAGTGTCATCGAGTTCGCCTCAGTGAAATCAAGTTCGGACAAGAGCGATTCAGAGCAGAGCGGAGCCGAGGACGAGGAGTCGTTCCTGAAGCAATGGCGGGAGTCAAGGCGGCGAGAGCTCGAGTCCCAGGACAGATCTACCATCCGGAACAGGAGAACGAGCCCCAGCTCGCGCATCTACGGGCGCTTCGAGGAGGTCGACGCCATGGGATACCTAGACGCCATTGAGAAGGTGTCAAGGGAAACGACTGTAGTCGTCTTCGTTTACGACCACGAGGTTCGTGGATTCCTTGCCCACCCTGACCGTCCATTCAATGGCTAACCAGCACGCACAGTCGGATGTGTCTTCTATGATAGAGTCTGCCATGATGCCTCTGGTGCGCACAAATCAGGCAATTCGCTTCGTCAAAGTACATTACGAGGAGATCGAGTTCGACCAGGCTGGAGTCCCAGCAGTACTGGCGTATCGAAACCAAGGAGACCTATTTGCCAACCTGACTGCCCTCATCGACATGATCCCCGACGACGAGGATTTCGACAGCGACGCGCTCAAAAAATTATTCCAAGAACATCGCATTATCTGAAGCGATAATTACACCGACATGACGCATTTAAACAGCAACACCAAGCGGCTCGACAAGGAGCCGTTTGGTCTTGCCTGGCCTATCTCGTGGTTCCCCTGAGACCAGCGATAGCCTCTCAGACGAGGGACCGGCGGCATCATATTTTCGCTCCGGCCCTCATCAGGACTGCCATTCAGCTCACCTACCATCTAATGAAGCGCTCTGTATATTGTTCATTTTCTTGTATGATTGGGATGATCTCAACGACACGGCAGCCGGTCTGGCACCTCGCATTGTTGACGAGAAGCTGCGTGAAAGGCACGGGATCCCGTCGGCCTTGTTCCGCCAGAGCTTTGATGACGGCTCGGCAAGGGCTGCATGCGGGCGCGATGCCGAACAGCGTATAATCCCTAGGGTCTACATGGGCGGGCGTGGATGCTATGACATGGGATGCATTGATCAAAGTTGGGAGTTGTGCGCGTGCTTTTGGCCTGCTTGCATAGGCTTCTGGGACCGGCGATGGCGTTTCTATGGACCCAAACGAGGCTCAGACATAAAAGTCCGAGAACGGAGAGGATCAGGTTGAATTCTGAGGATAGAAGCTTTACAAGCTATCAATGAGAGTGATGTTTGGAAGAATTTTCTTCACTGCCAAATCAGGAGAATGGATGAGCGACGAAAAGCATCACAAAAGGTTCCAGGAAAATATATCCCCCTAGCGGTAGTAGTTGCGAGAGTTTGTGGTTTTTAAAGAAAGTTAGCACCTAAATGGGAAGCAATTCTTACTATGTCTGCAGTACGCAAAAGGCTGTCTTATGTGAGTTTTGTAATGTAGCTTACTCTTCTGCGGGAGATATTCGAAAGAAGGGTCCGTAGTCTGCAATCTAACGACCCGGGCAGTCAGTCGTACTGGCCAGTTGACGTCAATTGACGACCTGGCCAGAAGTGAAGAAGTGGTCCCCACCAACATGGGCCGTGCCTGCCCGGGTGTTCGTAAGGGTGCAAGTCTGATACGGGGGACGGGGACGATAAGGCGTGGGGTAGGTTGGTTGTTAATTGATACCATTGCTGGTGTGGATACTTGGAATCGCCATCAGCTGCCAAAGTGCCCCGCCGTCCCAAGCTCACTTATGAGCTAGATCACATCACTCGGGGGCGACCAGACCAAAAGGGACTTGTTGGGATGCCTAGGCAGCGTCGGGTCACGAGGGGGACTTGAGAGATGTGTATCTCGTTAGGGAAGCTGGAATAATTTGGGTGCTCATAGCGCCCACGAACAGGTCGAGCAGCGCGGTCCTGCAACCACTTAAACCCACCTGTCTGAGCGGGCGGGACTTTGGCCCTGGGGTACTTGACCTGCACTTACACGTGTAGACCACTGGCACTGGCATCTACCTACCGCTCCTTTCCCACCTGGGCATCCACCCAAGTACCTAGGCAACCTACCTACCTGCCTGCCTGGAAAGCAGGTGCCTTTTCGGCTTCCACCCATCATCTCACTGGAAGTCGGTCAGTCAGTTCCCGACCTTCGTCAGGCTCATTCTCCTTCTCTGGACGGCAATACCCACATCTCCTCATGTTTCGTTGCCATTTAACGAGCCTACATACCGACCTTGCCTTGTGCATCATCGCCTAGCGAGGCAGACGACCCAACCGAGAAGAGCCATACCACACGGGTGCGCGACCTTCTTTATCTCAGCTGGATGCTTTCCCCACCTCGCCCTGCCTCGACTACACCAGGCAGCACCGGCAAGGCGACAAGGGCCATTCACCCCCAAACCACCAAAGCCCAACCTTTAGGTGTGGACAAGAGTTCTACAGTCAGTCTTCGATTTCCTCGTTGGCCCTCGGCTTTGTTTTCATCTCACTCTTCCACTCGCACCTGTCTCCCCTTTTGGTCTGATCGGTCATTTGCTGCGTTGGGGCCTCGTCTTAGTCCGCTGTCATCCATCCAAGCCCCTCATCCCCCACCCTCCCACCAACTACGGGTCACTACACCGCAGACTATCAGATAGCCTCTGATCTAAGACCACAAGTTCCTATACCGCCTCACCCCTTTGCCTGGTCAACCTCTCCGTCTTCAAAAGGCCTGAGTCGCGGAGGCATGACGTGAACTATCCAAGGCTAACCAACTCCCTCCGTTATGGAAGTGCAGACCAGACTTGACAGCTCTCCTGACGGCTCTCCTGTTGTCTCTACTTCGACACAGCCGACATCTGACACCTCAGTCTCGAAGTCGGTACCAACTTTACGATTTCCTAGGCCACAGGGCAACCAGAGACTTGCGAACTGGGTTTCATCCAGCTCTCCCGACATCATGGCCTCACCACATCCCGGTGACGACGACTGCAGTCTGTCCGATTCCACCTACGAGATTATTCCCCGCGACAGCACAGACGAAGGCAGCCTGGATGGCCACACAGACTCCATATCTGAGTCTTTCTCTGAGCTCGACAGGTATCCAAATGTCGAAGAGGTCCAGGTTCTCCCACATGGTTTGGACGCCATGAGCAACAGTGTAGGAAGTGCCTTTGAATCTGACTCTGAGCCCGATGACGACGCCTCTCCTGAAGACGCCCCCCTCTCCGGGCAGGAGGAGCGCGCTGCCCACTCCTATCACGATGCAGACGAATTATTACGCAGCTCTTTCACCCAAGCCTCTATCCCCCGGCCGTTTCCACCAACATCGACGGGCTCCATCGAATTCAGTGAGCCAGAGGATGTTGACGTACACATCGACAAGATTTCTGTGAAGCATACCATCAGGGAGTTCACTGAAGAGGAGGCTACACATCTTCTTCACAGCCTGGATTTGACTGACGTACCTAATCGCCTTTGCGCCACTATCCGGCAGACGATGTCCCAGAGGTGTCTGTCAACCCACGAGGCGTTTCGGGTTTTGTATCTCGGCAACGAGAGCATGAAGGGCGAGATAATACTCAAGATTTCTCGTGCCATCACTTGCTCGTCGTCGGTCGACTACAACGAGAACAAGGTGCTCCGCAGAAATACCGAGGGCGTCTACAACATAGTGCCTGTGACATTCGGTGCTGTCAAGGACCGGGACGTCGAGCTTATGGAGGCGTCGGCCTTCCAAATCAAAGTCGACACCTGTGTTGATGCAGACAAGATCCCTATTGAGGGAGCCTTCTTCAGTGACGACATCGTTTACTCTCTAACAGTCGACGGAGGCAATGGCGGCAAGAAGTACAAGTCAGTCCCTGCTGGTGGCCCAGAGGGAGCTCAAGTCCAGCCCGCATGGAGCCTCCCTCACGTGGCTGTGATCTACTGCTGCGATTTTGATGATGCGGAGATGAGAAGCACTCAGCAGGTGACTTGGGAGTTCTGCAAACGCCATGCCATTCCCTGTCTCTACATTTCAGACCACTCGGCTTTGGTGAGCCCTGTCGTAGGACGGTGGCGGAACTATACAAACGAGCACGCTGTTCACCTCTCACTCGAGTCCAGAGAGGCCAAATCCAGGGAATCGGGCTGGTCTGAGCAAAGGTTCCCCATTGATTTGACCTCATTCCTTAATATCGACAACCGCCAGATGAATCAGAACCTCGCCTACTTGACAGGTCTTCAAGAGCCACCTGCGGTCGCTGATGAGAAGGTGCAAAGTACCGCCTCCCTGGGCAGTGGTCAAAGAGACATACCAGACCAGGAATCGAAGGAATGGAAGGCTTATGCCGAAAAGTTCTTGGAGCCTTACCTCCAGCTCATGGAGGACTATCGCTACTTCTCCCTCCTCTGCTCCGTGGCTCTGCTCCTGCTGGTTGCTGTATCTGCCTGGCTCATCAATGTCATCACTCCTACTCCGATCAGCAACCCAGCTGGATACTCGGGGGTGAATGTCCTTCTAGAAACACCAGCAGGAATAACAACAGCAACTGCAACAGTCACTGTCAGCCACACTTCGACGAAAACCGTCAAGCTTGCGACTGCGGAGACACCTGCCTTCGGCGGACTACTCTCTGACTTAGCTTATACTGTGAGCTCAGAGCCCGGCCCGAAGGACAGCGTCTGCACTGTCGAGATGTACAGCGGGAACGAGATCCTTCTCAAACTCCCATCTGGAACCAAGACATCGTGGTTGGCCAAGGGCGCAATCGAGGTCGATGTCTTCCGCGGCAACAGCCCTGTCAAGTCGAGACTGTCTAGTATCGACGAAGGCATCCTTGTTGAAATCAATTCGAAGGATGCTTACGGTGTAGTCAATGTGTCTGTCGTCACCACGCGGAAACCCAAGATCAACGAGACGTTTGCCATTGACTTTGGGACTTCAACCTTGCTTGGGGTCTTGGAAGCAGCAAAGGTCACCCTCGAGGAAGTGGCTCAGATGCTTTCTGACAAGGCGAACGATGCAGCCAATCTGATTGAAGTCAACTATGCCTCATCCTTCGCCTCAACAGAGGAGAGTGTTAGGAACGAGGTAACGTCCTGGTGGGAGGCGATCAAAGACACCGGCCACGCTGCACGTACCTTCTCTTCTGGAAAGGCCGGGGAGACGTTCGATCGGGTCAAAGACTCTTTCCAGTCTGGGGGAATCTTTTCATATCTCGATGATGCTCGCCAGACTTTGACTGAGCAGCGAGCCCGCGTGGTAGAGGATGCGGCCAATTTTCGTGATGGAGCTCGCCAGACTTTCATGGAGAAGCGAGATCGCGTGTTAGAGGATGCGGCGAAAATCCGTGATGATCTTGATCTTGCTGTTCTCAAGGCGCAGATTACGTCAAAGCTGTGGTGGCTAAAGGCCCAGGGCAAGTCAGATGAGCATGATGAGTACGAGCGTCAGGCTCGCTCATTCATCAAGAAGAAGCGCCACGAGGCCCTCAAGACCAAACAGCTGCGAGAGGCCTCTGTTGGGTCAAGTAAATGCCCTCGAACGGGAGACAGCCCATGCCGGTGCAAGAACAAGGGACTCAGCCGGTGGAAGGTCTAGTAGACACCCGCATTATGTCGGCCTTTGCGTCTCCTTTACGGCATGTTTTGATTTTGCTTTTATTCTTAATGGTTTACGAAGACGGGCAAGGAAGGCAGCACCATATCTCAAGATCCGTGTGCGGCGTGGACCAAGAACTCCGGCGTTTCCAGGTTGTCATTTGTGGTGGTTTTTGCTAGCTGTAGGCCTACATTGTGTTGATATTATTCCCCCCTATGCAGAACATGCCCATTTCTCTCTATTCAGTCTCAATGGACAGATTACATTCGCGATACGGAATCAATTGTCAACACCATACCGCCCGCGTACGCTTCTCAAATGGGAGAGCTGCTGCTACTGCTTTGATACACGGCGGCTACTGGCAAAAGATGGCCAAGGGTGGAGGAAGTGAAGGGAATGGAATGGACGCAAGATATCTCTGTGGTTTTCTCAAGCTATGAATACACCGACATGCCCCTCAGGAATGATTGTGAAAATGCAACCATAAGGATATGTCTACGTATATATATGGACTGTGGCTGTCACAAACAATGACAGGAACCCGGCAGCCTGGGCAGCAACATTGTAGGTGCCTTGGGGTGTGGCACCTGCCGGTGGAGCCAATCAGCTCCAGCAGATCTTCAGGCCCCTAAATTCGACCGTAGCGCCGATTTTAGGCTGGGACCCACCGCAAGTTCTGATGGATGAGGGGCATCCGAGTGGTGGCAGTCATTCCCTTCGACCACTGTCAACTTGCACCTTTTCCCTTGACAACAAAGTCACAAGCGACGTCCAACAGTCTTTGACATCTGAGCCTCCCTTCACTTTCAAAAGGTACGCTGACGCACGTCTCTCCAAACACGGCAAAAGCTTCAAGAACGGACCTGTCCCTAAGGTCCCCGGACAACCCCGCTAACGACTGTGGCTTTGTTTTTGTTTAGGTCTTTCAAGCTTGCCGGTCGATATCACCAAGTATTCTGTAATCATGTCTTCCGCCGAGAACCCCGCGAAGCCTGTCGAGGAGACCAAGACGGAGGTCAGTCAGCACACCACAGCTTTCAAGCGAAATCCTTTGCCAGTCATGATGCCGCCGCCCTTTTGCTTCGCTCTTGCCTCGTACCGCCGCAGACCGTCGCGTCAGCTGCGCGCAGTCACAGGAGTGGGCCGGATGCTTCATGACTAGGCGCCGGATCCCGTATCCCTCTGAGGAACTCACCTTCGCAGCCCTGAATAATTCTGATGCTGACGAGACATGCTGTAGGAGGCAAAGCCTGTCACCTCCTCCGCCGTCTTCTCCATGTTCGGAGGTGGCGCAAAGAAGGAGAAGAAGGACGACGAGGAAGACCGCGGCGACAACTCCGGCAGCGCCAAGGCCCAGCGCGATGCTGCCGCTGCCGCCAAGGACGGCGAGGAAGTGAGTGATACACCACCAACGGCCATGCGGACACACTGCCACCAAGAGCTCTGTACTGACTAGTATCTCCTGTTCTTACAGGGTGAAGATGCCCCCGAGTCCGAGGATGTTCACTTCGAGCCTGTGATCCGCCTGACCGAGAAGGTCGAAACCAAGACAAACGAGGAGGCCGAGGAGCAGCTCTTCAAGATGCGCGCGAAGCTGTTCGTCTTCAAGAAGGACGCGCAAGAGTGGAAGGAGCGTGGTACTGGTGATGTCCGCCTGCTCAAGCACAAGGAGAACGGCAAGACTCGTCTGGTCATGCGACGTGACAAGACCCTCAAGGTCTGCGCCAACCACTACAGTGCGTATACCGCTTACCGAGGAGGATCCGATGTCCTTAAAATATGTGACGACGCAAGCTGACTCTCTTTTCAGTCGTCCCGGAGATGAAGCTGTCCCCCAACGTCGGGTCTGACCGAAGCTGGGTGTGGAACGCCGCCGCCGATGTCAGCGAAGGCGAGGCTGAGGCTGTGACTCTTGCTATCCGCTTTGCCAACTCCGAGAGTACGTTCTCTTTCCCAAATTTATGGTTGAAACCCAGCAGCTGACACCTCCCAGACGCCAACGCCTTTAAGGATGCCTTTATCAAAGCCCAAAAGGATAACGAGGCGCTCTTCGACGCTGACGCTCCTGCCGAGGCGGTCCAGACGAAGGATGATGAGCCTAAGGAGGCCAAGGAAGCTGAGGCTGCCTAGATCAATACGGCCAGCCATCACTACCCCGGAGCAGACTCTCCCTGAGACGCCACGAGACGAGCAAGCACGCCAAGCGCTCACCCAGGAATACCTCAAGCACGCAACATGAACCACCCTTCGTCATCAACCCAACACAGCACCATCATACCCCAGCACCAAATTCCCCACCACCCCCTGACGATCGTATTCACGTGGACTAAGAGCCTGCTTGACCTGCGAGGACTTCATGTTACCTCTGCGGGTGCGGAGTCGTCGAGTGACGTCTCCGTTTCTTGAGCAACTCCGGTCATCAAAATGCCGGAAGCTGTCGAGAACTCAAAAGCTGGATTTGCGGAGGAGAGAAGCAGGAGGACAATAATGAATACGATAACGATTTCACCACATGCAGCACCGAGCCGTCCGTTGACCTGTTTTAGACTGCTGCGCGCATCGGATGGCAGGAGCATGAGAATTAGGGTGGAAAGTAGATAGATGAAATCATATCCTGATCCTTTTGCCTCAACCCTTACTCCTGACATCACTTGTCCACTTTTCGACACATATGTCTACATTATATCGGCTGCTCCCTAGTTCGTAGGATACAAGATGTAGTTGGATGTACGTTTACTAGATCAAGGAGGGCGTGATATGTCTACTCAGAGCAAGCCTGGCGAACCACTTGACTTTAGAAAAGCGGGTCGGATCCTTGAGTAAGAGATGACCTGCTGTCTGTGGCAAAATCCACTTCTGTGCTCGAAATATAGTATTCACTGAGTTGGCACACATAGAGAGGTCAGGCATGGCGGTTACTCTCATCTATTGACATTCCACCGTCTTTGTCTCCTGATTATGGGCCCACAGTCCGTCGTCTCTCCTGGTCTGTAATCTGCCTATAGCTCCAAATTGAAACAAATGTAGTCTTCACGTAGGCCTAATAGTAGTGCGAGTCATTCACAAGCTGAGGTTATATCTTTCTATTTACTGGTTCCCAGTCCAGGTCAACGAATAGCAACCTGCGCCACAACTGCACCGCCACCTCTGGCTGAGCGTCTCCGGTAGCATCACCACCACCTCACGCTAAGCTCGATAAGTGCGATAAGCTATGGCCTTGTTCGTGTATTAGCATAAGGGAGCGAGAGCCAATTACTTTCCCAGTGACAACGTAGAACTCAATTGCTTATTCGGCATCCTCTCCCAACGACGTACATCTTTTTCTGAAGGAGGAACATCGCCACGTCTGACAGGACGGGACGACAGCGTTCAGTTCGAACTCCCTTTCAAGAACTCAGGAATTCCGGCTTTGTCTGGGCCCAGAAGCTGAACGACGGATCTAGCTGTTGCTCTCATCGCACACGACCCGTCTTCCTATATCACGGCGGCGCCGACGACAACGTCCTCCACACCTTGCACGATTTCTCACTTGCTTGTCTTCACGGTCTAGCTAAGCGACTGCACCGCCATACTTCTATACAGGGAGAAGCCTTAGTTCTCGAGACAAGCAAAGGACGTCGATCTTAGGCAACGAGGAGGATTCACGAGGAGACCCGTTAAGCTGTTGCCACAACTTCCTCGGTCTCGGCTACGAGAAGTATCGCTTTGAGTATACCTAGGAGTAGTGCGACGAAAGACACGGCCACACGACCACCCCGTCACCCGAACTTGAGGACGAAACCCCGCCCGTCCGAACGCAACGAGTGAAGCGGCATAGGAACACATCCAGGACGGTTGGCAGAGCGCTGCGAGGCAGCAGCGGGAGATATTTGGATACTTGTTTGAAAAGAAAGTGTAGGAAGTACCTGTGGAATCGTTGCAAAGATGATTGTGGAGGTGCGTTCGATCCCCTCTCGGAGTGCTTTCAGTTTCGCTGCTTCACTTGGTTGCAACATTTTGTTCTGTGAACCTGTCTCTTTGCGTTTTTGCCCCTCTCTCTTTGACTTTGAGCTGCCCCCTTCGTGAGCGCTGTTTGTATCCTGGGGGAGTTGTTGAAGCTGCGAGAAAGGCTGGGCTGCACTGGCTTTGACCCGACCACCTCCTGTCGTGACTGCTGTACTTGGCCAGCAGTCTTTTGGCAGCAGTAGTCTTCCCTTCGATCGCGTTCCTACCAAGGCAGCTTCTGGCAGCAGCGTTACTGTTTTGCTTCCTTCCCTCAGTTCCATCATCCTATCCATCCACTCGTTCCATCTTCGCCCCCACTGCTCCTGTGCCAAACGTCCACCAACACGATCATTCACGATGCCACCACGCATGACAGCCCGCACTTCCAGGCGTAATGCTGACAAGCCCGGCCCTGGCGATGAACAGCGCAAGATCAAGCTCATCACTGAGCAGAATGTCATGTACGTATGATGAAGAGTGGTGTGGGCTTCTGCCAACCCGGCGTTGCGCACCCGATCCACTGGCTGTGATGTTTTGAGTCGAGACTGACGTGATGGATTCAGCGACAAGCCTGCTATGCAGGAGGGCTTTCCAATGAGAAAGTGGAGTGTTGAGATCTTCCTTCTTGACCAGCAGGGCAAACAGCACAAGGCGGACTGCTTTCAGAAGGTCGTCTACAACTTGCACCCTTCCTTCGAGAATCCTACCCAGAGTGAGTCTTACCTAACACGACCGCCACCTTGCGACAGCGTTTATTAAATGCTTTGCAGCCTTCACCGACGCACCGTTCAAGTGCGAGAACGAGGGTTGGGGTGAGTTCGAGATGGTCATTGACCTGTACTACACCGACAAGAGCGGAAAGATCTCGGTCCCGCACGACCTCAACTTTCAGAAGAATTACTACGAGCACGTCCGCGATGTGACCTTCAAGAACCCCAGCCAGGCTCTCCAGCTTCTCCTGCGTGAGACTGGCCCTCTGCCTTCTGACGACGATCGCAAGCGCAAGACGGACGGTGTCTCTAAGAAGTCCAAGAAGTCCTTTGATGTGGAGAAGATGGCAGACGCACTGGTTCGGCTCGAGGAGGACGACTTGCTCCATGTCATTCAGATGATACACGATCACAAGACGGACGACACCTACATCCAGAATAATGTTGATGGTACGTGTCGGCGCTGTTCCTCGAAGGCCATGAGCACGTCAATACTAATTGGCTCACCTTGTAGCGGGCGAGTTCTCTGTCGATCTGTTCACCATTCCCGATAACCTTGGGAAGATGATTTGGGACTACCTGGTAAGCACTCCTCCAGCTCGGCCGTGACAGCCAGCGCGTTCTAACATCCAAGTGCAGGTCAAACAGAAGGTCATTGAGGTCTAAGAACAAGATTTTCGAGTTCTGGAATGCTAGTCGCAAGTCAATGTCCCCTGACAAGATCGTATCGGCACATCCCGTCGCAGACCGGCAGTACGACTTCTGGCTGTTATCCGATTATAAAGCTGGACGTGTGCTTTGGCTGTAAGGCGAGGATTGGTTCGGCTTTCAGCAGGTGTCTGGCCTAAAGAAACATGGGCTTTTTGCTAGTCGTATGCGATCTTGCGGGTGCCGTCGACCGACCTATGCGAAGATTCGCCAGGAACCGGCCTTTTCGATCTTTGATTGTTGGTGCGAGGAGCTGGAGTGTGCAACATCACGACACACGATGCTCACGTGCGAAATTTGCGGAAGCGGCGGCGAGATTCGTTGCCGACTAATTTACTTGCGGGCCTTCCGGAAACCACGCATTGGCTGTGTACGATTACGCGACGAATATGAGTGGACGAGGTGGAAGTCATAAGTGTGGCTCGATACCCATAAGGCACAAGGCAGGCAAGGCAGGGTTAAGTAATGATCATGGAATCCAAAATCAAAAACAGCTGTGCGACAATGGAGTGTGCTCATCAGCATCCAGGGCAGCTAGGAGTTATGGAATGAAACGCAAACATTGCTTTAATCTCATGCTGAGGTGTGTCAGCTTCCGTGATAGATTGATAGTGGTCTTTGGTCTTCCCCAAAGGGCCATCTATCTAGATTGTGATACCTTGACGGCAGGCAGGTACGAGCTTCAGCAAGCGACAGCCACAGCGCAGCCGCACCGAATTATCGCGGCCGGCACACCGACAGTCGGGTTGCTGTCAGCTTATTGTTGTCTAGATAAGCATGTCTCAGGCAAGACTCCAATCGGTAGAGGTGCACCCTGGCTGTCGACTGTGGAAGGATCGGGGCGGGCGTATCAGACCTGCCAACGTGACCTTGAGCGTGATGCGGGCTGGATGCTGGGGACTTGGCGGCTGATGTATGGACTCGGCCCAGCTTCAGCCTCCGTGTCACCATGCGAGTTTGGCGTTCACCTCGGCACTACGGGCCGTGATTTTGCTTCGGATGTGTTTGTTTGTGTACTTCCCGTGACGGCTTGTTTTGTTGGATGGTTGGCATGCTGTTGGAATAGAATTTCTGTTTGCGTTGGGCAGGTGGTGAGCATGGGCTTGGGGAGGCAGGGTCCAAGGGTTGAGAGGCTCACGCCGAGCCCCAATGCACATGGAAGGAGCGGGAAGGTTGGGAAGACCTTGGCGCAACGATCACCTTTAGAGTGCGCGAAGAGGCAGGTGAGAAGAAACGGGCGGGCTAGCAGGTAGACTGCGACATAATCTCTACTATTAGATACTACTGTAGTGTTTGCGGCGGAGGCGGAAATAACTGGCCTGGTGGGGCGTGCATGCTTCTGGTCGACTGCCTACCCAAGTGACCTTCCTGATTGACTTGCACGGTGAAGAAGTTACAGCGGGGACCTGTCGACCCTAGGAGCGGAGGTGAGGGACGAGGGACGAGGGACGAGGGGCGGTCATCCATCAGACAGAACTTCTGGCCAGAGAAGAAAGCATCGTCGAGGGAGTCGAATCGATTCTGCGCAGCAAACAAAACACCCGCGACTGCTTCCCACTGATGATAGGTCATCCTACCACAGCAGAGCCTACTGTATCAGAGCATCTGGAACCAACCACTGCGGCTGCTTTTGCTGGGCTAGGTCCTACGTCGTTTACCCCTCCACGCGGACTCGGACTCTTCGCTCCTCGAACTCTGTCTTGACTTGTCACATCGCTGGACATTCTCGCCGGTCACAGTCGAGTCCTCGAGACGAAAGTTTGGCCGACCAGGCAACCTTGATGGCAGCAGAAGCGCAGTCTGTCTGTCTGTCGCTCTGCACCAAGCAAAACTCACTGCTTGATTAACAGAAACTCCAGAAGGGGAAAGGGCTGCACGCCAGGCGAGTCTTGTGGTCCTCTGGTGCCTTTTTGCTGTCGAGACCCCGCAGTCTCGAGCAGGACCAGGACCAGGACCGGGATCCAGCAAGAAAAGAAAAGCGCATAGGAAAGCCGGACAGCTTTATTGCCTTGCACTTGATTCCGTCGTTATCTACCCAGGCTTCCCACCCACCCCCACTCCCTCTCGCCTGTCTCCTTGCCAACCCGCCGCAAGCCGACGAAGACCGCGTCCATCGACAGCAGCCCCGTCAAGCCGCCAGCATTGACCGCGCGAACCCTTCGCAAACCTTCAATAAACGCAACCCCGGCCACCACCCCCTTCCAAAGGTGCCTTGGAATTCTGCGGCCCTGAGGCCGTCGGCACGCCATGGCTCAGGAGGCTCAGACCCAGGCCCAGGCCCAGGATCAGGTGCAGCCCCCGTACGGCACCGGCAACGGCACCGGCGGCGGAGACAATGCCCAAGCCCAGTCCTCGTCCACCGCGCCAGCTGCCGGCTCCTCCTCCGGCCAAGGAGCCGGCCCCGATGCGGCAGCTTCAGCCTCACAATCGCAGGCCGCCCAGCATAAGCGGGTCTACCAGGCATGCATCCCGTGCCGCCGCCGTAAGGTCCGCTGCGATCTTGGCAGCGTTGACAATCCCCACGACCCGCCGTGTGTTCGCTGCCGCCGCGAGTCCAAGGACTGCTACTTCAGTGCCACCCGCCGCAAGAGGAAGACTGATGATGAGGATGAGAGGGAGGACGAGTACATCGTCCGAAACGGCCGGAAGAGACTGCAGCACGGGGACACACCGCCAGTGGAGCGCAGAGCTTTTACCGACACTCCTCTGACCCCCGGCGGCTCCCTAGGCCGTCCACAGCCGCTGCGAAGGCCTGGTCCCGGTGAACACACTCGATCCGACACGAGGAGCAGCATCAGTGCATCCCGAGGTCCAAGTGCTGCTGAGTTCCCAGCTGACGAGCCGAACACGCCTCTTGAAAACTACGAGGCTCGGACTGTCATGAGGAAGGAGCTCTACGGTCCCCATGATGCACTTGACCTGTTGTACAAGGCTGCCACTGACAACAAGCACGACGACGTGGTGCAGACGCACACTTTGAGCCCGCAGACGTCTGACCTGCGGACTCCCTCACTGGCCGCTCCCCTGGGCGGTCTGCCACGGGGCAATGAGGGCTTACTATACGCGCAGCATGCCGTCACACAACGCGGCCCCATGGACGCCCCCATCGACCCTCAGCTCACCAAGTCTGACGCCAAAGCAGAGCCAACTCCGGCTCACGCTGATGCTCTCAAGGCGTGGGCCAGATTCCGTTTCGTGAGGGCTGGATGGTTCACTTCCCAGGAAGCCATCGACTATATTGACTAGTATGCTGACCCTTGCACACAGACGAATGTGAAAATGCTAGATTGCTTACTGAACTGTTCTTAGCTATTACAAGTTTCTCTCACCATTGACTCCTATCTCGCCACCGACCTTCCAGGACCCCGCCACGCATTTGACGCTATTGACTGAGGAGCCCATTCTTACGGTGACACTCCTATGCATAGCTTCCAGATACCGCAAGTTGCCAGGCACGGGAGGCATAAGTCGGGCGAATGCTATCCATGAGCAGTTATGGACTTATTTACGAGGTATGATCGAGCGGGTGATATGGGGCCAAGAGGCTTTCGGCGGCGGGTTCTGCGGCTCAGGTGCCGATGAGTCTCAGACATCAAGTACAGCCCCTTGGCGTGGTCTCAGAAAGGGCAGTCTACGTACATTCGGTACCATAGAGTCTTTGATGATCTTGACGGAATGGCACCCCAGAGCGCTGCACTTCCCTCCGTCGGAGGCTGTCGACGAGTTGATGATCCCTGCATACGACTCTGGGCCACCTGCTGATGGGCAAGACGGCAACAACAACCCTGCTGTTGGCGTTGGCGGCAGGCGGGTCGAAAGTTGGCTTGAGCCAGCTTGGAGAAGCGATCGTATGTGTTGGATGCTGCTGACAGCAGCAATGGGCCTCGGCTATGAATTAGGTGTGTTTGACAACATCGAGGAGCTTCTGGAGACCGGAGCCATCTCGCGCCCGGAGTATGAAGAAGAGTCCTACAGGCTGCGAGCCCATCGCATCAAACGGCTCATTCTCATCTACCTGAGTCAGCTGGCAGGACGGCTTGGATGGACCAACATGGTCCCTGAGAGCTTGCGACGGCAGGCTTCTCTGAACCGTCCGTCATCAGTCGAAGGTACTACGCCTGGGACCAATATCTCAACTGTCTCGTTCAATTACATTCCTGACCTGGAACTAGACGACCAAATTATCCAATGCTGGGCCGGCATCAGCAATGCCATGCACTCAGGCAACGAGCGACTCTTTAGATCGAGACAGCATACCACGGAAATCATCCAGAGTGGTAAATACATCGAGCTACTAAAGGAATTCCAGCCAATGCTGCAGGCCTGGTGGACACAGTTTGAGCGCTTCCGCCTGCCTCCGTACAGCCGCCACATCCTTACTATCGAGTACGAATATGTCCGAATATATGTCAACTCTCTATCGCTACAGGCTGTGGTCGAGCGTTGTGCCACTATTGCTTCGGGAGCATCGGGCACGTCCACTGCCGCCCCTGATGCTGCAGGAGCTCCAGCGTCAGGCCATCAGCTGAGCCCCAAGACGCAGGACATCTACGGCAAAATGCCGATCGGAAATATCGGCGGTGTCAGTGCGGCAGATCAGGAGTATATCCGAGAAGTGGTCGAGGGAAGTCGGAATCTATTACGGACAGTCGTAGAGGGCTTGCTTCCTGACGACTACCTGAAGCATGCACCCGTGCGGACATACTTCAGGATCATCAGTGGGGCAATGTTCCTTCTGAAGACTTTCGCACTCGGTGCGACACGGCATGATGTGGAAGTGTCTATTGGCCTGATGGACAGCACGGTCAAGGCGCTGCGCACTTGTGTTGTGGACGATGTGCATCTTGGCATCCGCTTTGCTGATCTTTTGGAAAATCTCACGATGAGACTCAGGAATCGATTCATATACGTTGCGCACCAGCCGGGTAACTCACAGGCAGCCTCGGCGGAGGGCGTGAAGAGTCCCATGCCGGAGGCCGGAATGACTGGTGGCCAAGTCTTGCACCCGGGATTAGGTATCAATGGACACGATCACATTGGATGGCCCAGGGTAAATGCACCAGGTAAGGACTTCGACCTCACTCCCTGACCCTGTGGGATAACGAATGAAGATGCTGACCGACTCACAGAACGTGCAGTGACACCAGCCAACATCTCCGCCATGCCATTTGACATCCCCAGCGACTTCCACATCCCAAGCGTCTTCGGTGGGCCCACAACGCCAGCATCAACCGCTATACCGGTGAACGGCAATAACAACAACTCGAGCACATTGTCGGCCAACAATAACAACAACATACCTGACATGTTCGGCTCGGACGGCGCAGACTGGGCCGGGAACAGTGACATGTGGTTCCTGCCCGCCGGGCCCGCATTCTTCCAGAACGTGGGCGGCCCCGGTGAGAACAACGTTGCCATGTCCGCAGAGGGAGTCAATGTCGGAGGGATAGACTTGCTGGATTACATGGCCATGGATGACTACCCCATGGGCGCTGGCGGGCCTCTATGAGTGAGATGCTACTATTAATTTTGCTGGGTATTTTTTCTTTGTCCAGACTGGACCTCGGCGCAAAATATGGCTTAATGGTCATGGAAAGCGTAGTGTTTTTTTTTGTTTCTCACACCCTGACCGGTGGTGTTGGTTGGCTTTGAGATATTCACAGTTTATTTGTAAATATTGATCACGAATAAGGAGCTGATCGCCTTGCTTCCGCGCCTCGTCTTACAACGTCATTCCCGGTGTGTCTCGTCACCAGAGGCTCTTGATAATACGGCTGCCAGCCACGCCTGTCAACGCGCAATGATGATACAAGAAATAGCAGTGTCACTCTTGAGCACTCACCTAACCCAAGAGCAATCTTCTGCCGGCGATAGGTAGCCTCAATGGCACTGTGCACCGTAGCATCGACCGGAAATTGTTCTCTGTGCGTCCAGGGGTAGAGCCAGCCGGTCCATCTATCAAAGCCTCTGGGCGTGGGTGATCGCCGACGAAGGATTGCCTTTTATTTCCCCGACGGTGATCCGAGCCTCCTCTTACTGAACCAGCCTAGGCGCGGGAGGCCTTTTGGTAGTTCAGGAGAGACCTGGGCTAGGAACTGAACACGAGGCGATAACGCACACGGCGCTGTGTGTGTGTGTGCCTTTGCTAGGTTTGTCCCACTACTAACTAACTTACAGCCAGGCGCCCGGGCCCGGAGACTCGGGGCGACGGGGGGACGGGCGCCCCAGCGCTAATGCAACGCCTGCGTGCCGGGAGTTTCGCTGCCGAGAGGCCACTGCTCAGCGCTCAACTTTTCCTCTCGACCCGCGGGTTGTGGGGGGTGATGATGTGACGTCCACGCCTGGGTCTTGTCTTTACTTTGACGCAAAAAAGCCTGTCGGTTTCTTTAATCTATAAATCCCGTTCCTGCCCGTGGGCGTCACACCAATGACGGTAATTGCCCTAAGCGTGGGCCTGTCCTCGTGCCGCGGGACGGGGAAAGCAGGCTTTCTCGGCGCCTGCGGGCTCGCATGGTTCATCCCACGTGTGCCCGCATGCACATGCATTAGCACCCCCGTCCGACCGGGGGGCTTACACTCATCCTTCGCCGTTCCCGTGGTTGGGTTTGCTGGAGTAGTCCGTCCGCTTGCCTTTGGGAGCACATCGGGTACGGGGCCCATAACAAGCTCCAGCGGGGAAACGAAATGGGCTTTTCTTGGTATAATGCCTGCTCTGGCAGGGCTAATCAAGCCGGGTGGCGTTGGTGCCCGCAAGAAAGCCAGAGCCCAAGTCACTGTGACCTGCCTCTGTGAGGTGCCAGACCGCTATATGGGTTTTCACTGATACAACGTGGTCGCCTCGGCGTCGAGACAGCGCTCATGACCCCCCGTCTGGGTGTGGAGATGATGGTGAGATGATAGATGATGGGCTAATGCAGCCTCTTATATGCTGACGTCGTACTTTCCTACACACGCTCCTTCGGGGCCGGTGGACCCGTATATTTGTGGTCACGTCCATCAGTAAGCCCAGGGCCGGGGGTTTGCACGTGTATAAAGGCCATCGTCGCCCAGCTGGCTGTGCGATAGCACGGAACCTGACCCCCTTCGTGAAGTCCCGTGAAGCCTTCGTGTCTGCGAGCACCAAGCGCAAGCCGTCAACCATGCGACCTATATCCTTCACCACGCTTTTGGGTGGCCCCCTCCTCGGGCAGCTCGTCACGGCTCTGCCTTCGGCGGGCTGCTCGACGAACCAGGAGGTCGCACTCGAGCAGACGTACAACGTCCAGATGGGCGACCGCCGCTACCTGCTCTGGTTCCCGATCAACTATGAGCCCAACAAGCCGGCCCCGCTGGTGCTTTCCTACCACGGCGGCACTCGTATCGCCGAGGAGCAGCAGAGACTGGATCTGTTGAGCACGGCGTACTTCAATAAGGAGTACATTATGGTATATCCCAACGGCGTCAACGTGAGTTGTCTCCTTTCCTTCATGCCCGTTCCGCTAAGCTGACAATTTGAACCTCGGCCGTAGGAAACCTGGGAGGGCGTTCCGGACGTGGACACCGACGACGTCGGCTTCACCGGGGACATCCTCGACGAGCTCGAGGCGCAGTACTGCATCGACACGGACCGGATCTACGCCACGGGTAAGTCCCAGGGCGGCGGGTTCGTAGGCGTGCTAGCCTGCGATGAAGACATGTCCCAACGCATAGCGGCTTTCTCCCCAGTATCTGGGGCCTTCTACATCTCCGACTTCGGAGACGAGTGCGAGCCCGAGACGGTGGCCATCGAGCCCTGCTCCCCGGGCAGGGACAACGTGCCGATCCTGGATTTCCATGGCCTGGCCGACGACACCATCAAGTACTATGGAGGCGAGCGGAAGGGCGGGTGCCTGCCGACCATCCCGCACTGGGTCCAGACGTGGGCCGAGAGGGATGGTCTGGGACCGGAGAATGTGACTTCCGCAGTGCCTGGTGCCCCGAGTGACAGCAGCGCCGTCAGATATGAGTTTGGAGAAGGCAGCCAGCAAGGCTTGGTGACTCACATCATGGACGGAACGGTAAGTGTAGGAAGACACGGGCAGACAGCCCTAGCTGCCGAGCGAGGGAGATGATCTCCTCGAGGGATAGAATGCTGACCTTGTCGCCGACAGGATATTGGGCACGACTGGCCGAGCACGCAGCCGAACAGCGATAACTCACAAGCCGGGCGACACCCAGCCTCCTTCAACGCCTCGTCCTTGATCCTCGACTTCTTCGCGGCACACCCGCTCGTGCCGGCTCAGAAGGTTCCCGGGTGCGGGAACCATACGCACTCGTAGACGATGGACGGTCCATTTTCCGCCTGCATGACGTTTTTGATACCCCAGTAGATGACACAGCCCGAGGGCTTGCCAGGAATTTTAGAGCCTGCAGAAAGAGGGATATAAATCCTGCCTAGTTATAGGAGTCGATCTTTGAGGACTTGACCCACAGCAGGTCACGCCACAGGAGAGGTCCTCATGAGTTAATCTTGTATGAAAGTGTATCTTGGTCAGATCATATTCTGGTATTTTGGATCCATGCGAGCTACAAACACAGCGAGGGAAACTTGCTGAATGCATAGCATACGTCCCCAAGGGAGTGCAGCCGAACGAATCGCAGGCAGGCTCTGAAAAGCACGACACAGCCCAGTGTAGCCCAATACAGCTTTGTGAAGGATGCCTTGACAGTCTGCCCGGGCCTAGGACTAGGGATGCGGCTTTGTCAACGCCTAGCAGTGCCAAGTCACAGTAGTCGTAATTCTTCCGAAGGATTATATGGTTCCTGGCGATCTTTCAGCTGGTGACTTTTCCGCAGTCGTCAGCCTTCTGGGCCGCGGGTTTCAGAGAGTCTGATGGGCAGTAGCAGGAATGGCCGATGTGAAGGCCTCTGTGCCGTCCAGCCTGAGCGCATATGAAGAGGCATGTGAAGGCCAGGTTCCTGGAGAGACTCCTATCTTTCTTGACAGGCCTTCGAAGGTAGTCGACATGGGCTTGCATACGGTAGCACTTAAATCATGGAACGTGCGGTTCGCAGCGGCTGCAGGACGAATCGTTGCAGGGAAGAAAGCCTTGAGGACACAGCCTCAGGGGCGCAAGGTAGCCATGGCCCACTGTGGCCAATTGAAGCTCCAGTGCTGGTCATGACCTGCGAGCAGGTGGCAGGTGGCTCATGGATGACGTCCCAGCGAGCCGGTTTCAGCTCAGTAAGCATGTGCAGCAGCACTACTGTCTACCCGCAAACTCCACCCCAGCCCACCCCAGTCGCATCCCGTCGCAGCGCATCGCATCGCATCGATCCATCCGTCCCACCCCATCATCGCTCTCTTCTTCCTTTCATATGATACCGGGGTTGTGTTTCGTTTCTATTATTGCAACAGATACTAGTCTTTAGTGTATAGATCTTCGTCCTGCCAAGCTTGAACTACACAGCTTTCCCTCCGCTGCCTCGTGAACACTTGCGCGTCTCCTCCAACTTTCTTCAACCCCTCAACCTCCACCATACAGTAATCCCCCCCTGACGATCGCCTGCCCCAGCACCTGCTACTGCTACGATCTTGGGCCAAGCACAGAACGAAGACTAGTTTAGTCGCATCGCATCGCATTGCATCGCATCAAGCCGTCTTGTCAGGCCAGCTGTGATCCTTGGACGACTCGCCTCGTCAAGTCTCTTTGTTCGCAGTGACCACTCACTCGCATCCCTCTCCGTGACGACCTCCAGCCTGGGACCTTCATTTGCCCCTGCCACCTCTCGCGGCACATGAGCTGAAGTGTCGCTTCACCTGGTATTGGGTGGCAAAACAAAGTCTCGTCTCGTCTCGAACCATATCATAGCCCACCATGCTCGACGAAAACCTGCCGACCTTCCAGTTCAAGCCCTCCAACGATGACCCTCTCTCCAGTGTTGTCTACTTCACACAAAATGGCTCTGAGCCTGCTCCAGAATATGTCTTCAAGCGAGCCGATCCCTCCAACCCAGCGGCACGCAGGAAATATGCCGTTGCCTTAGCTGACCCTTATGCACCGGATGTCGTTTACGCCGAGGTCGTCGTCGAGCCCGAGTGGTCACAACCGACTCTGTCAGCAGCTGAGATCAGGGCGCAGCAGCATCAGAATGGAGGTGCATCACTCGCTCCCCAACCTATGATACCCGACAACTTCACAATCTACCTGTACAACCCCGACCAAGCTGTTTCAGTCAAATACATCCCAGGCTCTCTCACCAAGTCCGATAGCTGGGAATTCGAGATGTTGTCTCAGAGCTTCAAGATGCCATCCAACTCCCAGCTCGATCGTCAGAAGCAGAACGGTGAACCCGTTGCCGATTTCCGCCCCAGGGTCATGTTCAGATGGAAAAAAGATGGTCGGTTGAGCAAGGACATGACCTGTTTCAACGTTGGCAAAAGCGTCGGCAAACACAAGAGCAAGGAGCCAGACATTACAGTTGCACTCTTCAAGCAGGGCCGAGCGACGGCAGTGACGGTCTACGAACCAAACTTGCAGCGGATTGACATGGAAGATCGAAAAGGGCTAGACATTGTGCTTGTGATCGGGACTGAAGTAATCCGCGATTTGTACCTTGCACCAGATAAAAGGCCGGACCTGTTCAACGTAGGTGCTACGGGGCCTTTGCCCATTTCGAATGGGAGGCGGAAGAACTCCAGGCCCAGCCCACCTCCAGCTGGTCCTGTGATGGCAGGTGCTCTAGGCCCGTCTGCGCCACAAGCTCAACCGCTCATGTCCACAGCCAACGTTGCGGCTTCTTCATCAGCCAGACCAAGCAATGCAGCCATCGACGCTGAGACGGAGAGGCTGAAGGCAATGGTCGAGAGAGAGGAAAAGGAGCGACAAGCCGCAAAGCAGAGAGAGGATCGGGAGCGCGAGAGGAGAGACCGTGAGGAGCAGAAACGCATCAAGCAGATGCTCGACGATGAGGAGAAGGAGAAGCGCCGGCGCGAGGCAGAGATTGCCAAGGAGACGGAGCGGCTCAAGAAACTCTACGGGACCGAGGGGCAAGATATTAACCCTCCCCTACCTTCACGGCCGCAATACCAGGGGCGGCCACCCCAACAGCAGCAGCAACAACCACACCCGCCGCCGCCTCAGGGTGGCAGCTGGAACTTTGCCCCGCCCCCTCAGCGCCCCACGAGCGTCGGACCCGGGACTGGACCTTTCCACAGCTCAACGCTGAATCACCTTTTCGCCGGCCGGCCATCCGGGACCCCAGCGCCGCAGGCTGGCCCTTCCAAACCAGGTCGCACGAAGCCGAACCAGGGCCCGTACCTGTCTGGGGCAAACCCAGCGGCCGCAGTCAGCGGGTTCTTCTCGGGCTTGAGAAAGGACGACAGGAAGATCACTAAGAAGAAGAGCATGCAGTGGTAGGTCCGTGGCTGCTTTGGCTCGGTCCGATGATTTCGGGGGTTTCTGTCCCTCTTCTCACTGGCACAGCATTTTATTTCCTTCTCCTAGCATTGCGATGACTTCCTATTGTCATTGTTGGCGTTCTGGGGGCAGGCCCGGATGGTCCATTGTTTGAAGGCTTTCTTAGATACCTTTGATGAGGCGGATGGTCATGATTATGAATTGACGATGCTTTCCCCTACGCTTCGCACTAAACGCACTGGATGTTGAGCGCTGCTATGTAACACTGGCCAGACTCTTGCTCTTCCTGCCGTGACGCACATACTCGCACATTTGCGTTTGCCATTTGTGACCACACCTTGTAGCATACCTGCTTACGAAATGCTCACAGCTCGGCATTGCGCCGTATGCCAGAAGCATGCGGTTACCTTCGCAGCAAAGAGATCTAGGACGTTCCCGGACATGTCATCCCAGCTCTCGGGCTGTCACTACCCAAAACCTTTCAAGCTGGCCGCGAGCTTGCTTACGAGCACTCCTTACCCCAAACTCATCGATGTCGGGAAGAACAATATCTCGGGAGGTGGACCAAAATGTCTCATAGGTGGTGGGGCATACGCTGGGGACATGCGACTGCGGACTCCGGACGCTGGATGATGGTATCTACTCCGACATATGCAAGGAGTCACTGGACCTTCGGCACATGACCTCAAGTGGGCTCACAATTTGCAGGCACACCTTTGACTGGCAGTTTGTATTGCTTGATGGGTATTGACTGCGGGTCTGGCCGTCTCCTGTCATGCCCGTACGCACCGGCACCTGACCGCGAGGCATCCGAGGCCTTCCCTTACCATGTTTGGCGGTCAGGTTATCCTACCGGAAAAGAAGCAACACGAGGGATCATCTGTGTAACATAGCAATGCAGAACTAAATGTGGACAGACGCATGAGCAGATGATAATAATGTTATTGTGGCTTACGGCTACTGTTTTTCTTGCAGGAAAGAGAGAAAGGTCGTCGACGCCATATCGACCGAAGCAAAGGTCATTGGCAGTCAGCGAGCCGCTGTCTCTGCTTTTCGTCAATCGCCCCAAAACTTACAGGAACTCGCCGGCCATGCTGGATTGCATGCGGCCGTGAAGCATTGATGACGACCAGAGAGGGCACAAGACGCCGTAGGACTATATCAACTGCATGAGAATAGTCTACCTAGGTAGTCGTTGAGTCGTGAGAGTAGGTCATAATTCATGAAGCGGGCATGTAAGTACAAACCCGCGAATCTTCACCTGCACTTGTTGAGGGGAGAGGGAATACCAACACAAACCGCCCTTTAGTGGCATAAGCTCTTTAGCGCCAGAACCACCCAGAGCGCTCACTGGTTGTGTTCTTCTGAGGCTCCTGAGGCTCTGATTTGGCCGGCGCCTCATTTTCTGATGCCACAGGCTCTCTCACTTGCCGCAATGTTTTCCAGTCCTGCTCCTCTCTCGCTTTCCTCATCCTTTCCCTACCTTGCTCAATAAGCTTCAGCCCAGCTTCGTACTCCGGTAATGGCTTCTCACTGCTAAAAGCAGCTAAGATGCTTTTGGCCGCCTCGTCGGCTTCCGCTCGTGTCCCAAAGAGGGCCTTCTTATTCTGCTCCTCCAGGAACTGCAGTTGCCTTTGATAGTACTGTAGTGGTTGCTTCGAAGCGCTCTGAGCTGCTTTGTCATTGTTGTCTGGGGATGGTCGTGGTGCCTCTTCCTCCGCCGCGCTCTCATTCCTCCTCCTCCTCCTCCTCCTGTTCAGCTGCTCCTGGGCTATCAGTCGCAACTGATGGTGCGTGAGAGCTAGGTTCTCAAGGTCAGACCCTGCTTCAGCAGTGATAGCCGTGGAGACTCGGAATGCCTCCAGCTGATCGTCCGAGGAATTTGCAATGAACGCAGAGTATTGCTCGGGGGTCATCAAGACAGAAAATGGCCCACCACTCGGGCGCACCCTATCGGCTTCCTGGCGCACACAACCGCCTTGGGGGGCATCAGCGGTAGAGCGCACAGAGTAGCGGGTGTCCTGTTCCACTGTCTCACCCCACGCGTTGAGTCTCCTCGTCTCTGTCTTGGAATGAATATAGCCAAATAGGTCCACATGCTCTGACGTTGTCCTGACTGTCTTGCCACCAAAAGCATCGTACTCCACGGTTTCGCTGGCGGGCACCATTTCTCTCCTAGTCCGCTCTGCCGGTGGAGGAGCCTCTCCAATCATGGTGTTCGCGAACGCGTTGGCAATTTTGTCCACTTCAGACGAAGCGGAGTGGATCATCTGGAACAAATCTTCCTCTGTAGCAGGCTGATCCCTCTCGCTGGCTGACGTAGGCTCCGCACTGTCATGCGATTTTGCGTGACTGTTGTCGGAGGCGTGATCTCCAAAGCCATCCCCAATAAATGCCCGTAGGGCATGTCCCGCAAATTCGTGTGCCTTGAGGATCATCTCGGCCGCATCCCGCCCCAGAGCCTCCTCCAACCTGGAAAAGGACTCGCCAGCGGTGCCATCCTCGAATCCGCGGATAAAGTCCATGAATGACTGGGCACCATCGGCACCATCGCCGTGCTCAGCCCTAGACTCTTGTTCAAACGCCCTTCGCGCTTCATACAGCTCGCGTGCCTGTGGTACTCCCCACACTCCCCGGAGCCCTCGCATTCCTGCAAGGGGTCCTGGGTGCTCCCAAAAAAAGGGCGGAGGCAGCATCCCGTCCCCGTGGAGTCGTCTGACCCAGGCGGACGGGGGTTCTCCCTCGACGAGCCTGCCCAAGACGGTCTTCTTCAGACCGGCTCGCTCTCTCAGGTCCATGAGATGTCCTCGAGATGGACTGCTCGCAGACATGAGGTCCTCGAAGGCTTCATGGAAGCCAAAGCCGGCCGGATCAACATCGGAGGGGAGATCCTTAGGCGTGGGCTGGGGGATTTGTGTTAAATTGTGTGGGCTGTAAGGATCAACAAGGCACCAGTCGTTCCAGTATTCGATCTCGCCGGGCTGCTTCCTGGGCTCGCCTAGAGGTTGGTTCCTGGCTAGACATGGTGACGAGGCTGCAGCATGATCGGGGCCTTCGTGGTCTGCAGGATCTTGTTGGTTGCGAGTCCTTTGCTGATTGTTGCCCAGAGACTTGTCGCGTTCACCCGTGTTGCCGGTTAGGACAGAGACTCCGGTGCTAATGTTGGCGTTAACGTGGTTCTTGAACCTGATGAAGGGGTTGCTCGGACCCTGCGGCTCGCTGTCGTCAGGCATTGTGGTGACAGTGGGTGGATGCTTGCTGTCCTAGCTTTCGGCTTGACCGGGGCGAGGCAGGGGATCCTCGGGAAAATTGAGGACGGGGCGATGGGAAGGAGATGGAGATGAGGAGATGGGGAGATGGGGTGCACAAGGTGAAATTGAAAGCTCGAGCCTCAATCGACCCCGCCACCTGATACTATGCACAAGTACTGTATGTACGTATATAACCGTGTACTTGCGTGTTCCCGAGACACAGAGTCGATCAGTCAGGGCAACATCACCCGATTGTTACGTTTGCCGTGACACTCGAAGACAGGATAGGCTGTTTTATGCCAAGTTGGGAGTTGAGTTAAACCCTGGAGTAATGCTGAGTTTGCAAAATGCAAGCTAGGCTAGGCTGCTGAAGTCGATGGTTATTCCTGGAGGGCATGTGAAAGTGCTGGGACCAGGCCATGTAGTCAGGTAGATTACGGCTGCACATACACATAGACTAAGAGGTGAAGTGGAGAAGTGGAACTACTGGGCTTGTGTGCTCGGCCGGGAGGTGCACGTTCAGGATTCAGGACCATAGAAGTGGATATGACGGCATTCGCGCGGTTTTGCCTGGCGAGCCGTTCAATGCGAGATGCGACCAATCTCGCAGGCTCCCAAGGTTACTCCGCAAGGAGGATTTACAATAACCTGAACTGCAGTTCTTACTGCACATCGACACTACACACTCTCGACCCTTTTCGCATACCACGGCGTTCCTTTTTTCTTTGCCCTGTATCTATTCTTGTCATCGCTTGTTCCTCTGCTCTGCCCTCCCGCAACCTGCGAATCCTGCGCTATCGACCTGCATCCCCCAGAGCGAACCCTCGATCATCCAGGTCCACTGGTTCATGCACGTATGCGACTTTGCTCCCAAGGCTGACCCCCAAACCCCGAACCTCGAACCTCGAGCCAGCGTCGACATCAACAATCTAGATTTATGTACAAATCATCCAAGCTTCGAGCACGTATCGATCGATCAATATCACCCATGATATACACTTCTCCGACCCGTTGGAACTCCCGGTCGGCACCCACTGACGGCCCCTGAGTCGTCATGTATCTACCGATATTACCAGCATCGATACCCGCGAGATCCGTCACCCAATACATACCTGCCTATACCTCTGCAGACTACCTGCGCGAAGGCGACAGCAATGGAGAACCCGAAGGCCCTAGAAAGGGCCTGGAGGAGTGGTCAAGCTTGATTGGCATAGTCACCGCCATCGTGGGGAACATCCTTATCGCCCTGGCCCTGAACGTCCAGCGATATGCGCATATCCAATTACACAGGGAAAGGGTGCGGGAGCGAGAACGTGCAAAGCAAGCTTTGAAGAATGCAAAGAATGGCGGGCCACGGACTGGCTATGGATCGGTGGACGAGCCGCAAGATGGTGCCAATACACCCAATGGAGACGACGAGGCCCAAGGCGCGCAAGAGTCGGATCCCCTGACGCAGTCGTTCCAGTCCGGCGATTCGCGCTGGTCCGAAAACTCGGACGACGACATCACCAAGCATCCCAAGAACTACCTGCAATCGCCGTCGTGGTGGCTTGGCCAGATTCTCATCACCGTGGGCGAGATGGGCAACTTCCTGGCATATGGTTTCGCCCCCGCGTCCATCGTGTCGCCCCTGGGAGTCGTCGCCCTAGTCTCCAACTGCATCATCGCGCCCATAGTATTCAAGGAAAAGTTCCGCAAGCGCGACTTCTGGGGCGTGGTCATCGCCGTGTTCGGGGCAGTAACCGTCGTGTTGAGCGCAAACACCCAGGAGACGAAGCTCGACCCGCATGCCGTCTGGGATGCCATTACCACCACTGCCTTTGAGGTGTACATGGGTGTGACCTGCGGCCTGATTGTCCTTCTCATGTGGCTGAGTCCCAAGTATGGAAACCGTACCATTTTGATCGACCTCGGCCTCGTGGGCTTGTTCGGTGGGTGACATTACTGTTATTTATTTATTCCAACTACGCGCACGTGGCTGACATTAATCTCAGGTGGTTACACCGCGCTATCGACCAAAGGCGTGTCGTCCATGCTGTCTTCAACACTACTGCGAGCTTTCACGACACCAGTGACGTATGTGCTCTTACTGATCCTGCTCGGTACTGCCGTCATGCAAGTCCGCTATGTCAACAAGGCACTGCAAAGATTCGACTCGACGCAGGTCATCCCCATACAATTCGTCTCGTTCACGCTGTGCGTAATCATAGGAAGCGCAGTCCTGTACAGAGACTTTGAGCGGACGACAGCAGAGCAGGCCATCAAATTCGTGGGAGGCTGTTTTCTCACTTTCTTCGGCGTATTCCTCATTACTAGCGGTAGGGATGCGGTAGACGAGGACGAAGACATGCTCTCCGATGACGAAGATGTCGAAGAGACCATCGGTCTCGCAGAGCAGGATCCCGATGAGGCCCAGTCGCCTACGCAGCAGAGGCGTCGGGGTAGCGACCCCAAGAGATCACGACGGTCCTCCCGGGTGAGCTTCATAGATGCCATCAACAAGCCCTTGACAGTCCTTCAGGAATCTGGCGTCCCAACCTCAAGAACGCCTACGACAACGTCCAAAACGTCACTTCTTCCTCCAGGAGACGCCGGCGAGTCGGCGCCATTGTTGCGGTCACGCTCACAGGAGCCACATTCTACACCACCAGTCCACCCAGGGATATCACATGCGATGTCATCGGAATCAGCAATCTCGGTATCCAGCGCGACACCAGTCAATTCCGAACCGCCCACACACCCTAGCACGCCTTTGGCACAAAACTCTGCCTTACCCGCCATCAACATCCCCCACGATGCCAGCCCTGTAACACCAAGGCCGCAGTCAGCATCCAGAGCCCATACACATCACTTCACCGGGCCGCTGTTCTCGCCATCCCCATTCCACTCAACCGTTAGCGGCCTCGTCCCATCAAACCTGCTCAAAGACGCCCACGCGGCGCGAAGGCCGCCATCGCGGAGGAGGCCCAGCCTTCGGTCAAGCCTGTACGTGTCACAGGATGAGCTGGCGGTGGAGCCCATAGGAGAGGAGGAGGAGAGGGTAATAATGTCTGCGATCGAGCGGAGCCGGACGGCAGACGAGTCACAGATTCCCGGGCAGCCGGGCAAGAAAGGAGTCAGGGCCCGCGCCAAGAGCCTGACGAACTCGGTGGGGGACCTGTTCGGCGTGAGGAGGAAGCGTGATAATGGCTCAGTGCGTGAGGGAGAGGAAAGTGGACAGAGCAGCCAAAGGGTCGGGGACGCCAGCACGGAGACGTTGTGAAGTACGCTTAGAGAAAAGTGCTTGGTTTGCGAGGTGCTTGGAAACTCAGGTCTGTGAGAGGGTATCGCATTGGGACGGCGTTTGGGGTGGTGTTCTGGTCCAAACAAGGGAGCGTTCGACTTTCGTTATTTGTTGTATTCCTTTTCGGACCGGTAGATATGTCCCAGCTTTGAATACCCCAGCTCCTAGCTCTTTCTTGTACAGATGTAGATCATGGGGGAATGGCATATTCTGCTCTACTGGGGACAAGTACTTGAACTCGAACATGTAGTAAGCGTGCAACATGCTGATTACCGGAGGTTGAATAAAATGCTGCCGGGATTTAAATAGCTTGACTGCAAAGAATGTCGCACGTCAACGTTCGCCTCTTGACATGCGTGGTGTCAGTTGTGCTCGTCTACGAACGAGTCCTGTCCCATGATACACAAACGATCAGAAGCGTAGGTTCGCCCGGTAGCCTTGCTTGAACATGTCTGTCTGGAAAAGCCTTCCCTTGCATGAACCTGCCTGGGATCATAGTCGTGAGACAACCTGCTGTGGGATAGACCAATTGTGGGATAAGCAGCTATGGGATGGCCTGCTGTGAGACAATATGCTGTGGCATAATCTGCTGTGGATAAGCAGTTATGGGATTGTCAATTATGGGATAACCAAGATGCGTGATAATCAGATGTAGGAGAATCAGATGCAGGACAATCACTATAGTACAACCAGTAACGAAGTCAGCTATGGGGCTATCAGTCATACAATAAACATTTATAAGATAACCAGTAATCAGAAAATTAGTTACAGTATAACTATGCAGGATAACTGAATTTAGGATGACTGGCTGTAGGATAACCTGCGTTTTGTATACCCAGTCAGTTCTGGGAGAGCCCCTACTGGGTAATGCCCCTTCAAACGATTTTCCTTGGGACAAGATCGCCTGGAATTCACTGCTTTTGGAGAATGCGACCCCTGAAATGTCCAGATTACCAAGTTGCCTTAGTAATTTTGCTCTATGTGAAGTTGTTGTTGCATACAACTGACAACCCTAGAACATGAATTCAGTGTCGGATGAACTCGTGTTCACAAGGGCTACCCGAAAAGCTTAGAAACCTGGAAACACATTGTGTCCCTTTTCCCCATCTCCTGTTCCACGACGAAGGGCTCGCCAGTGCCAGCCGTCACCTCTCCGGCCGAGCCTTTTGATCATATTGGTCGCCAGTCGGTTGACAGTGAGAATAGACTCGTCGAGGCGACAGACTGACCAGTTAATCTTGGGCTTAGCACAGCCGTGGCTTCATTGCCACTCCACTACTCATCTGTCTTACTGAGAGCTTATACAATCGAACGCGACCAGTCGTCTCCTTGCTTGTATCAAGATGCGATTGCGTCTCGACACTGGGGTAACTCTTTCACCTAAGCTATGTAGCTATTGAAAAGCAATGGATTTAAATTATTGGAATGAGGTACAAAAATAATGGTTCAGTGTCAGTTTCGCACTTGGGCAAGAGGGAAGGCGCGCAGGCGTGCCTTCCAGCAGTGGAGCCACACCATGTACATGGTTAAGGTTGAGGGTCTTCCCGCTCCCGTCCGCGGGCAGAGCCTCAAGATGTCACGTGCCAGCCCCGATATGCTCCCATATATGGATTAAGTTGAATGTCTTTAGAAGAGACACCATTTGTGAATGGGTTTGAGTTGTTGAGTGGAAAACGAGTGTGGAGCAGGATTCAAGTCATTTGGAGTCCAGTTTGGGCGGCAGGCGTTGGAGTCGAGAATTCGCCGAGGCAGTATTACTCCTCTACTTCAACAAACCCTACAAGTCCTGGTTCCCAAAGTAACGCATCGGTCTTCAGATATAAATTGGAGAGTTATTTGAATGTTGATAGCCAGACCTCAGCTTGAGAACACTGTGGACTGCACCGTTGACCAGCGCTGGCCAGCGGTGGTAGCGGGATCGGCACCTCGGTGCCCATCAATTCCTCGGCAGACCCACAACGCTACTAAGCTTTATAATATTGCAAATCCAACGTTTTTCAACAGCTACATAGCTCAGGGGAAGAGCGCCGGGCTCATAACCCGGAGGTCGCTGGATCGAAACCAGTTGTAGCTACTTCCGATTCATTTTTTGGTTTTTTTGCTTGAAGGCCTGTGGTTTTTTGGTGATACCCTCTATCTGTTCTCTTTCATCTGTGATTCTTTGGTTCATTGCCCAGCCTTTAGCCATTGCATTTTCCACTGGCTGACTAAATCACTTATCTCTCGGTGAGTCAGATAGGTCTAGCACACAGAGGCACAGGACATACAGTATGTTACACATTCCAAGTCTTGGTTCTTGGGCCATGACTTTTCTTTTGAACACGCACAATATGCTTTTTGACATGTTGGCTATGCAGACGTTTATGCAGATCATCCCATATTCTTATTTTCAAGTGCTGACCCATTATTAAACAGGCGCAACCATTCACATACAAGATATCCATCGAAGCCTCCCTCATCACCAAGATTAAAGCACACCAGTAGAGGTCATATCATGGGTATCTTATATATACAAGTAAATCCAAGCCCTCCATATATTTTTCCCAGCCACATGTAACACCAATGTACCATTCATGAAAAACATTAAGGTCTAGTCGTTAAAAATCTGCGGCCGGCCTCTTTCCGCACTAGGAACAACTTACTGCATCCGCTGGTCCGCCTGGCTGGCACGCCTCTGCATCTTGCGCATGGCCTCGCGGTGCATCTCCAACATGTCGCGATCGGTGCGGATGCGCTGCTCGAACATCCTGCCCGCGCGCTCCCGCTCCGTCTTGAGCGTCTGCCGCTTCTGCGCCTCAGCCTGCCGCTGACCCATCATGAAGCTCCGCTGCGTCTCGATGTCGCGCTGCACCTCGGCGTCGTGGCTCTGCCGCACCACGTGTTGCGGCAGCGAGTTCGCGGACGATGTCCCCGGCACCCCGTAAATCGAGTTGATCAGCGGGCCCTGCTGCGCCTGCACGCTGCTGCTGCTGCCGTTGGCGTGGTACCCCCCGCCGTACCCGAGCTGCGCGTTCGCGTTCACTGCTGGGAGCCCCGAGGGCGTGGCGCGCAGGTTCTGCTGGACCGACTGCCTGAAGCTGGCGAGCTGCGAGTCCCGCACCACCTGGTTGGGGATGGTGGACGTGCGCTGAGGCTGGTGCGAGTTGAAGTTCGCCCCGCCCACGAGCGAGCCGCTGTTGACAGACGTCATGCTGGCCTGACGCATCATCGTCCTGCGCTGGCTGAGTGGGAGGTCGTCGGCGTCCACCGGTACCGAGCCCGAGATGGCCGCGGTCCCGGAGCTCCGGCGGCTGTTGGGTGCGCTGCGTGCGGCGTAGGGGTCCCGCATGGTAGGTGGAGGCAGCGCGGCTACTGTTCCGTAAGCGGCTGCTGGCGCAACACCTCGCACGGAGCCAGCTTCAGAAACCGAGGCCGACGAGGGTGGGCTGACCTTGCCCGGTTGGACAGAGTCTGGCCGGAGCACCGAGTTCTTCTTACGCATGAGCAGATCGCGTTGGCCGATTAGAGTCTGCGGGCTGTCGTATGAGACCAGACCGGGGATCGGTGGTCTCGGAGGAGTGCTGTTTCCGTTCGAGGGCATGGGCGATACCCCACCGGCCCCTTCGCCTGTGAGGGCAGCCGCCGCAGCCGTCCTCGCAGCTTTCCTGCTGTCTGTGCTGATGACGGATTTGTTGTCGTCTTCCTCCGCAACTGCAGATACGGCCCGTCCAGAAGCGCGTCGCATGTCCGAAGATACTCGCTGGCTTGGTGAGAGCTGAGGCCGTGGGGGTGTTGATGGTTCGAGGTTGCTTGGTGAGCGCGGTGGTGACTTGACTGGCACATTGCTGCCAGGGACTGCCAGATTCGCCGGTCGCTGGGCTGACATCGAAGAGACAGTTCTGGGCATGGCAGGCGGAGGAGTGGCGTCCAGAGCCGTCTTCTTCAGCTCATCCACATTCACCGGCGCTGCTTTCTCCTCAACGGCTGCGGCCTCAACCAGTTCTGGCTCGGGCTCTTGCGGGATCCGCAATTCGGCCGGTGAAGGCATCTCAGCATTTGACAGGTGCTTCGCCCATTCATTCGTTCGGTACGTCAAAGCGATCTTTGAGAGGCCACGAGGAAGTCGGTCCTTCGTCAGGCTCAGAGGACCAGAATCAGCCTCAGATGCGATCGACTTGCCTGCCTTGGACATGCTCTCTTCCCCGGCAGGCGATGATTTCTCTGAGGGCGATGATTCCTCCGCTTGCTTCTCGCTTGCCTTTTCTGATGTAACCTTTGAGTCTAGGCTCGGTTTAAACTTAGTCGTGTCTGGGAAATTGGCTGCGTTTGTGTCGGTTGCCGGTGAATTCAGAATGGCGGTTGAGACCGTAGCTTCTGAAGTTGGTCTCTTTGCTAGAGCCTTCTTTGGTGTCTCCTCATCGGCCAACTCGGCCTTGATCTCCATGCTAAAGGGTCTCTCAGCCGTCGGAGTGATTGCTCCATCACTGTATCCATCTGACTGATCCAGAGTTGCCGCCATGGACTCATTGTCGTCCTTCACGGGTGAGGTCAGATCCTCCCTGCTCTCGCCCTTTCCTCGAGCGGTAGTATCCACCTTCTTTCCCAAGGATCGCTGCGATATCCTTCGGAACAGGTCGGCCGACCCAACAGAGAGACGATTGGCAAGCGAGCTTCTCCTGCTCACATTGCTTCGTGTCTCAGATCGATCGTCGTCGCCTGCTGCACCAACCTCGGCAGGAACCCTAAAGGGAAGGGACACAAGATTCGGCGTTGGTGTTGAAGACTTGGCCCTGAATTCTGCAGACGCCTTGGGGACGAGTCGCGCTTCTCCATCATCGCCGATAAGCCACACCTTTTCCTCCTTTTCTGTCTCCGCGGCGGGGGATCCAGCATCAAGGTCATCAGCTGCAACGCGGACGGTAACCATACCGTCTGCGTTCCTGTCGAGCACCTTTTCTGCTGCCGTCTTGGTCTTTGGGGGCGTGCTGGGTTGATCCCCTTCGAGCTCTGTGACTGCAACGCCGACGGCATTGCCAGCTCCCGCCTCCTCGGCAATGGGGATCTCGGCCATTTCAATTTCTTCCCTTTCATCGACCGTGGAGCGGCGGGTGGCCGTGGCGGTGGTCGTGGTACCACTGTTGCGAGACTTTCTTTCGCTGTAGATATCACCAACACCGGAATCCTCTGACATGTGCACCTTCATTGGGTTCTTGCCTTCGCCATAGACAGCCTCCCATCGGGATCTCTCCGCTTCATTCGCCCTCTCAACTTCCCTGCCTATGTTTGCCTCGTGTTCTTGATTTTCGGCCTCTGCCTGGATCCTCTCCTCTTCTTTCCTGGCCCGGCGTTCCTTGATGATAAGCCAAAGCTTATTCTGGGACACAAGGCCGATCAAGGCGATGATAATCGTGCAAGCCTGCTCAACTCTGATTCCCCTGGTAAGGGGATACGTATCCGCACCAAGAGGGAACAAATTGTCGTTCAAGTCCCAAATCCAGACCCAGTATTCCTTGAGCCCAGCACGGCTGAAGCAGTCGATTCCGATGACAACTGCCGTCGCTCCGCTGAGGGAAATGCAGGTTATCATGAACTGAGCCCTCGTCCATCGGCTGAAATAGCCCGCAAATCCGGCAGCCGCAAAGACGGCGATGAAAATGGTCACGCCGGCCCCTCCTGAGCCGAGCAGGCCGCCTTCCTTCAGCGTCAGGAGCCACATGGCCAGGCTGAAGCCGCCCAGCAAACACGCGAGGCATTCCGTGACTTCCTTGAAGACGAGGGCCGCACCGCCAAGCAAGAGCCCTGTGCCAGTGGCAGCAACAACGTAAGCACCCTGAACACCGTTTGAGATTGGCGGGTTCATGACATAGATGATGAGAACTGTCACACCGATGGCGGCCAGAAAGCCGGCAGAAAGGAAGCAGTGCAACCACCGAGTCTTGATGCCGACGAGAGTGTAGGCAGCGCCCGTTAATATCAGAATGACACCGGCGACGGAGAAACCTGGAGTAACGCGTGGCTCCAAGGGTAGATCACCCGCAGCGATAGTAACTAGGCACCGTGTCAACACAGCTCAGTCATGTAATATACTGACAATATCACCTACTGTTAAAGAGGGTGGAATTAAGATCGTTGGTACCACCTGTCACTGTGGGGACTGGAGCGGTGCCGGTCCCTGTCGCAGATACTGAGGACAGGATCGAGGAGCTGTCCACCTCAGGAGTCGCTGTGCTATCTGACGAGGCAGCGGGGGATGTTGAGACGGCATCTCCAGTCGAAGAGGGAGAGGCAGTCGTGGCAGTAGCATCGCTTGTGTCATCCTGTCGTGGAAGTGGCCGCGCAACACCCGCCAAGACGATGTTGAAGCATAGGAGGAAGCATAGGAGAACCCCCCATAACCGTGGCGACGGGTTGGCCCTCATCATGTGCGACTGAGGAGACCGCTGGGTACTACTAATGCCTCCCAGGTGATTTCTCACAATTCCCTATGACCCGGGTGAGGAGGTGCGGAAGAGAGAAGGGCACGCCAGTTAGCAGATGTGAAGAAGGCGAATGAGACTCATCCTCCGCCAACAAAAGTGGGAATGGGGGACGGGTATGTAGGGAAGAGGGAGAGACTGTGGTCGGCCGAGAAGCACGAAACACAAGGCGACTCGCCAGAAGATGGGAGATCAAACAATATTGGCCGAAGAAACAAGAGGGCTGGACGGATCAAACAGAGTTCAGCGGAGGGGTATCGGGTCTGAGCTAGACGAGACGGGCCCAGGCTGTCGATGTAATGACGAGTGAAGTGAGGAAGATGCGGGTTGGTAGGTCTAGGCTATCGAGTACGACGTTCCCGTATGTACTCCAACGCAAGGCAAAGAAAAGTCCACCTCCAAGAGGTGTGGAGTGGACAAACGAGTGGACTGGAGAATACCGGTGAATACCGATGTATAAAGAACGACGAAGCCGACTGAGTGCTGGCAAGGCTAGGGACGGAACGAATGGGCGATCAAACATTGGTTACCATGGAGAACTGGAGGATAGCAGCGGCAGGAGGAGAATTAAAGAAAGGTGGACAAGCTTGCACCTCAGAGAGATCGGCTTGAGGATGGGTCCGATGAGGTACCGCACATGGATGTAGATGAGACGAGAGCCTTTACCTACCCTACCCATGATGCCACGAGAAATTCCCCCTTCTGTCATGGCGGCGCCTGGGTTTCTCTGGGGCAGCCAGGGGTGCTGGTCCCCATCGTGGCCCTTTTCGGACAGACAGGTACAGATGTAGCACCCCCGTGGGCTATGCAGCTCAACGGCAGGCCGGGGGCCACATTGAACAGGACCCTTTTATTAATGATTGGAAATGCCCCGGATGGGATGTGAAGTGCGGTGGTTGCAGTCACAAGGCCGGGCTCATCTCTCTTCTGCAGCGCTGTTCCGATGTCAAACGTCAGTAACGCCTGGGTTTTCCTTTTCCTGGCGTGCACCCCCGGTCTGCCGCGTGCAGCATGAAGTCCCATTGAGGCGCTGCGAAGAAGCAGAGAGGCATCCGACTGGTCGGCTGGACGATTGGGAGATTGCACCAGCAGTCAGGGCGGAGGAGCAGCAGCAGATCGGGACGAGAATGTCGCCCAAGAAGGTTTGGCCGATGAACGGTAAGGTACGGTACGGAGAGCACCTGGTGGTACTTGGGACTGGGTAGAAATCTCTGCTGCGGAATGCTGTAGATCTAGGCGTGCTCGTCGTCATGTAGCAACGAAAGAAGGCACATGTCATCGACCCAGACGGAGCTCTTGAGATGAGGTCGGCTTGACAGGGTTAGCAGGGCAGAACTGGCTCCAGAATGGCTGAATGACAGACAGGCTGGCTCGAGTCAGCTTTGACCTGCGGGTCGTGCGATATCCACTGGCCTGACATTTGGCACTAAATTAGATCGGATGACCGGGATCTACCCGTGCTGCCGGACAAGCAGGCAGGTACCTTGGCTTGGTACTGTGGCTCGAGTGTGGATGAGAGGCGCCCAGAGTTGAGACAGAGGCGCCTGCCACCGCCTGTCTACGACAAGAAAAAGCCCGATATTATCATCTAGCTAGACTTCATCTGTGCTTGGCATTTCAATAAAGTCTTATATATATATATATATATCGATGTTCTCTGGTTGAGTAGGCTGCTTTCGAGAATGAGTTTCCAAAAGGAAAACCAAGACGCCGCTATGTACATCTTTGCCTCAGCCCCCAGTCGACGGTACCTGACAAGGCGGCAGGGATGGGCCACACCACGACCAGGATGGGAGAGAGTCCTGATCCACCACTCAGTCAATCACGCACCTGATGAGCAGCACCTTAGTTCGCTGCAGCACCGGAAATCCCCATTTGCATTTCCAAGAAATTCTCCTCCATCGCCCGTCACCGCTGCGTCACAGTGAGTCGCTAGATGATGATTGTTTACGGCAGAGGTGTACTACTCATTCCAGACACCGAAATTGTCCTCCGCGATGCCTTCCACGCTGTTGGGGCCGCTAGGCAACCCGGCCGTGAACCATTACCGTGCACGCATCTTATTCCTCCCAGGGTGGGCCGGCTACAATCGAGATGCACAGACACACCGGTTCGCTGCTGAATGCATCCAAGGCAACAGAGAGACACAGAGACAGAGGTAGAGACTTCCCCTCATTTACGATCACGAAATCTATCTCGCAGGCGACTTGCTGCACGCAGGCTGGCTGGAGGCAGGCGGGCTTGCAGCCGGCCACCAGCACCGTCGTTGCATCGCTGCCAATCGGAGGTCCAAAGCCTGGATGTATGTACGTACTGGATTCTCCCGTGCAGGAGCTTTCTTTCCTGAAGACGGACGATCTCATCTGGCGCGTCGACGCCACCCACCTCTGGCGCTGGGCTCGAACCCTCGGTACCAAGAACGCGTCGCGCCCAACTTGCCCCGATGTCGCCAGGAGTCGCGAACGGTGGCCAGTTCGGGCCAGACGAACATCTGCCCAGAGCTCATAACTCCTTGAAGTCTCTGGGTAGGAGTCTTCTTCGTGATGCCAGGATGGGTGAGCACGGTGAGGTCGTGCCCTCACGGCCGCCCTTGTGTGACGATTTCCAGTCCAGGAGGCGACTTGTACAACCGTCCGCAAACGGTCATAGACCGGGGTGAGGGCCAAGGTTGGCTGCGCAGCCTGCTGGGGAACTTTTCTCACGTCGCGCAAGAAACCACGCGTCTCCCCCTCTGTGGTCTTTCGTTTGACAGCCCAAAAGAAGCAAGTTCATGTCCAAAATGGCAACATTTCGTTGTGCCCCCTTTTTATTCTCCTTGAACCTTCGTGCATGAATTCACCCATAAACTTGCTACACCCTCGGATCCGCCTTTTCGATCTTCAGCCACGCCTCCCCTCGGCCTGTCCTTGCCGGCTGGTCCTGGTTTTTTACAGTTTCAGGTTGGGAGTGAAAATAGCAACACTGAATATACAAGACTTCTATAGAGCCCCTCGGCGACTTTTTGAGCTTTGGCCAACCAGATCGGAGCAGAGTAATCTGACGATGGGGCCTTGTTGCTCCTGAACGGCGATGTACCGCGATACATACCCACGTAGTACCTACTATAATATGCACGTGTGTTGAAGTTTTCCCTCTGGGCCTGTGGGGCCCGAATAGGGGCTCCACTTCCTCCTTCCCGAGAATGGAGCTCGATACGCGAACAAAAAAAAAAGGCCACAGCTCGTCCGAGTAGACTGATAAACCAATACTTCACCGGATCGGGCTTCTCGCACGAGAAAGAAAAAAGTCGGCGCATGATGGGCTGCCGTGCGGCCAGCCTGCCCAGCCAACAAATGAGCACCTGCGAGGCTTGGCCCCCTCTCGTAATCACCAAGCAAATAGTTTGATGAAGACGAATTCAGGAAAGGGAAACAGATTGCTTGCTTTTCATGCCCACAGACACCAGCCCATCTCCCGCCTCAACGGTGCCTGCATCTCAACCACACAGCCTCCTCCCGAGAGGCCCTCGTCTGCATGAAACCAGGCTGCGCGGCCCCCAGCGGCGCTGTGCGATGGCCGGAGCTGCGCGTCAACCACGACAAGCGCACATCGGCAATACCCAAGAAGGGCCCCCATCTCGGCAGAGGGAAAAAGACTAGCAGCTCAGCTTGCAATGAAGTTTCCTGAGTCGGACGCGATATGAATCATTGGCACACACACACATAAACGCCCACGCGGCAAACGGCAAGGCGCAGGAGACGCCAAAATTGCGAGCGCGGTGGTCCGTCATTGCCCGCGGCTCCGGCGCTCTGGGACGAACGGGAAAAGGGGGGGGGGGAGGGTAGCAGTTCGTCGCAAGATCTCGCCCATCTGAACATAACAGGCCTCACTGACCTTGCATAGGTGGTGGTTGGGGGTGATCGAGTGAGCACGGACAAATTGCACCATCCGCACAGTATATGCTTCGCTGGAGAAAGCTTGACAAATACATCTGCTTCTGCATACCTACGGTGGGTGACACATCACACACGTGGTGTCAGGATAGGATGGCTGTTGTCTTCCCAGAACTAAGACAGGCCCAGCCCAAACCTGCACGTCACCGTGATGGGGCAGATTATTTCACTCGCACGCAAGCGCGAATAGAGCTGAAGTCGGCGCATTTCCCGTAGAGCGTGATTTCTACTGACAGAGTGGTATTGGGAAAGGTGAATCTCGATTTCACCTGCATAGTAGAGTTCGAACCTGCATATTTGAGACGGTTTCCATGCACTGGATCTTTTTAACCTTTCATACCGGCCACCATCCGGCATCGAGTATCCCGACACTCAAAATCAAGGTGAGGAGATAATTGTCCCATTGTGTGATCTAGCAAGCCTCACGCATTGAGACCAACAAAGAAGAAGGCATAGACTGTGGACATGCCCGCCGTGAACAATGTGCCGTTTTGCCATCGAGCGCATCCATTCAAATCGAACAAGGCGCCTGGCAGACGCTCAAAATTGGTCTTTCAAATCATAATACTCCGCTCTGCTTCGTCTCCGTCGAAATCACGTAGACATTCCGTGCCGTCGACTCCGTGCGTCTTCGCGCCAACTTCCGAACACGCTCCTCTACCCAGGTGTTGTTTCACCGTGTTGAATCTTTTGGTATCATATGTCAAGTGCCCACAAGGACCAGACCAAGTGCTGTTTTTGAAACGTAAGAAGCAAAGTGAAGATAACAAGTGAAGGCAACTCAGGGACTGTACCTCCTCGACAGTCTCGACGGAACTCGATCTCTATATCGGTCCCTTTCCGATCCGGAGCCGGGTTTTGATACCTTTCCATAGCCCCGTCCAGATCTTCCTGGCCCGGACGGTCGACCGTCTTTTCTTGACGATCCTTTTCGCAGCAACAGCCCTGCGACCAATTTGAATGGCCACATCACGAGATACAGGACCACATGATATGGAATCAGGATGAAAGACACGATAGAATCCACGCACCATCTCAACAGCGCAGTATAGCTCCACTGTGACTGATCGCTCTGCTTTGCAGCAGCTGCCGCGAGTGCTATCGCATCGCTCAGCCGGGTATCGACAGCGCCCAGCCGCGATTCTGTCTGCAACGCCAACACTGTCGCCTTTTTCTCATATCGTCGAACCGCACGGTTCAACGCGTCCAATTCTGGCTGGATCGCATTTCGCACTTCCCTGACGAGTGCTGGCCCTTGCTTCAGACTACTATTTTGCTGCTGTTGCTGCCGCTGCGCTGAGATCTCAAGGGACTGTGCTGTCACTGCCTCGGCTGCTTCGGCACGGAGCTCAAGCTGCGCGACGCGGAGACGCATCTCCTCAAGCTGTTCTTTTGTCGAGGCTGGAGTAGGAGTGAGCCTGACTATTCTCTGGAGGTGCAGCGTGCGTGCCTGTATGAGTTTGAGAGCGTGGGACAAGGGGCGGAGCTCTGCTGCAAGGAGGAACACTGAGATATTAAAGTTGGTAAGGAGTCCTTCAGAGGGCCGGCTAAGCTGATTGCGAATGGCATGAAGAAGGTATGCGCCTATGACGGGGCTGAGAAAGCATGATACCAGAGCCAGGACTTCATGAACGTAGAGCTCGTTGACAGCTGCTTCCTGGGAACGTGTGCGGCTGGGCCGTTCCACGGGTGATTTCCCCTCAAGGTTTCTCCGCGTCTCAGGATGTTGCTGCATCGGCTGAGAGGACTGCTGTTCATCCTGAAGCGTCTCTTCGGGGACATCGTCCAACGTCACGATAGACGCCCTCTTGCTTGGCGCGATGTCCGATTCACTTCCATCCTCGGATACGTGCTCCAGCCCAACTTCCTGCCTAATACGTAATTCCTGGGCCGAGTGATACCACTGCCATGGCTGCGTGACGGTATATCGGAGGAAGACAAATACCAGGCCAAGGAGCATGACATCGGTTATAAGCTGGCTGCCTCCCTCAAACAAGACTCCGACCAAGGCTGGCAGCAGCGCAAAAGCGATGGGCAGGTTGGCCAGAGCACCGGAGCTGTCCTGGCCCATGTCATGTTTCGCCCCACTTGGGTTCAGGATATCCTGGGTGCCATCTCGCATTGAGCGTCGAGCTTCAGATATGCTGAAGTCGGAGAAGGTTGAGCTGCGCCGTCGGAGGCCATTGGAAGGCGACTCGAGGTTCTCGGATGAGGGATGGGAGGTAAGAGAGGCTCCGCCGCGGAGCCGCGAGGCCTCATCTATGGTTATTGAACGACGGATCGTGTGTCCTGGTGGAGCGGGAGGAGAGCCAGATGCTGTTGCAGAGCTGGAGGGGTAAGAGAAGGAAGTCGTGGTCGCACGAGGAGAGGTAGGACGCTCTGGAGGAGAGGACCGGGATGGTTGGGGTGGCTGTGGCGGCGACGACACATCTTGGGCGGTGAGGGTGTCCATAATGACTTGCCGCGAAGACAAGACACCTTGGGATCATGGACGACAGTCTATGTGAGCCTCATCTTGGGGCAGCTGTGGATGGAAGGGAGAGTGAGGAGACTTAGGACGAGGAAGCGGAAAGGCGGGGCGGCAGTGTGATGCAGCGTGGGCCTGAGGTTTGCTGGCAGGTATGCGTACGGTATGGGTCAGGACATGGTGTGACGGGACGAGCGAAGGGGTGACTGGATGATGGTTCATGTCCCGCCCTCAGAGCTAGGAGCGCGTTGTGTTGTACACACAGGCGCAAAGTCGTGGGACACGTTACTCAAACAGGACATGGCAGCGGCGATCCTGCGCGGCTGGAGGGAAGGTGCAGCGGCAGTGGAATGCGCCTCACCTCATTTGGACGGGCGTGTTGGAGAAAGAAGTTGGGGGTTCGCGAATCACGACGTCACCAGGCCTGTCTTTTTCGTCCCTTGCAGTGCCAAAAAGTGTCTAACCTGCTAAAGTGTGCGGACAGGCGCTGTTGGATAAAAAAAGGTAGGCCTTGAGAGGTTTTGGGCGCTACATATTGCAACACCTACTGTACTGTATGTACCTAGGCAGTGCTAGTCCAGGTAGGTAGATGAATAATCATCAACTCCTTTGCTCAAACGGGCATGGCACAGGCACAGAATATAAAGACCCGGGATATCCGCAGCCTCGATTCTGGATACGAGACTCTTACACGCAATTGACAGCCCTGCAGCGCCCTGATACCCCAGTGCTCGGAGATTATTGCTGGCCCGGAGAGCCCAGCTCGCCCCAGCCGGCACTCGTGGGTACGGAGACAGCTTCATCATCAATGACAGCTCAGGACAGCACTGGACAGCTCAGCTCAGCTCTGGGTGGTCAATTTATTGTGGGCTCCCGACAGCTCGGATGGCCCCAGTCTAGCAGTCGGCCAGGGCCTTGAGCCGATTCGGCAGGGATATCCGGATGCCCATGCAAGTCTGGCAAGCAATCCCTCAAGATTGCATCCTTTGTGCCTTTTTAGCTTTCGATAGTAGCCCGCAAGATGAGGTCAACAGCCAGGGCGACGGTCGAGTAGCCCACTCTTCTTCAGATGACGACTGGCAATGCCAGTCCATTTCATCCCAAACGGCCTCTATATTTGCAGGGGACCGCGACGACGAGAACGGTACAATTTTTCCCAACGCCTTCACCGAGTCACTGATATTGCAATCGTCAGTGTCGGATGAGTGGTCTCGAGATGCCAAATCTCCCTCCACTGGACGAGATGTCCAGCAAGGTGTGCAAGCAATATGCTCTCGTTTACTGTGATGACGATGCTGCACGTGTATCATGCGCTTTGCACCCAACCGCCTTACCCCTGGGGCGGGTAGCATCCCGCTTTTGCATGCGCGCATGAGGCTCGGCGACGACGAAATGACTGCAAGAAAACCTCCGTGTAGGGAGGGCCAGGGAAGATCGACACCTGCTGATGAGAGCCCTGCGCACAAGCTGGTCCCAGCCAGCCCTACGCACATGTCCTGCACGGGCTTGCATCCAACATCCATGGGCGCCAGACACGCGCAGAGCTTTAGACACAGGCCTATGTTCAGGGATGCGAGGTTATTCTCGTCCAGCTCAAGCATTTTATCCAAATGGCCAATCTGAGATGTTGGCCCCCGACGCTAGTAACTATATTACTACGGCGAAGACGACAGAATTTTTCAAAGAATTCCGTCCGGCGAGCAGACCAGAGCTGACCTGACTGTACTGTCTGACCTGACCCGAATTGGCCTGACGATCAACCTCTGCAGAGACGAGACTTGACCACTGACTGACTGTACTCGATATCACACACAAACTTACAACCAACAGCCGCCAGATCCGATCGATTGCTGCGTGTGCTGTGCATGCGGTCAGACTCGCGGCTCACGGAAGACGGGCCACACACGCGCGATATCGCTTCACCAGGCCTCGCCTCCTGTCTGTTCATAGACTTTCGAGTTTCACTTGGACCGACGCCTCAGTATTACCCGACTGCAATCCCGCGCCACGAGACATAAGCGAAGACATCCCTTCTTTCTGCCCGTCGGAGTAGGAGAAACCCTTTTCACCAGAACTGTCAGAACTGTCAGAACCGTCACTACCACTCCTCTGTCTTTCCCTCCTCCTCCTGCTCCTCCTGCTCCTCCCCTTGCCGCATCTCTTCTTCACGGAGTCAACGCCAACCGGCTCCGACTGTCGCGCATGTCTTGGGGCATACCAGACAAGACCAAGCCAGACAAGACCACTGCCGAGCCAGCACGCATGACGAGCAGGCAGCGACTCAGGCTACTGTCATGGTAGCATTTGGGTTTGGAGAAAACGACTGCGACCATCTGGAGTCAGCCGTTTGCACTCTGCCCCTGACCCTCGGGAATCAGATCTGGATCTGGATCTGGATCTGCCATTCTTTTTACTCTGCTTCTGACTGCCAGCCCGCGCCCGCTGCGCTCACCACAACCACCAGTGCGAGTGCCCACAGGACGCCGTTTTCTGACGTGCATCCGAGTCTCTGGACACTACTGCAGGTCGACCGGCGGGAGCCGCCGCCATCCTCGCCGCCAACGGGCTACCATCCTTCTTCTCTCCCTACTTCTCCCTCTCCTTCTCCATATTCGCTGCACGAACCCAAATCTCGTGCTCACACGGCTGCCCGTACCGACCCAAAAGTATCCGTCGCACGGGGACACCGAACCACCATTTCTGCAGGTGGGAATTGCAATCGAAATCGCCAGATTCTGATCCTAACGCTGAGTCGGCGCCGGTGCTCCAGCCCTGGCAGGCCAATCTCAATTTCCGGCCCTGCTCCACCACCGCAAAATTCAGACTTCCTCAGCGCGTGCTCGTGCCCGTGCCATTTGTGCTTGGACCCACGGCGAAGGACTCGTGCTGCTAACAAGTTGTGGCTGCGGCTGCACCTGCACCTGCAATTACACCTGCACCTGTACCTGCACCTGCAACTTGCAGCCAAACACCATCGAGGGCGACAACCACTGCACGAGGGACAGGCGCGATCTCCCTTTTTAGGATCTGGAGATCTGACCCCGCAGCGCTTAATCGGACGGCAGTTCACAGGGACGGGCACAAGCACACGCACTCGCCCTCGCACACGCACACGCACACGCACAGGAAGAGGTCCAGGCTCAGGCCCAGCCATCCACACCACCCACCCGCCGAAGCCCAGAGCCGTCAAAGCCGTTTCAGCGGCTCCCCATCTGTTCCAACGGCTTCACACGCTCCGCTCCGAGATAATCGTCGATCAATTGAATTCACCGCCTTGAGTCCAGAGCATGTCCATGCTCACCCTCACCCGCACCCTCACCCTCACTCCCGTGCTCCACGGAATGATCCCGTCGACAATCATCCTGAACAGCCAGCCCAAGCCCGATTTCCTGTCCCGGCTGTGACGCTCCCAGGCGTGGCCCTCCCGCGCACTCCTCCCCTATCTCAACCCCCACGCCAGCATCAGCACCACCAAAGGTTCCAAAGCCAGAGCTATCTTCAACAGCAATCTCCCTTTCGCATTCGCGACTCCACGACCACCGCCCAGCAGCACATCCGACAAGCCTCCGCCGGCCGTCTTTGGAATCCCACCAATTCGACACCGCGCTTCCTGCTAGAATCTCCACCGAGACCTAGGCGTCCGTCGACTCCCACGCCGCCGACCATCCCCATCCCGTATCCTGCCCTCGACGTCTCCCTTCCATCCATCAACCTCGGAGGCGCGCTTTCCATCACCGGAGACACCCCATTGTTACCACTTTCAGAGCAGCGAGACGGAAGGAACAATTCTGGTGGTCCGCGCAACAGTCTTCAGATTGGTGGAGATACGATAAGCTTGCCCCGATCTGTGCGGCATTCATACGACGAAAAACGGAAGAGCAAGGGCACTCTCACTCCCTCGCCCACCTTCCCCAAGGAATCAAGCGAGGAGACAGAAGCAGGCCCGTCGACAAGACCATCTCGGGCGGTGCAGGAGGTGGACATTGCGCAAGCCGGGGCGGTTCCCAGGCTCAGGCGGCGCGACGAGCGAATCAATCCACACGTGACGGTCACGGAATTGGGTTCTCAAAGCAGCTTTCAGAAGCTTGACAAGGGCAAGGGCAAAGCAGTCATGACGGCCAGCGACGAAAATGAGCAGCAACCAACGACGTCCTTTGATCGGGACCTCGAGCGAGGACCAGAAGACCACGAGCGCCGGGCCTCGGCAGGTTCGATAGATGGGATAGGATCAGCCATATCATCAAGCAACTCGTCCATCCTGGGCGACCCCGACGAACAAGCCGACGACGATGAATGGGGACCCCAACACCCTTGCTTCCCACACCTGAATCCCCATGTACCCGTCGACTCCTCGGAGTACGTCAACACTCGGATAATCAGGATAAAACGGGACTGGCTGCTCGAGGGAGATCTTGCGCCCACGTTTTCCAACATGTACCCCGAGATCCTCGACCCGGCCGGTCTGTCCGAGGTGGAGTTTCGAAGGGTCATTGATAAGCTGAACTCGGAGCTTGTTCCGATATATAACCCGTACAACGTCCGAAATATCGTCGACGGTGTTCTCGGCCTAGTGACTGGATGGTTGTGGGAGGACTTTGGACTTACGGGCGCGAAGGCCAGGCTTGCCAGGCTGGAGAGGTGGCTCGAGCGGTGGAACAAGGAGATGGAGAAGACAGCTGGTGGAGATGACAACATTGTGCCGCCCAAGATCGTCCCTCTGAGACAGACGGCTTATATGACGGTGAGCATCCCAAGTCCATCCATCTCATGGGTCAGTACTGACTGATTATTCCACAGCTTGACATCCAAATCTTCGACCCTGAGATTCTCCCAGCACAGAGCACCAGGGGCACCGACTCGAGAGGGAACGACAGCTTGCCAGCTGAGCCAGGGCCTGCAGTGACCGCTGACTGAGATGATTACGCACTGAAATGCATTCAAAATCTGCTCTAATAATTATATTAATCGAGCACCAAGGAACGACTTATGATTATACCCCTACATTTTTTTCTCTACAGTCTTACTAATCTCTGTTTGCAACCTGGGGACGGGTTATCTGTACCACAACGCATGAGCGCATGGCGTTTGACTGTTACTTTACTTTTGACTTGATGGCTAAAGGGGGGGGGGAGGGTGGTGGAGGGTGAGAGGCGATTAGGGAAATGAGAAGACTTTGTTCGTCATGAATTGTATCTGGGAAAGAGCGATTGTCATTCTGCTATCTTGTTGATTGAATGAAGCTATTTGAAGAACACATCCCCAGAGTCCCTTCCTTTCTTTCTGGAGGAGATGGTGATGACGTTTTCTCGGTAAATTATGGCGTTCGACCAACAGGAGCCATCGGAAATCCTCCCTGAAAGCTGCCCATCTAGTGAGAATTGTTTTGGTATCCACCGAGTGCTGCGAAAGACAGTGTCGATCGTGGCCTGCTTACTCCTCTGCCAGCCTTGCACCAACCTTCGTCACTGACAGAGCCTTTCAGGACCACTGAGCTCAGCAGCACAATTTTCCTCCGCTGGCCAGATAATAGGTGGAAGCTCCTGATAAATCCAGATAATACATCAACTCCACAACGGGCACCCATCCTAGCGCACCCGCCGATTTGTGGCCGATCCTCGCGCTCCGGCAATAAAGCGGCCAGGACCGCATCTCCAAACCCCCGGCTTCTTCAGTGAGCGGCGGTGACGATTAGACCTCTCCTCACTCCCGCACAAAGGAAAGCCCGCTTCAGCACCCTGTTTATTTTCCTTTACTTTCTTTTCTTTCCCCTTTCTGTTCCGATTTTTTGGGGATATCTTTCTACATTACGGGTATCGTTGCTGTTATGAACACAATCCCACACCAATCTCCTCCCGTCGCCGGTGGTGCTGGCTCAACACCACAGCCACAACCAGAGCCTCGCCCTTGATGGTTGTCACCAAAGGGCTCCCGGACCCTGCTAGCCGGAGCGCCCAGGCCGGGGCCCGGCCCCGGGCCCCGAGCGAGGGCGACGAGGCTTCCACCGAGACGCAGCGGAAGGGATTCGTCGCGTTCATTTTGAAGGTCCTCAAGTTCATTGGCGAGCAATGGCTGATCATTGGGTTCGGACTCGCCTGTTTGTTTGGATATCTATGGCCTGGTAAGAGGAAACATGAGCCCACCTGCATGGATGAGGAATATGGGAAGACTAATCGTACTATCTGGGGCAGATGTCGCATCAAAGGGAGGAATAATCAGGTCCGAGTACTCTGTCCTCTACGGCTCGGTGGCTATTATTTTCCTCATCAGTGGACTGCAGCTGTCACCAGAGAAGCTTCGAAAGAATCTCTCCAACTGGAGGCTGCACATCCTCACGCAGGGCATCAGTTTCATATTGATACCGCTTATTTGGCTAGGTATGTCCAGCACCACGACACGGACACAGGCCGGAGTCCTCTAGCACATACTGTGGCTGACCATCCTGCTAGCCATCATGTGGATCATCATCGCCGCCAACGGCACGAGACATATCGAGCCCTCCGTCCTCGTCGGAATGCTCGTGCTCAGCTGCCTCCCCACGACCATCGCCTCGAACGTCGTCATGACCCGTAACGCGGGCGGCGACGACGCGGCCGCCATCATCGAGGTCGTCCTCGGCAACGTCTTCGGGTCCTTCCTCTGCCCGGGCCTTATCTACATCTTCATCCCGACCACGGCCGAGTTCCGCGACTGGACGCCCTCGGACGCCTCCGGCATCCCCGAGATGTACCGGCACGTGTCCATGCAGCTGGGGCTAAGCGTCCTGATCCCGATAGTGCTGGGACAGACCCTCAGGATGCTTTTTAAGGAGACGGTTCTCTGGGTCCTGGACAAGTTCTGCCTGGCCAAGGTGTCGACCTTCTTCCTGTGTACGCTGGCGTGGTAAGTTCCTTCCAGCACTGGTAGTTCGCAGTCCTATGAACAGACCAATACTGATGCACCGGGGTCCAGGTCCACATTCTCCAACGCCTTCAAGACCGGGGCGATCGAGAGGCTCCCCACGGCCTCGATCCTTTTCAACGTTTTCATGAACGTAGGGCTGTACGCGCTCTTCACGGGGGTGTGCTTCGTGGCAGCGCGGCCGCCGCACCGGCTGGTGATCGCGTTCGAGACGCGGGCGGCGCAGCGGTACATACCGCGCTGGCTGCGGCGGGTCGTGGCGCCCAAGCAGATGTCCAAGGAGCAGGCGGTGGCGGTGTGCTTCTGCGGCGCGGCGAAGACCACTAGCGTCGGCATCCCGCTCGTGGCGGCCATGTGGCACGCGAAGGCGGCCGAGACGCAGGCCACGCTCGCCATCCCCGTGCTGCTCTACACCATGGAGCAGGTCTTCCTCGCGCAGATCCTCGTCTACGTGTTCCGGTGGTACCTCCGGAGGGGCGAGGCCCACAAGGAGAGCATGGACATGGAGGCCTTGCATGCGCGCCTTGGCCGGGGGTTCGAGGATGTCGATGGAGTGGATGAGAGGGGCCGCGGTGTGAGACTTACGGGTGATGATAGCGGCGCGAGGAGGGCGCGGCAATTTGATGATGTTTCGTTGGATTGACGGGCCTCCTTACACTAGTGGTTGTGTATATACTGGGTGACGTGCGCAGGGTGGAATATCTCTAACCTATTGGCTATCCTATTTACTAATGTCCAGGCAGAGGTCAGAGAGAGAGGAGAAACAGTCTGCCATTCCTCATTGCTAGATACCCTACCTACATCGCAGATACGAAGGCACACCGAACTAAACAGAATACACAAGGGCAACCTTTCTTCAAGTATTGCTGTGCCTCTCTTCCTTCCCATGATGTGCTCGGCATTGCAAATTGAAGGTGATTCACGCATCGGATGTAACCTCTCGAGACTGTTATTTGATCTCACCAACTGGACAACGCTCACTCATTGGCAGCATGGTTGCCTCTGCTTGGCTGGGAACAAAGAGAATCGATATCTCGGCCTGTGCAATGCTCAGATGCAAGTTGCTCCAGAACCCAGTTACATCGTTGGAATTTGGAGGTTCTATCACAAAGATGCCAAAGCCGTTTACATTCATTATTCATTCGGGGGGCCATACAGTGTCCTCTTCCATGGCCTGAAATGCTTTCGATACAGTGTTTCATGTGTGTCCAGAATATGTACCCCATTCATCTAGGTCATGACAATTTATCTTCTTTGAAAACCTCGACTGCGGTGGTCAGAGGAAAAGGAAGACTAAATGCTGTGCTGGCTACTTAATCTTTCTTGATGAGGCTGTCAAACAGCGGCTTCAAGCTCTTCGCGCTCTTCTTGGGGTGTCGCTTCTGGTCATGCTCGTAGTCGACGTATGTCACACCGACTGTGCAAACGTCAGCCATATCCAGAAAGAGAAAAAACAAAAATTGGAAGAAGCGCGATATTATACTCACATCTCGTCTCGTAGCCCTCGGCCCACTCGAAGTTGTCCATGAGCGACCAGGCCAGGTAGCCGCGGACGTCGACACCGTCCTCCTTGGAGGCCAGGGCCATGGCCTTGACGTAGCCGTCAAAGTACTCGACGCGGAAGTCGTCCTCGACGATCTGCTCCAGCTTCATGTCGTTCTCGCCCTTGAGGCTGGTGCCGTTCTCGGTGACGTAGATCTTGGGGTGGCCGTAGCGCCTGGACAGCCAGCCCAGCAGGTCCCGGAAGCCCTGCGGGTTCGGGCGCAGCCAGAAGCTCTGCGTCTCCGGGCCGATGCACTCGCCCTTCTTGGAGTAGAAGAGCGTCTCGAGGTTGCCGAGGAAGTCGTCGGCCGGCGGGGTGCCCGTCTTGTGCTTGATGTAGTTGGCGGTGTAGTGGTTCATGCCGTAGAAGTCGTTGCTGCCCTTGACCAGGGCGACCTCCTCGGGCGTCCACTCGGGCAGGCGGTCGCCCAGCTGCTTGCGCATCGAGTCCGGGTACTTGCCGAAGTAGATGGGGTCCGCGAACCAGCTGATGGCGAACTCGATCTTGCGGTCCGCCGCCTCCACGTCCTCCGGGTCCTCCGGGTCCCAGGGGTACACGCCGTCGCCGTTGAGCGTGATGCCGATCTCGCCCTTGTCGGTGGGCTTGAACTCCTCGCGGTAGACCTTGACGGCGCGGCCGTGGGCCAGCAGCAGGTTGTGGCCGACGGTCCACGGCTCGCGCGAGCTGTCGCCGACGGCCGACTTGGAGCGGTCGGAGCAGTGGCCCGGGGCGAAGTAGCCGGTGCTGTAGCCTAGGATGGAGCTGCACCACGGCTCGTTGAAGGTGATCCAGTACTTGCACTTGGGGATGGCCTTGAAGACCACGCGGGCGTAATGCTCGAAGTCGAGAGGGAACTCCTCCTTGTTTAGCAGGCCGCCGTAGCGCTTGTCGAGGCCATCTGGCAGGTCCCAGTGGTACAGCGTGATGAAGGGCTCGATACCGGCGTCAAGAAGGTCGTCCACAAACTTCCTATAGTGGTCAAGGCCGGCCTGGTTGACGGGGTCGTTTCGCCCGCCGATAGGGATGATACGGGACCAGGAAAGGGAGAAGCGGTAGGAGTTGACGCCGAGAGACTTCAGCAGGGCGATGTCCTCTGCCGTCCGGTGGTACGAGTCACAGGCCACGGAGCCATCGCTGCCGTCGGCGATCTTGCCTGGGATTTTGCAGAATGTGTCCCAGATAGATGGGCCACGGCCATCTTCCTCAGTGGCTCCTTCGACTTGGTAGCTGTTCACAACGTTAGCCTTCGCCCACCATAGTAGTCTGGAATGAGATGGTTTTCGTGGGCTCGTCGAACTTACGATGCCGTGGCAAAGCCCCACTTAAAGTCCTTGGGCAAAGACATGATGGAGACGAACTGTAGGCTATGGACTCTTGCTTAGACCAGAAGATAACTGGTCAAGGGTTAGGGTGAAGTTTTGGGCGCGAGCTGATGAAGGCTTGAGAGACAGCGAGGTCTTGATATATACGTATATATCTGTGTGCTTCAAGAGGAGTGAGATTCTATTGACGTTGCCAATGTGTGGGTAATTAATGATCAGTCAGGCCCCAGGAGAGAAGTGACCACAGTGAGGCAGACAGAGGACACTGGTGAACAGAACTGTGGGAGGCTATCTGCTTTATATATTTTATATATATTTGCACGTCAAACGCTGGGAAGGCCACAACAACCACTCACGTCCATCTGGGGGCCCAGGATGAACGTGATCTGTTCTAGAGTCGAAACAGATAGTGAGAAAGAGCTGGCCTGTTCGACTTAGATTGGCTGTAGAGAGTTGGATCTACGTCCCCCAATTCTGCCGTTTCTCGGACCGTCACGACCGAGAAAAGCTAGGCATAGCCTCGGAATTGCCCTCTCCTCCATCGTCCCACGAAACGTGCTACATCTCGCAGGGATCCCCAACACCCCAATAACCCCAATATAACCTGATCAACTCACACATGCTCGAGGGTTACCTCCTCTGGCTGGTTGATAGCCTCTTATAGATGACTCGTCAAACAATAATTCTTGTATCAAGATAGATTTTGTCTGCCTCTTCCTGCGATTTCTTGAGTTTCTGGCAAGTCTTTGGGATCCCTGTCGTTGTACGCGCTTGGTTGGGGGTTATGTTCTCCATCCATGGCCTGTCATAATCGTCCTCAGTCTCCTTCTTCCTCCTCCACCACCCCACTTAGACGCGGGGTAACATGCCTGAAGAGCCCACATTGACTCTTCGGAGGCTGACGGTGATACTGGCCCTAGTCTGTCTCGCAAACAACCCCCCTTCCCCCTTTCCACAGCAGTCATTACGGTACCTGTCGAGGAAAAGATGCAAATGCCACCTTATTTCTGCCCAGGTCCAGTAGGCGCACAACACAACAGCAACACACCGTATCATCCTGAACAAGCCTCGTGGCTTGGCAAAAATCAGAAGAGGGCCTTGAAATCTAGCCCCCAGTTCTCCCCCATTTCGTGGGCCTCAGCGTCTCGGCCCGTCCAGCCGCCAGCTTGTCAGTTGCGGCGCTTGCCTTCTTCAGGCGCCTAAACCTCGGGAATCAGGCGGGTGGTGTGGCTGCTTAGACCTGTCCTGCGCCGTCCCGTCTCCGGCCTAATCGCCCGTCTATTGCGTCGCACCGGCGGCAGGAGACCGCGGCGGTTGAACTTCGGGTGAGAAAACAGAGCTGGACTCGGAGAACGGCATTTGTCCCGGTCACGATGCACGTAGGCCTAGTAAGCTTCTCATGTTTCTGTTTCTTGTTGACGCTTCAACTGCTCACTGAATTCCGCTATTATGGCTCCTTTGCTAGCTCTATTGTACACGTCGCGTGGTTCCGATCCATTAGATCCGCTTGTTCTTTCTGTGTGCGGTTATCTCGTACCTTAACCCCCCCCCCCTCCTTTTTTTTTCTTTTCGAATACTAACGCCCAGCTACCAACCACGTCCATACAATCAACCTCGAATGTAAGACTCCTTCCTGCCCCAAATATTGACTCCCCTGAGCACATTATCGCCATGACGATCTGAGTGCAGTGGCACAGCCGTCCCGTCGGCCCTGACATCAAGACCAGCCGCTCCAATATCTGCCGGCTTTTGTAGTGTCTCGCGAGAATGCCAGCATGATGCGGCATCCAAGACACAGCCGTGATTGGTGGTTGGAAGTGGTGTATTTTACAGGCCATATTGCTCTGCGCAGCATCGACCGCATGCCCGCCATTCGGATCACTGCTGGGTAACACCCTCCGTATCATCGCTGGTGTCCCTTTTGCGCTTTCCGTTGTTACCGGAAGGTCCGTCAGGCTCGCTGTCAGCGTCGTCATCTCCGTTGTACTCGACAATATGCCACTGTGCCCAAGTTGAGCCATCGGCACTCCGGCGCGTTACACTTGCCCTCTTGAGCCTGCCGCCCAGGCTGCTTCCCTCCACGAGGCTTTCAATCCATGGAATCCCGTGAGACTCCCGACCAATTGGCTGCGAGGCAGTCGAGAGCGTGGCAGAGACCCGGTCTGTCTCGCTTGCCTGCTGAACCGCCTCTAGGGCCCCTCTCACGGGCAGCCCCGAGCTTTCTCCCTCAGTCGGGGACTCAGGAATCAAGCCCATCTCGTCGAGATCCCCCAGATCGTCACGGCAAAGGCTCCCAAGGGTGACATGGATGTATTCGGCCTCATCTCGTGGCTGTTCAGTCCAAAACGTTAGAGGAGTGCCGCAGTAGCCGCAGAACTGGCGGCGGGCATTGTTCTCGGCCGGATTCTCATACACACGACGGATGCTGCTGGCGGTCTCGTCGGGGAAATAGGCAACGGTAGCTGAGTAGAACCAGTTCAAGGGGATGCGAATGTGCGCAGAGAGAAGGCTGGCTTGGGCGAGGCCTAAGTACGGTGTTAGCTACAAGGCCTGCATGATGAGGCTGTGGGTGCCAGTGCAGCTTAAGCTTACGATGAGACGCGTCTGTTCCAAAACGAACCTGTACCCCCTCCCTAGCATCTTGAGGGGCTCTGATAAGGTACTGGTTCCTGTTGCAGGCACACGAGCCTCGAAGCGACCGTGCAAGGCTCATGTTGGTGCTGGGGCTTAACGTCACCAAAGCCAAGACTTGCTGAGTCGGGCGCAAGATGTGACAATTGTAGAAGTGTTGAGGGCTAGAATGCGAGAAGAAACTTAAGTTTTCACAAGTGGATGGGGCTAAATGAAAAGACAGCGTGCAGAAAGTGCAGGTTCCAGTTCTTGTCTCCTTGTTTCGCTGAGAAAGCGACGATGATGATGGTGGTGGTGACGATGATTTCGAGGCCTTGAAGGTTCGCCTCTATAACGGCGTACCTAGGTACGCCTGGGAGGAGCTGGCAGGTCCACGGCCAGGGGCCCACAGGTACTTCCAGCTCACGGTTGGCTCTGTGATTGGTGATGTGGGGGACAACCTACCCCGCCTGGCTGCAGCTGCGTGGGGCACAAGCAGCTTCCCGTAGCTGATGAGCTTGTGATGATGTTACTTTGCATGCCTAGGTACATAGAAGTCCTTTGTCGAAACTTCTAGCTCAAACGAGAGCTCCGCCGCTGGCCGAAACACATCTACACCTCAATTCTCACATGCTGCCTTACTGGCTATCAAGCCTCTTTATGTACTCTCAAATATTGTGAGACTGCATTGAATTTCTGAATGACGAGCTGAAGGTCGGGTGTCCGGCCACGGTATCTCTGCAATAATTCAAAGGAAACAGGGAATTACAGGACAACCTCCAATGGGATAACCTCCTATGGAATAACCTCCTATGGGATAACTTCCTATGGGATAACCGCCCGAGGGCTAACCTCCTATGGACAACCTCTTGTGAAATAACCTTCTGGAGAATAATCTCATTTGTATCGGATGTATACGTGTAAGCCACAGGGGGCTCCACAATGACTTGTTGTTCCAATAGTGTATGATACTTGCTGGCTAACCTGAAGACGCCACTTATAGGCCCAGATCTTCCTTCCTCTGCCTGACAACGGAGGAGCAGTTGTTTGGTTTCACAGACAGCCATGGCCGCCGGATAGATCATGGGTTCATCCGGTGGCAGGCTTTCCAATTAGAGTTCTACTAGGATACATCCAATGCGCCGTAGCTGCTATGGCAATGAACAGTCGAAACGAGCAGTGTTTGGACACGAGCCGGCAAATGTCGATTCATGCGCCAGCACGAACAGACCTGAGGAGCCTCTGACATTGCACAAGGCCTGAAGAAACCTTCTCATCTCTCTCACTTAAATATCTAGACACGCCTCAGAGTCAGTGACGCATCTCGATTAATCCTAAGACAGGTTCTGCCGCGTACCGCATAAACAGAAGAAAGAAGACGCGAACACTCGCTGTTCCTATAATAAATTTCAATTACATACAATGGCCAAAGATCTGACTCTCCAGTACATCACCGAGGTCAAGGGAAATGTGACGGCCGAGCAAGCTATAGCAACCCTCCAAGAACACCAGTTCTTCCTGGATACAGACCCCAACATCATCTCTTCCAAGACAGACACGCAGCCCAAGGATGGCAAGTTGCACCCCATTCCTGAGGCTATCCAAGCCATCCAGAAGGGTGACACCCGGTGCTACGAGGTCCTCGACAAGGTCCCCGTTGTGGCTCTGTTCTCAAAGCTGCTGCCTGGCCTTGCCACGATCACCAACCACTACCAAATCACAAACACCAAGGATGGTATCTTTGTGTACCTCCAAGCTGCCCTAGGCGTCAGTCAGGAACGGCGTTGGGCCGTGGTGGAGGATAAGGACGGGTTGCGGATTGTGGAGTACGTGACCACCTTTTGCTCAAGGCTTTTGTACGAGTCGGTCAAAGGTCAGCAAGAAGCCAATTGGAAGGGTGTCCACGCGCAGTACGTCCGCAAGATGGGAGGCGAGGTTGGAGACCAATCTACGAGTTGATTATTAGAGGATGTCAGATACACAACAGCGGAAGAGTAAACAGCATTAATTCACAACAGGCCGATTGCTCTCGCCAGTGAACGCCATCAATGACAAAGAAGCCTGCCTTGCACTTCATTGCTTCAGTTGAGGAAGCATGTCCAAAATCCAGGCACCAAAGACCACAGCGCGAATGAACTTCCCCGAAATACCGGCTTGGGCCATGTGGATGTATCAACCGGTTTGCGAAACAGTCACACCAAAAGTAATCAAACCGCACACCATAGTCACAACAATCCTCCAAGGATGTCTAGCAGCCCAGACATCCAACAGGCCCTTCAGCTCTTTCTTCTCCTCCAAAGTGAATTCCCTAATGCCCGTACCTGTCACCTTCACCTTCCCCTCACCGATCCCAACATCATGCTCAAAAGCTAGGATCCGATCGTTCGTGGGGAAGATTGCGTATTTCTCCCACCTACCCATAAACACGAGCACCAACACAGAAACGACGTGCCACCTCCACAGCCCGGCGATGTCTGGGTCAGGATGAGATGCGGTCAGGAGCGTCAAGGACAGCAGCGAGACGCTGAGGAGCTGGCTCGCCGGGAGCATGATCGCGTTGCCCTGCTCGATGATCACACTAAATTGGGAGACCTGCGTAGGGGATGGCGAGCAGCGCCTGAGCATGGGAATGGACCAGAAGCTCAGGCTGAAGGAGATGCCTGCAGCTTGGTCAATAAAGTATCGCTCAGGGAAGGGCAGTGGCAGAGGCGCCGGTGGAGGCTTACCTGATAGGAAGAGGAGCACTAACGCTACCACAGCGCGGAGGGCTGGGAGTATGTGAGGAGCACTGGCGATGCTCCCCAGCGTGTCTGTGAGAAGTTCGGCGTTCATTGTGTGGTTCGTTTGGCTTGCTGGTGTAGCTCCGTCGTCCAACGGTCTGAGTATTGTGAGGTCGAGCCCCCAGAATAGACGGCACTCCAGACGATTTATCTCGAGTTCTTGTGTTCACACTGAAGCAGTTGAGGGCACTTCGCGTGTCATCAAAGGAGTATTAATATCGATGATGACGAAGAAGCAACCCAAGCTTGATTGGGTGTTAGGAGCTTGGCTTTGAGGGGGCTCTGCTCGACGGTCTGGCACTTGGCCCTACGTAGGTTCTCAGCTTCATCCATTGTTGAATTCAGTACGGGGCTGCTAGTGTTCTCCCTCCAAGTCTTCATTGCGCCGGTCGGGGCTGGCAGCAAAGGACCTGTGCGGATAGATTTTCTCGCCAGCGGATAGATTCTCTCGCCAGGTGTTGCCCCCGAGCAGCCACCTTATAGGTGAGCGGACTCTCCGGAAAGCTTACAAAATTAGCATTCGCCCACATATCTCCATCTGTTCCCATTTGCTCATCGATCAATCAACGGTGATGTGGCTTTCTATTTTGGCATTATTCCAGTGATATTTCATGTGATTTGTGTGACGGGGATGGTTGGGCGGCAACATCCGCTGGGAAACAAACATGTCTCTAGCGTTGCCTGAACATGACTTTGGTGTCACGTAGGAACAAACTTAATGTGTCCTCTGAATGAAGCTCCCGGATCGGAAAAGGCCATTGCTTCCCCAGACCGGGAAACAGCTATTCTATAACCGAGGCCCCTTAGCCCGGCTGGTGAGGGGGAGGACAAGCCTGTGGAGTAACCGACGATCCCATATGTGGGCGGCAGCGTGGAGTAACAAGTAAACCTCGCCCAGCACGCTTGAAACGTGACGACGATACCAAAGAAGTAAATTGGGGAAAGGTAGTGGTTGGGGTTCGTTTGACCTGGGGTAGTGAAATGGACGGGAACAAGAGCCGCGCTGACTGTCGTCCACCTCCAACATCCCCCACCTTCACCTGAGATCTCGCCTTCATCCAACAAGTACACTGTATCTTACAATACACGTACACGTTTCCGTAATTGTCTTCACGTCGGAGAAGTCTTTGTTGTGGATTTGAAGACTTTGATTGAACTGTCGCTTAGCAGCTATTGCCATCTGGTTGCCGTGACCTGCCCTTCTGGTCACATACCTAGGCTTCCATCAGATCTATCTCAGCTCGCAGTCAGGACAAGACATAGACGGTATTTATATCCTCCAAATTCTCAATTTCATACTGCCAGATAAATTGTTTGTATTCGTTTCTCAGACAAGCCTCATTATGTCCGGACCTCCGTCTCGCCTCCGCAGTATCCTCGGGCACCTACTCCCGTCTCAATCCTCGGCGTCATCCTCCAAGACCGGAGAAACATGGCAACACAGTCATCATATGCACACCCTCTCACCAACATACTTCCTTCCGCGGGCTGCGGCTATCGAGCCCCAGGCTGAGGCGATAGTCCACATCACCGCGAACGGCTCAGTCCTCCGCCGGACCTACCAGGAGTTTGCAGACCGCGCCAGAGGCCTTGCATATTATCTCAAGACGCACGGCTACAAGCGAGTCGGAATTCTGGCGCCGAACACGCCTGCCTTCTTGGAATGTGTTTTCGGGATTGTCGCTGGAGGGGCTGTTATCGTGCCCGTCAATTACCGGCTCAAGGAGGATGACATAGGCTATATCTTTGAGTTTTCCGAAGTGGATATCATTATTGCAGACTGGGAGTTTGAAGGGCTCCTAGCGGCTTTCAGAAAAACTAAGCCGAATGTGAAGATCATCGTTGATACGGACACCGATGCTACTGAAGGCGAGCTTTGCGGTCCCTTTGATGAAATTGTCGCAGAAGGTCTGACGTATGACCGGCAAAACGGCAGTCAGGGCTGGGAAGGCTTGTATATCTCAGCCGAGAACGAGGATGAGATGCTAGCCATTCCATTCACGTCGGGGACGACATCGCGACCAAAGGGGGTCGTCTACTCCCATCGTGGTGAGTACCCCGAACGTGATTGTAACAGCAATCGAACAAGGGGAACTCAGAAGCTAATCATTTCGCGAAGGTGCTTACCTTGCAGCGATGGGAAATGTGATAGAATCGGGATTGAACAGACAGGATGGACGGTGTAAATATCTCTGGACCCTGCCTTTGTGAGTTCTACCTACCTACCGCCTCTCGCCAACGCAGCCCGGAACTGAATAGTCTGGTCAGATTCCATGCCATAGGCTGGACCTTCCCTTGGTCAATAACAGCCGTGCGCGGTACAAACATCTGCCTCCGAAAGATCGATTACCCGCTGATCTGGCGGCTGTTGAAATCCGAAAGTGTAACGCATTTCAACGCCGCACCAACGGTGAACACACTTCTGTGCGCCGACTCCAACGCCGCTCCTCTTGATCGACCCTGCCAGGTCACTGTGGCCGCATCGCCTCCTTCCGGCCACCTCTTCGAGCAGATGACAAACCTCAACCTGCATCCAGTACACGTGTACGGGATGACGGAGACTTATGGGCCGATCACCAAGGGCTATATCATGCCTGAGTGGGATTCCCTGGATCCCAAAGAGAAGTATCAGCTCATGGCGCGGCAGGGCCATGGTTTCGTCGCGAGCTTGCCTATCAGGGTGATCAAGACGGATCAGCCGGAGGGTGTGCTTGTCGATGTTGCTAGGGATGGCAAGGAGATTGGAGAGGTTATCTTCTTTGGTAACATCTGCTCCAAGGGCTACTTCAAGGACCCCGAGGCGACAAAGACGCTGTTCGCTGGCGGTGGCCTGCATTCAGGCGACTTGGCTGTTCATCACCCCGACGGAGCGATCCAGATCTTGGACCGGGCGAAAGACATCATCATCTCAGGGGGAGAGAACATCTCCTCTGTAGCGCTCGAGGGCATGTTGGTCAAACATCCAGATGTCCTCGAGTGCGGTGTGGTGGCCGTCCCGGACTCGCACTGGGGTGAGCGGCCCAAGGCTTATGTGACGGTGAAGCAAGGGAAGAACGTAGAAGGCAAGGACATTGTCGACTGGGCGAAGCACCAGAGCCAGATCTCGAAGTTCATGGTCCCCAGGGAGGTGGAGATCGTGTCAGAGCTGCCCAAGACGTCGACCGGGAAGATCAAGAAGAACGACCTGCGGGAGTGGGCGAAGCACGGTCAGCACAAGGAGTGAGTGAAGGCTTGCTCTGATTTCGTCAGAGCCATCAGAGGCCTGCAGTCGAGAATAGAAGAAACCTCGGGACTATGGAAGAAGGCCTGGGGGGCAGGGGGACGTACACCTATCCGGCCATTCGTCCGGTATCAGGCAGAATACACAAATACACCACGAACAGTCCCCCGCGGATTGCGCATCCGGAGAGCAACATGATTCCATATCTTCGGCTCTCAGAAATGATTGCTTATACAATTTAAGTTGTGATAGGGGCTCAACACAGAAGGGAGCGCGGGCATCCGGGCCGCTCTCCCGCTTGCAGGGGCGCTGGATAGACGGGCAGAGCTTCCTGTAAAAGACGCTTGAGCAAACAGACTCGTTTCGTTCTGGAGTTTGCAAATGCCTCATCCATCAATATCCTTTCTCTATATGTGCTCGTCTTGTGGGCGCATCAAGGCGTGCGCAATGTTGCGGTCCGCGCATGTGCTGATGACTTGAGATGGGGTGGACCAGCCATTTCTCATTTCAACCGATTTCGACTTACTTCACCAGAATAATGGGTGATAAGCTATCATCTAATTAGCTTATTATGGCTTTTCCACAATTTTCTGGCGAAAACAAAGCTGATGTTGAGGGCTATGCCCTTCTGCTTCGATGCCCTCCCTATACGGTTGTTTTGTTCGCGGTAGGGGGGAGGGTCCAACACTAACCAGGGTTGGTAACCCTGGTATGCTTACACCCAGCCTGCGACTGACTCCTTCCTCTGAGTGCTTGAATATCCACTTTGCTTATACATGTACATGTACACCACATTCGCACACTCCTTTGGACCAGTGGACCCATCCCAGAGTGGATCAGTAGTGTTAGATCTCACTTACACATCACCTCCCATCTCAGATCTGTGTGGTGTCGGAACGGGCCGCAGTGGGGCTGCGACAAGATACCAAAGACGAATGGACCCCAAATACAAGTGGGAACCAGACTATCCTCATCTCGAAAATCGCGAATTTTGGGGGCAGAGAACAAGGCATCCTCTTGAGCAAATGGCAGGTCGGACATAAATCGACGACAGATCTAGATCGACCCATGTGGATGGGACCAGGGGGCCGGTGTCAGGTCCCTGCATTAGTCGCAGATCGATCTACAGATGCGTTCGCCAAGTCTGTGCAGGGGTGTCTTTGCTGCTCCAAGTCTTTGACATCATTGCCGAAGCCTCTAGCTTCGCTTTTCGTTCTCTGAAATGCGCTCGAGTGAGTTCATGGTGTATTTGTGTGCTTCAACAGATTTCATGTCTTCTCCAAATTAGGAGAGGACGGCTGTAATACTACTACCAACAACAGCATCATCAATCATGGGAAAATCGGCGAGAGTCATCTATTGTAAGTTTACAGGCCTCTTGAATCCCATATTATTCGATGTATTTAACAAAACCGTAGGGTTCAGAACGGACCTCCGTCTTCATGACTCCCCAGCTCTCAAAGCTGCCCTGGACCTCAACCCAGAGTGCCTCTGGCCAATATTCACGTGGGACCCTCACTATGTCTACCGCGCGAAAGGCGGAACCAACAGGTGGCAGTTCCTCCTGGACTGCCAGAATGACCTCTCCGCATCCATCACCAAGCTGAACAAGAAGTCGAAGCTCTTCGTCCTGCGTGAAGGGCCCCAGACGCTGCTCCCCAAGCTCTTCAAGGCATGGAACGTGACACACCTCGTCTTCGAGAAAGACACCGACGCCTACGCCCGCGACCGTGACGACGCAGTCACGAAGGCGGCCAAAGAGGCAGGCGTCGAGGTCATCACCAAGTCGGGCCGGACGCTGTGGGACAGCGACGAGGTTGTCAAGGCCAATGGCGGGAAGCCTACCATGTCTATATCGCAGTTGCAGACTGCAGGCGGCAAGTGTGGCAAGATAGCGCAGCCCATCCCGGCGCCAAAGTCCCTCCCAGACCCAGGCGACATGCCGGTCGAGGACCTGGCCAACGAGCACGAGGAGCCGCCCGCGAACCCGGACTTCAACGCGGCGTGGCGCACGCTCAAGGACAGCGGCTACACCAAGCTCGCGGGCCCGAAGGGCGACTTCGCGATCGAGACCATGGCCGAGCTGGGCTTTTCCGAGGCGACGACTCCTCACCGTGGCGGCGAGACGCTCGCGCTGAAGAAGCTGGATGAGGTCATGGCCGGCGTCGAGTATGCGGCCACGTTTCGCAAACCGCAAACCAGCCCCGCAGCCTTCGAGCCGCAGTCGACCACCTTAATGAGCCCTTTCCTGCATTTTGGTGCGCTGAGCTGCCGGCTATTCTACCACCGTGCACAGGAGGCTGTCAATAAATTCAAGGGGGCGTCGTCATCACCTCCCGAGAGCCTGACGGGGCAGTTGCTTTTCCGGGACAGTAAGTGGCTTTCTCATCATACAAGAAACTTTAGATGCTGAAATGCTCTGCATTACCTATACATTTTGGTTCACAGAAATTGAAGCCATATTCTGACGGAATTTTAGTGTACTTCGCAGCACAAGCTGCTCTAGGCCACTCAATGGTCCAGACAGCCTACAACTCCGTGGTGAGGTTCGTACCGTGGCACCTCCCCTCAGTGCTTGAAGCCAGCAGCAGCGCGACGGACAAGACTACAAAGGAGGTAACGGTGCCGGGGCAGTACAAGGTGGACAGCGCGCAGGCGGAGGAGTGGTTCCAGCGGTGGAAGACCGGGACGACGGGGTTCCCGTGGATCGACGCGCTGATGCGGCAGCTCCGGTACGACGGCTGGATCCACCACCTGGGCCGGCACTCGGTGGCGTGCTTCCTGACGCGCGGCGGGTGCTACGTGCACTGGGAGCGCGGCGCCGAGGTCTTCCAGGAGCTGCTGTTGGACCACGAGCCCGCGTGCAACTCCGGCAACTGGCAGTGGCTCAGCTGCACCGCCTTCTTCGCCCAGTACTACCGCTGCTACTCGCCCATCAGCTTCCCGCAGAAGTGGGACAAGGAAGGGGCCTTTGTGAAGCGATGGGTGCCTGAGCTCGAGGGGCTGGCCTCCAAGTACATATACGAGCCGTGGAAGGCCCCGATTGCCGACTTGAAGAAGGCTGGGGTCAAGCTGGTTGAGTTTCCCGGCGTCGGTGAGGAGATGGAGAAGGGGACGTATCCGAAGCCAATGTTTGACTTTGCTGAGAGGAGGACCATTTGCATTGCGAGTCTGAAGAAGGCCTACAGTGTTGGTCTGCACGGAAATGACAAAAAGGTGCTGGACGGGAGCTGGAGGGAGTTGTTCGAGGGTGGCGGCGACAATGAGGAAATGATGGGCTCGACCGACCAGAGCGACGATGGTAAGGACGCAGATGATGCTGATGCTGGCAAGAAGAGCAGCCAAAAGGCCAATGGCAAACGTGCCAAATCAGGGCCCATGGACAGACATGTCAAGAAGCAGAAGACGTAGAACGAGGACTTGCTCTAATTAATATTTCAATTACGTTTTCTTCTCACTTGTTTTATAAACTTTTCTTCTTTTTTTCTTTTGTTATTCATCAGCCTTTATCTGAGCCTACCTCACATCAGGGAATGCAGATAGTAGGGGATGAAAATTTAAATTCATTGTATGGCAATTGGGATCAGATTCTATGTCTTAAAGTCGTCTATAAGAGCGTGAAACTCTGGCCTGGTGCATATAACTGTTATGTTTAGGCAATTGTAAATAACATTGTATTTTTGTTAACAAGTCATGACGCCAATGCTGTGTATCAACGCTGAATGCTTATAAGGAGCTGCCGGGCTCTCTTTCCGGCAGATGCAGGTTGCCTCTGCGGCGTGTTGTGTTCTTGTGTCTTTCCAAGTTCCCTGCCACAATGCGTGAGTTACATGTGGTGACCTTGCCTCTCCAGCTCTCTCATATACTTGACGAAAGTTTTCTTGTGCGTCTATTTTTACATTGTTAGCTTTGTGCCACCGGTTGCATCTTCCAATAGAAGACGAATAGACTAACCATGCCCGCGTATTTTCCGTCACGAAGGACGCAGATATATCTCAAACCAAGTTTCACGAAGCACTCATATACGAGGTCCATGGAGGAATGTATGTCCAAAGCCACGGGTGCCTATCAGACCTGTTAGATTGCGATGTTCTAAAGAATGGGCTTGTGAACGTACCGGGTCAATATATCTCGTGAAGTCGGTGGGATCGGGGTTGCCGTCATCCGAGTCATCAATGGAAGGCACCTGAGCCATAAGGCATAAGTCCGAACTCTCATCAGAGAGCTGATCCAGGGCAAACTCCAGGTCAGGTGCAGGGATTAATCCAACCAGCACGCCGTCTCTGAGAATCGGCAGGCCGCCATCGATCTCGCCAGCAGCATGAAGACGCTCCAGCTTCCCTCTCAGGCTTGTGGCTGAAACGAGAGGTGAGGTTGTTATATCAATCACCCTTACGCGGCGGACCTTGGGTACCAGATCCGCGAGATCAGTGGTGAAGATAGGCTTATGCTTGTTGTTGAGGAAGGGATATGAGTTTAGCTCCGTCAACAGGTCCTGGTCATGATTAGCATGCATTATTCGACTGGTCTGGTTGGTTGAACTCACATAAATGCTCAGTGGTTCAATGAAATCTGATGTCCACTTCGCAACGAGGATGGCCAAGGAGAAGGGCAGCACATAATCGAGGCTTCCGGTCAATTCGAAGAGGATGACCGCGAGGGTCACAGAGAGTCGAGTCACGCCACACATGGTGGAGCCAGCGGCAATGAGGGCATATACGCCAGGTTGGATACAAGTGGCATCTCCGATGCGTGAGCATCGATCCCAGACGGGCCAGTGGTTGTACGTCATGACTAGCCATTGGACAACATGCCCGATCAGTCGGCCCATTAGGCCACCGACCACCATGGATGGCACGTATATACCAGCAGGGACTTTCTACGCGTTAAAAACACATTAGTCTCGTCAGACTTTTTCGCGCCAGAGCTCAGGGAAAGGTAGAATGAAAGACTCAAGAAACTTACAATGCCAAAGGTGATGACAGTGAGGAATCCCTTGATAAGGAATGCCAACAACAAACTCCGCAGAACAGCAGGAATGTCCGCCCTTGCATCTGGACACAAGCCAAGATTGTCCAGACTATCGTCGTCCGGGTCGCAAGGGGCCGCGAGATTATATAGCAGCTTCGCAACCGGCAGCTTCGTTAGCCCATTCCAGTAACCCAACAAACCTGTGATTAGGGCCACCAGAACAACCTCCAAAACAGGCACGCGCTTGATGACGGAGATCTTGCGGAAAGTCCTGGCCCAGTACCTGGACGCTTTGATGAACAAGGCACCGAGCACCCCACCAAGCACTCCAACAATGACAAAGCTCACAAGCTCGAAGTATTCCCAATCAACAGCATAGTGAACTTGGAACATGACAATTTTGTGGGTTCCATATGGGTTGAGGAATTTCAAGGTCAGGGCTGCAATGATGCAGCAGAAAAAGGTCCTGAAGAGGGTTTTGGCGGGGAAGAAATAAGCCACCTCCTCCAAGCCGAAGAGCACGCCACCGAGAGGCGCTCCGAAAGCAACAGCGACACCTGCTGCTGCGGCCGCTGAAAGCACTTCTCGTCGCTTTCCATCGTTTCTGTCGTACTTTTCGAAGAGACGACAGGCGATGTTGCCAACACAAGTCGCAATGTGGACGTAAGGGCCCTCCTTGCCCAAACTCAAGCCCGATGCTACACTGAGGACCAGGCCGACCGATTTGATGATGAGGGTTTTGAGGCCCAAGAAGCCGTGCAGCACGAACCCGCTGAGGATCACGCGCACCTCGGCGACTCCGCTGCCAGCAGCCGAGTAGTAGATCATGGGCGGTGCCGTAGGGGAGGGGGAGGTTTCTTCGCGGTGTTGTGGAGGGCTGACGTCGCCATTCTCGTTCTCGGGTTCGTTGTCTAATAATGGAGCAGCCTCGGCGGCCAGATTCTCGTCCAGCGTGGAGAGCCTGTAAGCCGAGGGCACAACGGTCTTTGTCGTGAGCGTGAGCAGGCACGCAGTCAGTGCGAACAGGTTGACCCAGACAACGTAGACGACCCATTCTCTCCACTTGGCAGCAATCGGCAAGTCATCGATGACTTCAGACCAGGAGATCCAGTCAGTGCAGTCCCCCAGAGGACAGCATCGCTTCTCGCTCAAATACCAGCTTGTCTGGCAGTAACCATCTTTCCAATCGAAGAGCACTTGTTCGGACACGTTGATGGCGTACGCTATAACTGCAACAACAAAGCCGACCACCGCTGACAGGATCCAACCCTGTGCACCATCGAAGAGGAGATAAAAGCGGCCCCAGAAGTCGGTCCGGCTCCGCAGAGCCTTCGCTCGGTAGGCATCAGTGATGCTGTCATGTACCCAGTCGGTAGAGGTAAATTGGTCGTACCAGACGCGGTCATCTTGGGAGAAGGAGGTTTTGGACTCGGCCATGGGGTCTTGCTGGTGGGAGATGGCATGGATCAAGCGCGTGCCCCATGATCCCGCTCGGCTATGGTGTTTTGTGGAAGGGGTAGCAGCTGTGAAGGCGCACGCCTCTATGTCAGCTTTGGTGTCGTCCAGAGAAGTAGCAGCGCATTAGAGCGAACCTAGAAAGCTATTGCCCATCGGCAGCTGCACATTGCGCGGTGTGCGTGGCGTGCGTGGTGAATCGGGTGCATCGGAGATCTTGACATGAGATCTGGAGCGTCCGAGCAGTGAGGTCCGCTCAGTAGGCTCGTCGGACATTGACCCTCGCCGGCTGTGCATGCGCGACGCAGGTCGCGAACGCCTTCGATGACTGATGGGCGAGTGGGGAACGGCCAGATGCGGCCTGTCGTCGTCGTGATCGTTATCCATCTTGGGCCGTGGAGCACAGAGGCTACTGTATCTGTCAGGTAATGTCGGTGTTAGGCCTTGTGTGTTGCCGAGTGTCGCACTCCCTGCATCACAGAGTCGGATGGGTAAGCATGGCCTGCGGTCAGATGGTTGTGTGATGGGTTGGTTCGCGGGATTAGAGTTGGGACGGAAGCTTCTTGAGTATGCCGATGCAACAGGATCGGGTGCGAGGGGAAGGTCAAGGAGTCAGGGAGAAGGAGACCAAGATGGACAATAAGACGCGGGTGGGAGGAGATGACGAGGGGCCCACTCTTTACATCCAGGGCGGACAGTGAGATAGACAAGGAGCCCCAAGCCTCGCGCAGTTGTCGGGCTTGGAGTTCCTTTGGCCTTGAAGTGCAGGCCGATCTCCCAGCTGCGATGGCAGTGTTTCAAGGAGGAACAGAATACTCCTAAATTGGTGCCCACGTGGTACAGGGCCGGCTGTGCGGTCAGTTGGCACAATCTACATTCAGACCAGGCGCGGCAGTAGACTACTGTATAGTAAACACGAGGCCGAGTCATCGGTCTCCCTGCCGAGCGGTTGGCTGCATCGACGAGCCTAATCTGCGACAAGTTGTCTTGGGCCACGCAGATTGCGCAATCGTTGGATGTGCGACCATCCTGGGGCCTTGCCTGGCACTGTCTTGGCTCAACGGGTTGGTCGCAGCATGCAACTCTCGAGCAAGGTAACGAAGTCAACAATGTCGATCAAGATGCCAGCAGCAGCAGGGGCCACATTACTGCACAGCTGCCGGACAGAGCTGGATGGATGGATGGATGGACATGGATGGACATGGCTGCAGCATGGGTGCATAGTGTCTTTTATTTTGGGGGCACGAGGCTTCGCGTATTGCATCATACCTGGATCCTGGGGGCCCATCCCGGGACCTGTCTGGCCTGATGATTGGAAGAGAGCTGCCTTGCATGCGCTGCTGGTCTGGGGCAGCTTTGCCAACTGCAGTAAGGCGGCCAGGACCCCTAAATATGTCACCTGGCCGGGACCAGCAGCGCAACAGCCCATTTAGTAGTAGTCTAGTTCGTTCGTGAGGAGGGGCAGCATCACCGCCAACTCCTGGGGTCATCCACAACGGCCGCTTGTGGCGGTACTGAACAGGTAGGACAGACAGGTGTCAAGAGATCATCCCATCAGACAAATAGCTCGTCTTCGCATGCTTGCAGGGACGCCAATGACTTGACAGGTTCTTCATGACTGCAGTAACTTCTGAGGTAGTAGCTCCCCATCCGAGGTTGTCCCAAAGCATGTCACCCTATGGTGGTAATCTCACAATAGGCTGTTATATAAAAGGTTGTCCCACAGAAGGTTATCTATCCTACAGGAGGTTATCCACAGTAAGATGTATGTTGGAGTGCTTGGGGTCCCTGGCAGCTGTGTCCACCTACACAAGCTTCCCTCAGGGTTCCAAGCTCCAGGCCCAGGGTTGGCCACCTGCTCCCGGTGGTGGTGGGGGCACGCCTGACCGCTGAGCAATGGGGCACTCGCATTCAACTCCACGTCCAGCTCCGTGTACATCTCGTCTCTCGACGCGAACTGCGGTTGCCACCTCCCAGTCTTTGGTGCTGCCAACAGATCCACAACGATAGCGTATTATTCTTGATCGCCAATTGTCTCACGTCACACATCTCGGCCCCATTCTTTCAGACGATGCCCACGCCCTACCAACAGATCGGCTAACCCAGGGCTGACACCGCCGACCTCGAGCCCAGCATTTAACATTCTTGCCTTGCACTTGGTGTGGGCTGCAACTCCCAACCAGTCATTCAACCACACCGCTCAGCCCTCGCAGCTGTGAGGGCGATCGTCGATCATCGCCAAGCTCCTCTATGGAGTCATCTAAAGCTGATCATGGACAGCAGGCCGGCGCCCCCAAAGTTTGCGTCTTTCAAGCCCAAGTCTCGAGATCCACCAGCCTCTTCTGAGCCCCTGGTATCCAACCAAGACAGCCAGGTTGATAAGAGCCGACGTGTTCCCAAATTCGCATCCTTCAATAAGGAACCTGAGGGCTCCTCGAAGTCTTCTCTTTCTGACGCGGCCAAGACCCTTGAGAAGGACCACAGTAAAGATGGACGTGACCACAAGAGCCATGACCAACGTCGCAGCAGGCATACCAAGTCAACCTCGCATCATCGCCGTCATGAGCGGCACCGGTCTCGCAGTGCCGAGAGATCGCTATCTCCAGCTCCGGTAAAACAGGCTCCTAAGGAAGAGCCGCTGTTCATAACGGACAAACGAGGAGACTCACTTATTGTGAGGTATGGGTCGAACGAACGATCCAAGGTCCCTGCATACCGCCGCTATGGTTCAGGTAGAGTCCTGGGGGCCACAGGTCGGCTTCGCCTCATTTACGATGGCCCCAAGCAAATTTTCAGCCTTGGGGGCAAACTAGGAGAGGGTCCCTCCGCATTCCGCGACAGGAACATTCTGGCCAATGCATCTCGAAAGAAGGTGCGAGTCTTCAGGTTGCGCTCGGCACCAGGCCGGGATCAGACCGAGCTCAACGAAGACTGGTGTGATTACATCCCTATGTCGGGGTCTCGCAAGCGGAAGAGGACCAGTGCCGAGCCTGAAGACGCCTCAGAGGACGATGGGCCTAACTATCGGTCAATACAGGGTAAAGCAAAGGCTCGTGACTTTGTCGATAGCGACCTCGAGTCTGCTGATACCTCGGATTCTGAGACCGAACCCGCAGTCGATACATCTGATCCCGCAAGGCAGAAGTCTGTCGAGTTATCTCGTCGGGTTAAGGATCACCCCGAGGACGTAGATGCCTGGCTTGATCTCGTTGATCTTCAAGAAGTGCTACTTCGTCTGGATCAACACACTCGCCAAGAGAGGAGTGACGATGAAGTCAAAGGTCTAGCAAGCATCAGGGTGTCCCTTCTCGAAGAGGCCCTACCTCATGTTTCAGACCGCAAAGGCCGTGAAAAACTAATACTGAGACTCATGCGCGAAGGTTCTAGAGCATGGGGCAGCAAAACGCTGACAAAACGATGGTCCGAGATCAGTCGTGAGGACGACAGCTTCGCGGTGTGGAAATCCCATCTGAATCATAAACTTTCCAACATGACAAACTTCTCGTATGATGAAGTGAAGGGGCTGCACTTCGAACGTTTACACCTTCTAAGGCAGCGCCTAGCTAAAATTGAATTAAGCCCCGCGAACAGCCATCCATCAGTTGAAATCTGCAACGAGCTTGTCTACGTCTTTCTCAGGACGACCCGATTCATTCACGATGCTGGCTACTCGGAGCTCGCAGTTGCTGCATGGCAGGCCATCCTGGAGCTCACCTTTGCGCGACCTAGGGATGCGTCCGACTTAGAGGTCGAGGATCTGATGTCATCGTTTGGAGATTTTTGGGAGAGCGAAGTCCCTCGTATCGGCGAAGATGATGCGAAGGGGTGGATACATTTTGCCGAAGCAGAGGAAATGGCAGACCTACCAGAGTCGAGACCCGACGCAACAGGCGTACCGCCTGATACAAGAGATGTCTACAAAGCATGGGCTGCGTTAGAAAAGCACCGAAGCACGGGTGCGAGACTACCAGCTCGAACATTGGATGAAGGGACAGAAGATGATCCGTTTCGCGTGGTTATGTTCTCCGATCTCAAGCCACTGCTACTCTACCTGCCACCTGCTGTTCTCACGTCGATGAAAGAGCCGCTGCTTGATGCCTTTTTACTCTTTAACCGATGCCTGCCTGCGTCGAAGGCACCCAGCGATGTTATTCAGGAGATGCTTCGCGACCCTTTTATTCATGGCAACATGTTTGCAATCGAGGAAATGAGTTCTAAGGAGCACTGTGACGCTGAGGAAATAGGAAAGAGAAGGCCCAGATTCACACATCCTAATCACCGTATGGCCTTGTCTACGGAAGGCCTGTTCGCATGGGACGAGTGGTTCAATTACATCGAACAAACACCATCATCAGAAGCTGGTTTTGTCTTGAAAGCCACGAAACAGCTTGCTCTAAATTTCGAATTTGACTGCGTTGGGGAATACAGCCTGGCATTGGCAAGACAACAGGATCCGTCCGCCGTCAAGAAGGCGGCAAAGGCGCTCTTGAAGCGGTACCCATCCAAGACGCGTCTATACAATGCGTACGCTATCGCAGAGTGGGGGCAGGGAAATCAAGATGTTGCGAGGAAAGTCCTTCTCTCTGCTACGAGTCAAGACCTATCACACAAGCAGCTGTTGTGGAATACGTTCGCTTGGCTGGAGCTCGAGGTTGGAAACAAGCACAAAGCTCTGGCGTTGTGTGTCTTGTCGACCGAAGATCGAAGCATGGTTGACAGATTACTTGACACCGATCCTATCATAGCCCCAAGCCAGCTATTGAAGACGCGGCAAGTACTGTCATCAAACAGAGACTTCCTGCTCTCGTCCGGCGACCTCAGTCAAGCGTCAGAGTTCGCGCAGACGCTTTCGCTATTCGAATATCTCTCCGCCGAAACCTCGACGGAGCCCATGTCATCGCAACAGGGCAGTATTCCGGCTGCAATAAGCAGCATCAGTGCCTTCACTTCCGAAGCTGTATCGAGAGGCCATGGGTCTTCTGCCGATCTCGAGCGGTTCCTACAGTTCGCAGCACACATCCTCTATCTCCACACCTGCAGAGGCCCATTCCGGCCACCGTTCGTGAGGGACCAGTTGCACTCGTTCCTCGAGCTCTTCCCCTCAAACACCATCTTCCTGAACCTCTTCGCCTGGGCCGACACCAGCCTCCTCCTCAACGACCCCGTCCGTGAAGCTCTGCGAAGCCTCGTTCTGAGAGAGCCCCACGACCGCGTCAGCAGCAGGGTATTCGCCATCCTCCACGAGCTGGACGCCGGAACCGTCCACTCGGCGCGCGCGGCCTTCGAAGCCGCCCTGGACAGCGACAGCTGCCGGGGCAGCGCCGGCCTGTGGCGGAGCTACGTCCGCTTCTGCCAGCAGAATAGGAAGGAGCTCAAAGGCAAGTCCGTAGAAGTGTATTACCGGGCTGTGAACGCGTGTCCGTGGTCCAAGGAACTTGCCATGGAGGCTTTCACCACGCTGGTGAAGGACATGGACTCGGCTGACCTTAGGGGTGTTTTTGCTACGATGACGGCTAAGGGCTTGAGAGTCCATGTGGACTTGGAGGATTTCAGCAAGGAGTGGGCAAGGTCGTCGAGGAAGAAGGATTGATGGATGTTGCGGTACGCTGTTGCTGTGGTGGGTAGTGTTTGGTTTGAATAGGACATGAGCTTAGAAGCGCTGTTGAACATAATTATCAATGATTATCTTATGTTTACATCGCCGTTTCCGTGAAGAATAAATCGATACTCAAAAGGGCCACGGTAAGCAAACACGTACCAAGGTCACCGCGGGTTTATATGCATGCCAAAGACCGACTTTGCACTATAAGTCATTTGGCCTTGATCCAGAAGTGTAGATTCTAGAGACTTCATGGTGGGAAACGGGGTAGCGTTTAATTGACCAGGAATAAAATTGCAAGTATTCCGAATCACAAGAACGCCTAAGTTGTCTTGATGGTCATGAATTCACTATTCCTCCCTGGAGTCTTTACCTTGCTTTCCAGGAATACATTGACTAAATCACAGTCGTAACAAGTGTCTCCAAGTAAATGTCACGTGAAGAAGTTGGGGAACGAGTTGTTTGTAAGACAATGTATGTGATTTGTTGTCTCAATCTACCTAGGTGTCTAAGCTAAGTGAAGTTTCGCTTGTTCTTCTGTGCTGCCGCCCTGTGTCGTATTGCAATTGGGTATCAAATAATGCATGTGTGCGCCTCCTCCATATTTTCAACATCCCGAAATCCTATGTGACCAGTAATTGCAATTCCGACAATTTCAATTTCACTTGCACTCCTTTCGTGCCCAGAGAAATAAACCCGCTCCTGTCTGTCCAGGAGGCATGAAATGTAGGCGTGAGCTATTGGTGCTCATGTCGGAGAGCGTCGAACCGGTACCAGCAAAGTCCATTCATGTCCTTTTCCCTCCTCACCAAAACAAGAAAGTTCCCCTTCAGATGCGTTGGTGATGGCGACGGCTGACGACAGAAAGCTTGCGGATCGGCCCAATTCCCTTGCGCCTGAAGATGCGGCGCTGGCTGGCTGTGAGGTTCCAGGTGCGGGACTTGATGGTGTAGTCGTTCCCGACCCTGGCCTTGACGACCCTGGGAGGCATGATGCGCTGGGGCATTGGCTCCGGCTTGGGGTAGATCCTTCCCACCCTGCGATGGTGGCGGGCGCGGCGCAGCCGTGTCAGCAGCTCTCTGGTATCGAGGGCAGGGACCTGGTTGTTGCTGTTGTTCTTGTTGATTTCGTACTCGCCCGGGGCGTGGGGGTTGACCAGCAGTGTGTCCATAGGCGAGGGGCGAGTGAAGGCGAGTTGGGCTTCTGTTGCCGGGAGGCGGTCCCTGAAGTCTGGCTGGTCTGGGTGGTCGATCCACTCCAGGAGGTTGATAAGCTTGGCCTTCCCGCGCTGTAGTCGGGTGGCGCCTCGGAGATGGTTGTGCGCCTGGTCGATCTGCGCGATGGTGCCCTGGTGCGTGGGTGCGGCGGCGGGTAGTAGCTTAGGCCGAGTCGTTCGCCTGTTGAAATGGAGGATGATCCGCATCGGGCCCGGGCAGAGGCTCTTGTTGTCGAATGCTGGCTTGCACTCCGGGCAGTCTCCCACGACTTGTTTGTGGTCCGGGAATATCCTGATCCTGCACTTTGGCAGGGATGGGTCGAAGGCTTTTGGGCATGGCAGGGTGGCGTGAAACCGGGCGCACCCGCAGCCCACATAATAGGTGAAGGATCTGATACACATTGTGCTGGACGATGAAGAAGTATGTGAGGAGTGGTTGTTGCTCGTGTCGTACTTAGGGTGTTGCCCTCAGTATATGATGGTTCCCTTCTTGTGCAATGAGGTTCGAGTTGATGATGAGCCTCAGGGTGTATGAGAGGAGTCGTGTGAGAACAAGGTAAGAGTTCCGAGGTTGCAGTGGATGGTAGATATTGTTTAGGTATCAGGAGGAGTCACTAGTATCCAAAGTAGGTTAACTTGATATTTGGATGATAGTCACTGGAGGGGGGAGAAGGGGGAGGAAATCTTCTTCAGGGGGAAAGGGGGAGCTTTTAAATAGTAGGCAAACCATCAAGATACAGAGAAATGTTGCTCTGAATCGAGCTTTGCCATCTGCCCGGACGCCATGAGGGTTCATTAATGACCAAAAATGCTCGAAATGCCCTCAAGTCAAGCAATGCCCGTCGAGCTACGAGAGAAATTGTCCACAAAACTATTTTGAACATGTATGGAGCGCAGATGATAGTCACCCTAAAGCGTTGAACCATGATGGTTCCTCTGAGAGATCAGGGGGAATTCGCGCACCATAAATTGAGATTGTGCCTTAAATTATTTATTGCAGGAATTCAAACAGGTGTTATTATTGATCTGAGGATTCATACACCTCTATGAACAGTCAACATATCAAAAGAGGCGTGGCCGTCATATTGAATAATACCATCCAGGTGCTTAAATTAGCAATCGCCATGAGGATCTGTTGAAAAGATTATCCCAGCGAGAATATTCTCACTAGCTGCCAGCGTCCTACCCATTAACTCGTGATGAATATGAATAGACGCACACCAGAGAATCTCTCAATATCATATGATCGAGTCACTCAGAAATCAGGCGCTAGGGAACAGTAGTAGTCAGCAGTTACAATCCTCTACATCCCACTTCAATCGCTGAGTCAGGTGGAGGAGCAATTGAGAGAAATTCGAGGTTTGCCTGAGGAATCAGCGGACCCCCAACACGTAAATTAACCTCAATTGATTCAGATCGCGCATAGAGAAAATACTCTAGCCCACATTAAGTCCTCAATTCCGCAGACAACTCTGCAGTGTGGGATCAATATAATTGCGCGAGCCCTCTGGCTTCTGTAGTGACCTGATCCACACAAATCCTGAGAAGCGGTGCGTAAGGATAAGCTGTGCGGTAGAATATTGGGAGACATACACAATTTTGAATACTGCACCATTGTATTAAAATATTGCGTTTCCCACAAACACAATTGGAAAAAGGAAATCTGTACTTCTAAACTATCACACATAATCACATAATCATCACCACCACCACCAACCAACAAAAAGTGTCGTCCGAGCTGTCATCCGATGTGGGACGTGGAGAAAGGAAGAAGCGCGGGCTGGCTGTCGATCATTCCCCAACGGCAACCCTCCCAAGAATCCGGGGTAGCTCGGCAGCGCAGCCGAGTGGCTGGCGCAGGGGGTGGGGATGACGTGCAGCAAGGATGATGGAAAGGGAAGAACAAAGCCAGAAAAAAAAGCGGGCTGCGGGAGCGGCATCTTGGCGGTCCCTACATGCATGTGCATCTGTGTGTGTGTGTGCGCGCGTTCCCGCCGCCCTCCTGTTCCTTAGTGAACGGGCACTTATGCCTGCCGCTTGGCGGCTTATTTTTTATGGTGTATACTCAGCACCTAGTGTGCAACTCCTGTTGGTTGGCGACTGCTTGTGCGCGTCTTGTTGGATGGGCTAACTTTTGCTCGTACCTATACCACTTTAGAATATAATAGTACAAATTTGTATAGAATAGGGCTGTTGTGGGGGCGGCGAGAGTCAATACACAGAACACCATCCTATTTCCCATCGAGAACGTCTATCGGGTTTCGGAGGGGTATGGTGGAAAAGCGACTCGTCACACTCCCCAAACTGTTCCTCGTTGGCCTCGAGTCATTATGTCGGCACCGGACACCCACTCCCCACAAGCAACCCGGCTGAAAACTCCTTCACGAACCCTGAGCTGTGTACTGTTTAAAGTACATACGCAACGTGGCACTGACCAAATATCTGCATTTCACCGGCATCATATACTTCACTTGAATAGGCATCAGGCGAATTACAAGCAGTTCTATTGTTCTACTCGAGATTCCCCTATGTCCGCACCCTATTCCCGCAGATGCCCACCACCATGCCCCACATCTACCCAGCCCAATGCATGTATACCCAGCCAGACATTCATTCCATGATCATCATGCAGAACAAGTGCTCCCGGTCTCTGCCAGCAAGTGTGCAGGCCAGATTGCAACCCGAAGAACAAAAGAAAGGGGAAGGGTACTCAACCACCAAGAGCGGCTCGAAAGCCCACACTCATATGCCTGACATAGAAAAGAAAAAGCAACGACCTCAGCGACCCACAGATCCCTGCGAGAGACTGAGCAGCCCCTTGGCCGCCCCGCCCCTGAGTGCACTGGAGGTCAGCATGTCTTCTTCCTCGGCATCACGGTGCTTGTGGGGCGTCGACACAATGGATAATGATGCGGACGACAGCCGCGGAAGGATGTGCTTCTCCGTCGCCGGCGACATATCGACACCGTCGCGCGCCATGTCCCGCCCCGCTTGCGCCGGAAGTGATGCCGCGATCCTGCGGTCGTTGCCCAGGCGGTACCACTGCTGTGCCGGGGTCGACCTCTCGACCGTGTGGGCCGACATAGAAGGCAGAGGTGTTCTGCGGCGCGTCATCCCCGGCACGGGCCGAACCTGTAACCTTTCGAGGGGCACGTCGACCTGGCCTGTTTTGACTTTGTAGTTGGCCAAGCTGAGCCTGAGTTTGAGGATCTCGGTTTTCTGCGCAGACGCGTTAGCAAAGACCAGTTGCGTTTGAGGGGGCAAGTTCGCTCAACCCCATGAGGTTTACAGCGGATGCCGATAGTGTGGCCCATACCTGTTTGAGCTCCTCGCGCGTGGTTATCCGACGCGTTTGTGGTGGTGGTGGTGGTAATGGCGAGACGAAAGCATTTGAGATGGACGATGTAGGGGCAGTAACCGGTGCGATAGGGGCAGCGGGAACAGTGGGAGCAGTAACAGTAATCGGCGCGTCGAGATCGGGTTCCGTGATTGTCGTATCTTGGGAGGTGTTCATGCCGGAAGCATCGAAGAGCGAGCTCGCGTCAGGGGACACGGATCTCCGATCACCAGTCGTAGGCTGGGACGCGGATGGCTCATCCTGGCCGGTGGTCAGCATAATTGTCGTCGCGTGTGCCGTGATTGCATGTCATGTTGCATAGAGCAATGGGGGTGGAAGTGAAGTGCGTACCTCGTCCGAGTTCTGCACTGTCTGTTGCTTTCCAGCGGCTGCTGCATCAGTGGCATCGGGGGCTGGGACCGCACCCGCGGCGTCGTCAGAGCACAGCTTCTTGACAGCTGGCTGCGTGGCGGTCGCCTCATCCAGTGGCCTCTTCTTGGGGCTCACGTCCTTGGACGCTGGCTTGCGAGGAGAAGGGCTCGCGCAATGGGACAGGCTCAGGCTGGCCTCGCGGCTGCCCCTCTTCAGCGGGCTGCCCGCGAGCCCGGGTGACTTGGGCGACATCTGAACATTAACGTCCAGCGAGCCGAGGACGCGTCGCTTGGTTGGAGTCGCGGTCGCGCTCATTTTGGGAACTGTTGGTGTTTTGGGTCGGAACGCGACTGGGGAAGTGGATTCGCCACCGCGAGACGGGCTCGTGATGCACTGTAGGCGCGGCGGGTGCGTGCAAGGCGCGTCGGCAGAAAGCCACTCGCTTGTACAAGCAGTGGGTGAGTGGTGAGTAGGCAGGAAAAGATTGAGCAGCTTGCGAGACGCGCAAAGGACAAGATGGTATAGAAATGGAAGATGAAGACGTGTCTGCGTTGTTTGTTGCAGTGGTGCAGGGCAGTGCAGTGCAGCAAGAATGCCCCCAGGCAGTACGTGGATTTATGGCGTCGAGTGCTTTGCTGCTTTATTACCAGCTTGGACAGAACTGACGTGGGTCGGCGTCTGCCCAGGTGGACTGTACCTACAGTAGGAGGGCGGTAGGGGTTTGGAGGGGGGGGGGGCAAGCATGGGGCATGGGGCAGGTGGGCAGGCATACACGTCGCGTCTACAGCGTGGTGGAAAAAGTGTTCAGCCCCCCCTGCAACGTGAGTTGCTGTACATATTTACTTGACTGCCCCTTTCGGTATGGGCCCACCAGGGTCGCCCAGCACAGGTTACCTACCCTGGCAAGCCCAAGCCCACGCCGGAACGACGAACCTTGCTCGACATGCCCATTCCAAGCCCAAAAGTTGCTTATGTTGCGTGTGGTGGCTCTTCGCGTCTCCAGCCTCGGTGAGGCCCTGCATCCAGCGCTCTGTCAGACACATTCAAGTTGGAATTTCACCGCCATGCCCTGTCATGTAATGAACGTTGTAGAAATATCGTCATTTGGCGTCAAAGTTCTCTCATAACACCCTACATGGCTCTCCGCAATGCCCTGTATATACCTGATCAAATGTGATTCCCACCCCGCAAAATACAATCGCTGAGTATTCCAATGCGATCAGCCTCCGGCTTCAACATGGTTAAGCGTCCCAGAATAAGAGATGCGTCAAAACAAATTCGCCGGCGGGTATCATCCTTGAAAGCCTTTCCCTCCCGCTCCTTTCCATAAACATCCTTGAAAGCTCTTTTGCCACCTCCCTGCCGCGTCCGAGAAAACCCGCCACAACCTGTGTCACCACCAATCCGTAAACTCCGCCAAATCTCAGGCAAAACCCATGTCTTGTTTTGGTCCAAGGAACGCTGAGCACAAGAATAAATGACGCCGTCGGCGGACTCCGCCTTCTGTTGCCTCACTCTCGCTCTCAGAAGCTATTCAGCTCGTAGAGCGACGAGTCTAACCCGGTAAATGGCTTGTCCAAATCCACAAGCATGTCCTCTGTAATCAGCATGTCATCGCTCGGAAACGACGCCATCCCCTCGAAGCTGTTCAGCTCCATGTCCATACCAAACGCCGCCATCCCGTTCACCAGCGTCGAGTCGTCAAAGTTCTGCCAGTTCATATCGATTTCTAGGTTCGCCGTCTCCGGGATGTCGCTGTTGGGCTCGGATACCCCACTATCCTTGCTCGCACTCGACTCCGGCGTGTCCTCGGGCGGTGTCGTAGACTGGTACAGAGTCATGTCCGAGATAACACCGCCGGCCGCAGGGTCGAATAAGTGCATCATCGGTGCCATCAAGCTCTGGGGGTCAATCGTCGTGTTCGCAAGAGGGTCGACGACCAGCTGGGACTGTTGGAAACCAGGGGCCACCTGGTCAGGCGTGCTCTTGTCTCCAGGCTTCGGCCCAGTCGCGGCCGCCGTCGCCGCCTTGTTCTCACCAGGTCTGGGGCCTTGCACTGACGAGGCCCCGAGAGCACCACCTTGTTGCTTGATAGAAGCCTCGCGTGACATTGGGGTCGCTTCTTCAGGCCCAGGTTGCTGTTGCGACTTGGTCTGACCGTTCTCGTCCAGTCCAAAGGCCGTAGCGAATGACTGCTGCATAAACTGCTGCGGGTCCTCGTACGGCAGCACGTGTACTTCCTGGTGATGCTGCTTGCGTGCTTCCTCGGTTGGGAAACCCGTGTCAGCCAACTCGCACCCGGGCTCCGTGCACATGAACGCCGGCTTGGGTGCCGGCTTGGGCTCTTTTCTCTTCAGCTCCGGAGATGTAACCTTTGTCTGCGGCGATGCGTTCTGGCTCGAAACCGCAGGCGAGGATGCCTGCGCATTCGCCGCCGTCTTCACTCTCTTCCGCGCACCTGCGTTCGGAAGCTGCAGCTTTTCCTGAGTCAAGGGCGTCGGGGCGACCCAACGAGGCGCGCCATCTGGAGACGTTGCGCCGAATGGGAATGGCGGCTGAGCAGAGGTTGGAGCCGCCGGTGGCTGGCCGCTCTTGCTGTTCGACCTCTGGTGAGCCTTGTTCAGTGCCTGGGTCTGCTTGGCGAGGTTCGCCTCGTTAAGCGGAGTTGGTGCCGGCGCTGGTGCTGGTTGCTCAGGTCGTTGGGGCTGTTGGGGCTGTTGAGATTGCTGAGGCTGTGGAGGCTGCTGGGTAGTAGCAGGTCCTCCTTGCTGAGGTGGCCGGGCACCTTTTTGAGTGGACGCCAAGTCCTTCATCATGCTGTCAAGCAGGTGCTTCGACTGCAACATCTCTTGTCGTGTCATCGTGAGGTTTTCCTTGAGTGGCTGCTCTGTGTTGTTGTTTTGGAATTGACTTAGCACTCGCAGACGCTGAGAAGAAGGTTAGCACAAAATGTCGGAAACTAATGGACAAGTCTCACACGTACTGTTCTGACAAAAGCCCTGAGTCTAGCCTCATCTCTAGAGAGCCGGAACCAATGGTTTATCACCCTCGAAAGCTTGGTGAATTCTTGGGAAATCTTCTGAATAAAAGCTGTCATCTGGGCCCGAGTCTCTGCAGTCATAGGAACATCGGGAAATCTCTGAGCTTCGTAGGCCTTCGTTTCTTCCTGGAGGATAGATTTGAAGTGCAGCATCTCCTGCATTTGCTGCTGCCGCATGAGCTCGTACTTTTGTCTTTGCTCCGGAGTCATCTTCGCTAACTGCTCCGGAGTCAGGTTTGGAATTGGGCCACCAGGAGGAAGTTGAGTAGGCTGAGAAGCCGGCCTCTGGTTGTTGGCATTTGGCTGTGTGGTCGCTTCTAGATCGTCGCCCGGGCGCTTGAGATTCTTCGTTGGTGCAGCCGGTGACGGGTTCGGCGGCGCGGCCATGTTCGGTTGAGGTGGCCGGTTGGCCTTCGGCCCTGGTGCAACTGGAGTTTGGCTGGGCTCTGGGGCGGAGACAGGCGCCGGGATGGTCTGTCCTGGCTGCATACCTTGTTGAGGTCCCGAAGCGGTTGGAGGGACTCCTGGCTGCGTGCCCGCTGTCGTTGCGGGTTGCCCAGATGGCGGTTGACCGCCCAGACCCATCGCAGCAGCTCGTTGCATCCTTTGTATCTTGAGTCGTTGTATGAATGCTCTGATCTGCTCCTCTGGGGCTTCCCTGAAATTTTGCTGTGACATTCGGAACTGCTGTATCTCCTGAGGAGTGACTTCGGGGATTGGGGTATTGGGTGGTAGATTTGCCATTGCATTTGGAGCGGGAGCCCCAGGTTGCTGTGGCATCCCACCTTGTCCATGAGAGGCCACCATGCGTCTGAATTGATTTACCTGAAGTTGCCTCAAAATCGCCTTCTGTTGATCAGGTATGGGTGCGTTCGTTTGTGAGACCCACGCCTTAAACTGGCCCCATTTCTTGGCATCTGGCGGTATGCCAGGGATATTCTGGGTCACATTGGGAGGCAGGTCCATGTTGTCCATGATCATCTGTGCTTGAGGGTGCTGTAACGGGTTACCACCCCGCATTCGATTCATTTGATTCGGGAAGTTAGGCTGCTGCATCTGAGGGCCCATGCCCCCCTGCGGCGGCTGATGCATAGGATTGCCCATAGGGTTCGCTGCATTCGCTGGGTTCATGGGCAATCCTGGCTGTGCTTGCCCTGGACGCAACATGCCCGAGCGCTTCCATTTAGAAAACAGCTCGGCGAGCTTGTCAGGTGGCAGCTGTCTGAACTTCTGCCGCTGTTCTGGATCCAATTGAGCGAGCATGGCCCTGATAGCAGGGTCTTGCGGCATGTTCGGGTTTCCAGCCATAGGCCCCGGGCCTCCTTGCTGATTGAATCGAGGATCGAGCCCTTGGTTGAATTGTGGATTACCCGGCTGGCCTTGATTACTTCCCATTTGGCCCATAGCGACGGGTGGCTGCCTGACGGGAGCGTTCAGGTTGTCCATCGCAGGGCTTTGTGATGCGGGCATCGGACCGCTCAGGCCCCCTGGCTGACCCTGCAAACCCTTCGCCGCAGCCTGTGCCCTGATTTGTGCTTGTGCGTGAGCTTGCGAAGCAGCCAGCTGTTGCTTGAGCTGTTGCTGCTGCTGCTGCTGCAGATCAAAACCGTTCGGCATCTGGGGCCGCGGGGTCTGATTTGGGCCCTGAGAGAACATGTTCTGGGGCTGCATGTTCGACAGAGGCTGAGGCGTAGCGTTACGGCCTGGACCGGAGCTTGCTGGTACAACAAGCTGCCCCGCTTGCTCAGCTAGGAGGCCTTGCTTCTGCTCGTTCATGATACTCTCCATGTTGCCGAATTGGCCAAGTTGTCCACCGGACTGGCCCATACTGTTCATCATATTTGGGTTCATCGCGCGCTGTTGACCAGGTTGCATTTGCATGCCAGGCGTGTTAGGAGGCATTCCTTGCTTTTGCATCTGATGCCGCCGGGCCATCATGAACCTTTTGGTTGCCTCTTGTTGAAATAGCATTGCCAGCGGGTTCTGGCCTTCCGCGCGCATCTGTGCAAGTCTTTGAGGTGGGAGGCGGCTCGCAACGCTCTGCATCATCTGTTGTTTCTGGGCATCGCTTGCCTGCTGCATCAGGGTTTGGGCCAGCGCCTGTATCTTCTGCTTGTCCGCATCGGACAGTTGCTGTTGCTCAGGACCACGCTGGGGTCCTTGAGGCATGGAGAAACCTTGTTGCCCTGGATTCATCTGTGGCGTCATGCCGTTGCTCAGATTGAGGCCCATCTGAGGAGCCTGTTGGGGTAGCTGAGATACCTGCATAGGGTTCTGCAGGTGTTGAAATCCTGCCTGGTTAGGTCCGCCGCCCCTTCCAGCCATCTGTGCCTGCATGAGAGCAGCCTGCTGTTGTCGTTGTTGATTCATCATGATCATCTGTTGCTGTCGCTGCGCTGCCTGTGCGTTCATCGACTCTTGGAGCTGAGGTACTTGACCCTGGCGCCTGGCGTGCATTTCTGCGCTCTTTTGCCGCATTTTGTGTTCATACGTGGCCTGCAAACGTCAATACATGCCAAAAAGTTTGGAAGACGGAAGGGAGTGGGGGTTTGCTGTGGTCAGAATGGCTCACCTTGTCTGGCGATTCCCTCAAAGCGTTCGACTCAAACTGAACGCAGAGGTGGGCGAGTCTTTGCCACGGTTGATTAGGCGTCGCAAGGACAGCATTTGTGATACTGAACAGAATTGTTAGCTTAACTGGGAGAAGATGTTCGATGAAGACAATAAAACAGGTGAACAACGGGTGTGAAACGTATTCGAAGCGGAGACAATAGGGCTGGCTATCCGGCCAATTGCAATGGGCTTGTGGAAAAATGAGACAAACAATGGAAGTTAACAACGGGCGAAACTCACAGGTCTTGGGCCTTGCCTACACGCTCCGTAATGGCCACGCTTGTCTGCCAGCCAGGGCCGACATACGGGGTGTTCTGTATGAACTGGAAGGCATATTGACCGAAATCCATCCCCTGCCCCCCGCCCACGCCAAAGCGGTTCTGCTGCTGTGGCATGAGCTGGCCAGGCATCTGTTGCATAGGTGCGGCCATTGCCGCCGAAAAATTCGGAGAAAAAAACCAGAGTTAAAGTGTTGCGATACGATCGCACGGTGAACTTGGCGAGTCGGGCGCTGCTGCGCTGTACCTCTCACCGTTTGCGACCGGGGAGGTTCGTCGCCAGGAGAAGGGGTAGTGAGGACGGTTGTGATCGATGAGCGAGTGGAAAGCAATACAAGTGATTCCGTCGTTGTGGTTCTGACAAGGAACTCAAGGCCCGTCACCCCGCTGCAGGCTGCCTAGTCTTGTCTCAAGCGAAGACTGAGGAATCGGCCGGGGATGCAGGGAAGTTTGCCGATGCACCCAACCCGACAAAAACTCGCGTCCTGGACGCTAAATTGTGGAAAGGTTCCAGAATGGGTTCAAGAAACGATCTCATCCACGCAGCAGGGGCGCAACGATGATTGGACTATCCAACAACAACAAAGCGATGCAGGGTTCCAGGCGAATCTTCCACTCGGTAGTCTCTCGTGTTGCGACAAAGGCAACAAGGTTTCGGCTTATCTTGGTGTTACAAAGCGAATACCGGCCTCTCCCACAGTCGATCGATATACGATGGCTAGGCCTCCGAGCGCTCAGGTGAGTCTAGAAGACGCAAGGCCGTGCTGCTCAAGGTTGCTTCGCCGGTGGTGATGTTGGTCGGCAACGACGTGGCTGTCGAACTCGTCCTCACAGGAAAAAAGACACCGCGGCGTGCCTCCACGAAAGAAGCGATGGGACGGGATATAGTCCTGTAGAAAGCGAATGGGCGCGTCGGGGTTCGGTCTCGGCGGCTGAGGGTTTGAAAGCGATCGGGATCGTCGTGGTGGATTGGTGGCGCAGAAGGCCTCTTCGAACGACGGTTGGAGCCCGATATATTGAATTTATAACAGCTGCGTTCGGCGCGTTGTCGTCCTCCAAAGTCTTCACAATCGGTGTGAATATTGTCTTCGCGCGACAAAATCAGGACAAGAGCAAGAAAAGAGGCACACAGGTGGTTGTGGGCGGACGCTGCTGCTGCTGGTGCACCGGAGTTCACGCAGGCTGTCGCTGGCGTGGCAGGGGTGGAGACCAGCTGCGAAAGCACAGGGAAGCGGAGCGGGTGGCAGAGAAAACGTATAGTGAGAAAGCAACGCTGGAGAAGGATGGCTTCTCGTCGTGTGCGTGTGTCCGTATCTCTTCTAAGCCGCACGATGCAGACTCTGTCGACGCTGGAGAGGCGACGAGAGGAAAGCAAGGCGGGTGAACCGCAGGTGTTGTTGGGTGTGGACAGGGGAGAAAAGCAAGAGGAAAGCGGGTTCGCACGAAAGAGAGCAAGCAAGAAGAGGCAGCAGGAGAGGCGGCGGGAGACAAGACCAGGCGCCCCTCGCTGGTGCAAGTTTAGCGTAATTGGAAGCGGCAGTGGAGGTACCTGGGCCCCTGCCTGGCTGGGGGTACCGGGTACCATCAAGGGAATGTACTCCCCGTGCCGCGTACACAGTACCAGACGCCCAGCTCTGTCCCCGATCTTGAGGGACGCTGCCCTCCCGGCGAGAGGGCGGCCGTGCCTCACATCGCCGTCGAGGACTGCAAAAACACATCTCAGATCCGGGGAGGCCAGTGGCCTGCGAATCTTCCCAAGCCCGAAAGCTGTGCCAATTCTGCTCGCAATGTCGTGATCACGGCCGGCTGCTGGCTGAGGGAGGTCGTGGGCGGGCGTCTGACACTTTGGGGCCAGGAAGTCCTCTCTACCCGGCCAAGTCGGTACTCTCAAGGTTCGATAATCGAGCGGCGAATCCCTGCTGGCGGGTTGCCCCATGACACCCACGCGCCTCACCACCCCCCCCCCCCAGTCCACCTGAGTGTGAGTGTGTGTGTGTGTGCTTGTGTGTGGTGGTGGTGTGTGTGTGTGTCTGTCTGTCTGTCTGTCTGTCTGTCTGCCCGCCCAGGTGCTCTGTTGCGCCCTGCCCTTGCTCTGCCCTTGCCCTGCCATGTCCTGCCTGTCTGCCTGCCTGCCTTGCCTGGCTCCTTTCGACGATAGACAGGCGGTAGTAGGGAAGTAGTCGTCGGTAGTCTATGTAGTGAGTAGTACAGGCAGTACTGGCAAGAGCAGAGCTCAGCATTGGGGGCAAGCAGGCGAGATCGCCTCGTCAATTAGTCCTGTGATCAACCAGCGGGAAGGCCCACGGATCTTAAGAGACCGCACGCTGCACAGTATGTAGGCAGTACTAAGACTAACAATCATGGGGCATTGCGCCGTGACAAGGGTGCGAGCAGCCTTTCGTCGCGATGTTTTGGATGGATGCTCCGGGTACAACACAGGACCTATCGGGAGACTTGCAGCCACCTGCGGTGATCCCCTCCAGAGAAAAAAAAAGCTGCCAGGGTCAATCTTGGGCCGCCACTTACATTACATTACATTACATTACATTACATTACATGACATGACAGTGCACTAACAGCAGACTACCGCCCGCGAACGAAACGGGGCCCAAGAGGAAGTACGAGAAAACGAGTGAGAAAAAGGAATTCGAGTTCTGGGGAAACCGAGGGCGCAGCACAGCGTAAAGCGATCTGAAGTTGGCAGAGGCAGAGTTGGATGTGCCCACAATAATCTTGGAAGGTGGTGAATAGCGTCATATCTGGGGTCGAACAAGAAGTCGTGTCGGGATTTCCACGTACCTACAGTAGCCCACCACCTCTCCTCCCTCCCTATGTGAGCACGGTGGTAGGCAGTGGGCCAGAGGTACCTTTAGCGACAAAGCCACGACAGCAGCAGCGTCTACGCAGTTCAAGTGCAGCTCGTGAGCGCTTATAATCATTGCCCGGCGACAAGTTGACGAGACTGGCCCGCTCGCCCACTCTTCTCCCTCAAGTTGCTTGCACATACCTATTCTAGCACATCAGGACAGGGGAATGTGGGTGCGTACAAGACAAGGGGGATCTGAAAACCTCACCCGTGAATGAGATTGCTCTATCCTCGCATGTGCAGGTGTTCGTCCCTTAGGTACCTACCTACACACACACACTCACTCACACATACACATTCACATTAATAACGTGTAGGGTCTAGACGCACACATACCTGGGTGGTGTCCGGTACTGTGCTGTAAGTCAGGGTCTAGGTCTAGGTTGACGCCTACCATCGTCCCATGGTGTCCCAACCTGCCGTTGCGTTGCAGATCCCCAAGGCATACTACTCTGGGCACATTCTTGACATGAGGTGCATCATGTTGGCAAAGGTGCCTGGGTGAGACTGGCTGTGTCGCGGCCCATTGGCTGCAGGCCGGCCACCTCTCTCCCCGTTCCTCGCCCTCACACCTCACCCTCGCCCTCACCCGTTCATTCCCTTTCCCACCCGAGCTCGAGGGGCAGCCATGCTCAATCAGCCGGTCAATGCCATGGAACAGAGCAACCGCGCCAAGCATGCCTCATCACCGAAGCTCTCTCTCTCTCTTTCTCTCTGGCAGCCAGGATGAGCCTACTACCGTTGTCTCCAAAATACCTTGGTACATACTCTGCATTGCATTCAGACTGCACTTTGCCTCCCAAGCTAGTAATGACGGTCGCAGTCGGGTGATAGTCAGCTGTCTCGTGTCATCGCTAATCGCTCATTGCCCATCGGCCTCTGCCAAATGGGGCCCTTGCGCTTCAATCAATCAAATGCCCTTTGCCGCGCCAATTTTGGCCCCAGTTGTGCCAAGCTCCCGTTGGCAACTGGTAGGCGCCATTGTTCAGGGGGCGGGTAGGGCAGGAAGGATGGGGGACAGAGAGAGAAAGAGAGAGAAATAAAAAAATTAGAGACGCGCATGCGCTGTTTCGTGTGCATGGTTGCCGCAATTGAGAAGGGTGTGTTGGGATCATGTCCAAAAAGGCGCTTTGGGCGGGCGGCGTCACGTCAAATGGTGAAGCGTCCCTGGATCCTCCCAAGGGCCCAAGGGCACGTCTGTCTCCAGCTCCAAGGCAGGCTGGGCTGGGTTAGGCAGGTTCCGCCTTGCTGTGGACATGGCAGATCCCGGCACTTGCCTGTCAGGCTAAGCCTTTTCCGATGAGACCAGAGGTTGCCGGGGCGCGGATTAGGGACGCTTGCAGGACCCCGGTCCAGATTTTCGACTTTGCTCGAGAGGGGAGGGTGTGTCTGGGTGTACGCAGTGGTTCTTGACGCCTCTTGCAATCGATCGATCGCTGATTTCCCGCCCGAGAATTTCCCCCAGGGCCCCTAAGGGAGTGAGACAGTACGTCGCTCGAGATATGGCAGACTCTCAGTACATGTGCACGCAGCAAACACTTTCTTTCGTTCTGTCGGTCACGGAGACTCCTGCGGTCAAGAAAGGACCCCCCAGCTCCTGATCGCCACAAAAACCTTATTGCCCTGGTGGGCAAAGGACGACATGGCAGCGGAGACGGACTTGCGCAACCTGCAAGGGTCTGGGTCTGTGCAAGATGAGCACCCGCAGCCCCTCTCCAGGGGGGTGCCCAGATACCCAGGACACTCGATACCCCTTCGCAGCGATCCAGCTTGTACACAGTATCACACCAAACCGCTTCAATGATTGTAGACGACTGTAGTGCACGCCCACGCCCACGCCCACGCCCACGCCCATGCCCACGCTCACGCAGCCTGCAAGGGTTGCGTTGGCCTTTGGGTCATCCCCGATGTTTGGACGGAGAGAGCTTCAAATCAAGTGATTGCAGCCGGTGCATCCATGAAGGGCTCACCCTCGGCCAGGAGTCATAGAGTTGCTGTCATTCGGATCTGGGCTCAGTCCAATACCTTTCGCCTCACTACGGATTGATTGACACGCACGTTCCATGGTGATCTGTCCATAGCAGCCGACACCTGTACGTACATACATACATACCAGCATGGTTGGGTGCACACACATACTGTAGCACCTGGCTGCAGGTCGCTGCAGTTGTCTTCCCTTTTTTGCCGGGAGCTGCATCCACGGATGGCTGATCTGAGTTGGCAACTCACAAACCTAAGCCAGATCTGGACTGGCCGTCACGCAAGCCTGTCACCGGCGTGGCCAGAGGAGTCGCGGTGGTGGCCGGTAGATCACCCTATGGGCAAGTCTACCTTTGATCTCTGTCTGTGTGCCCGGAGTAAAGCTTGCGTCGACTGCTGCTAGCCTGCGGCATCTGACAAAGTCGACCTGATGGGCCAGATCGACTGAAGGTGAACTGCCATGCAAATGCCACGCCGTCGCCAGTCAGGGACACATTAAGAAGGGCCGTGTCGGCGCCCTAGTAAAGATTTGGAAGCCGTTGGCATTTGCACATCCAACTGCAACACCACCCGGCTCGTGCACACATCAGCGCCGGAAAACAAGACTGCTGCGTCAACTTGTTGGTCCTTGGGCCTCCAGCTGGCACGGTTTCCGCTGGCTGTGGTTGTTTTTTTAGACTCGACAATTGTTTCACAAGACTTCCTTGCGGCCTGTTGTGGGGGCCGGTGACCGGGAAGCGAATCTTCCATCCTGGGCGATCCAGGCTCCTCCATCATCATGAGGTGGAGGAGATGTGGCCCGGCCCAGTCTTGAGCAGCACAAACGACTGTCCGCGGTAGTGCCTCGAAGCTGTGGTGCATGTTCGAAATTAGGCGTCTCGGGTCGGTTCAGAGTGGGAGGTGCTGCCACGAGCCCATCAATCTTACGGTCGTAGAGGTCATTGTTCCTCCACGCTGTCTTGCGTGGTCGAGAACAGACAGGGTTGGTGACCATGGGTCTCTCCCGCCGGACACGGGAGAGTCTCCGCTGTCAACAATGGATCTGCATCTGCATCTCCATCTCCGAGGTGAGGATGAAAATGTTGTGCAGCATGCGGCCAGCGAGGCGGTCAAATGGGTGCACCTGGACAATGGCAGCACTCGTCCGTACCAGCAAGAATCTGACACACCTGTTGATGTGTGATCGTCGCAACTCAAAATTAACCGTCGAGCCTAGGGGCAGGGTTGCTTGTCGATTTGCCAGGAACCGGGGGTCGCATCACCCATTTTGCAGCTCCCTGGCTTCCCAGGGCCTGGGACTCGTCGATCCGTCCCCAAGGAGCCCACCCTACTAGCCTGGCTAGCCCGCCGTTTCTGGGCTAGGGCTGTGATCAGCATCGCTCCAAGGAAGCACCTGAGGCGAGAGAAGCTTGGGGCGGAAGCAGCCCCAATCCGAATTGAAATAAGGATGAAGCTGAAAGAGAAGGCCATACTTTGAGCGACTGGATGACAGCCAGACTGGGTGCTGTATGAAGGGGCCAGACACTGCAGTGAGAGGACGAGCTGGGCCGCTTGGTTCCCGGAATAACTGTGTGTTTTTGGGTGGTGGGCACGGCCATAGCAAAGTACATCTCAATCTTGCGGAGGCTCCACTGACCAGTCCGAAACGAGCTTCATCTCTTGTTCAAATGTTCCGTTCCTGTCCTCAGTTCAGCGATTAAGCTCCATGTCAGGTCAAATGGGAGTGAGCACTGTGGTAGCCCATGTCGCCGCAGCAAGCGGCTGCCAAGCTGCTGCCAGTCGGGACTCCATGAGGCTGTGAACGTGTTGCAGACTCCATGATGATCCAAGGCTGAATGTCATACACTCGTCAAGCAATGTTACGAGTTCTTGTGGGTTTCGCGATCTGATATATTCAGAGGGGAAGACAGAGAGAAAGATATGCGACGTTGTTCGCCTGTTGCCGTGGCTCATCGGTTCCAGATGACCCAAGCAATCTTCAGCAAGCAGAAGCCCAGGGCCGTGTCTGACCTCGCCGGCTCCTGCAATCTTGCCCCGGAGGTCTCAGAGTCTTCCTATGTTGGGCATACAGTGGCACTCTTCGATCGACGGCTGTGGGTGATTCTGTTGGTCCAAGCCGGCAGCCCCATCGAAGGCAGAGGGTGCCACAAAGCTGCGGAAGGAGATTTGATAGGACGCTGGGGCCCGGGTCATGCAGGACTGAGGCCTGGCCTCCTCGCTTCCGCTCACCGCGAACACAATGCGCAACTGAACAGAGCTTCGAGCCCCTGGCCCGCCTGATGTCCCGTCATGCAAGGCTCCGAGCGACAACATGCTGTCAAGCAAGGCAGGCAGGCAGGCAGACGGACAGACGGACAGACAACACGCCGTTGATGGGTGAGATGAGAGAGCTTGGGCTTCAGGTCAAAGCCATGTGGTTGATACGACAGATTCTCCGAGGCGCTTGCAAATAGCTATAGGGCTGAAGGGCCGGTATTTGCCATACGAGGAAATAAAAGTGAAATGCAACAACCCTGAGCCTCTGGCTAGCAGTATGTACGCACGCAAGCTTAAATCCCCAGATTTGAGTACGATCAGCTTGTGGCGGGCTGTTTTGCCGAAGTATCGGCCGAACTCGCTTCCGGTGTCGCCAATCAAGGCCAAGACAACTCGGCCCAGCTGACGCCAGTACCAATGCAGAAGGAGGGAACACACCTCAGGTGCCACTGCCACGCCCACGACCCCAGAACCGACGACAACGTCACAAGGCACAGGCAGCTTGTTATCCAATCGTCCCCTTCAGAAGCGCTCTGTCACCCAGAGCTTCTTCTGCTTATCGCCGCCAAAACTCTATTCACCCCATGCTCAAGAATACCTTTGTCTTGAGCCGCTTCTCACCAGTAGTATCACTCTTGCCCGTGTCTTGCCGTGGCCTGTCCATCTCTTATCGTCGGTACATATCAATGACTCCAATCACAATGGCGCCTCCCAAGCCTGCTCAAGATTTTCTGGACTTCGTGAACGCCTCCCCTACTCGTAAGCCATTCCCTCCTGCCCTCGCTCTCTTTCCTTGCCCAACATACATTCCAACAGTATTGCTTACATATCCTCAGCTTACCATGCCGTCGCCTCGTCCGTGAAGCTTCTCGAAGCGGCGGGCTTCAAGGGCATCAAGGAGAGGGACAACTGGTCTTCGGACTTGCAGCCGGGCGGGAAGTACTACCTCACTCGCAATGGCTCCTCCATTGTCGCCTTCGCAATCGGCAAGAAATGGGCTCCTGGAAGCTCGATTGCAATGATTGGCGCTCACACTGACTCGCCATGCTTGCGTATCAAGCCAGTCTCAAAGAAGACGAATGCTGGATTCTTGCAGGTCGGCGTCGAGACTTATGGAGGAGGCATCTGGCACTCCTGGTTTGACCGCGACCTGTCGATCGCTGGACGTGTTCTGGTCAAGGACTCGGCCGGGAACTTTGTGCAGAAGCTCATCAAGGTCGATAAGCCCATCCTTCGCATCCCCACTCTGGCTATCCACCTTGACAGGTCAGCCAATTTCGACCCAAATAAGGAGACCGAGCTATTTCCCATCTGTGGTCTTGCCGCTGCCGAGCTGAACCGGACCGGAGTGAGCGAAAAGGAAGCAAAGAAGGATGAACAACCCGAGGCTGATGTCGACGGCGAGTTTCAGCCTCTGAAGGCGATGACCCAAAGACACCACCCCTATCTCCTGGAGATCATTGCACAGCATGCCGGCGTTGAAACGGATGGTGTTGTGGACTTTGAACTAGTGCTGTACGACACCCAGAAGTCCTGCTTCGGGGGCCTTAACGACGAGTTCATCTTCTCCCCGCGACTGGACAACCTAGGAATGACGTACTGCTCCGTGTTGGGTCTTATAGAGTCGGTCAAGTCAGACAGTGCTCTTGATGACGAGTCCTCAATCCGCCTCATCACTTGCTTCGACCACGAGGAGATCGGTTCCACCTCTGCTCATGGGGCGAACTCTAATCTTTTGCCCGCTGTGCTTCGGCGTTTGTCGGTTTTGCCAAGGGGTAACTTTTCCGAGTCCGGCTCTGAGAAGTCCTATGAACATGTCAACCCAGACGACATCGCAACGGCTTTTGAACAAACGCTGTCCACCTCTTTCTTCGTCTCTGCAGACATGGCACACTCCGGTAAATTGCGACCGTCACCCGAACTTCTGAAGACGCTTGCTCATTCTCAATAGTGAACCCAAATTACCAACAAAAGTACGAGTCGAACCACCAGCCTGAGATGAACAAGGGCACGGTCATCAAGAGTAAGCCACACACGATGCCTTTGCTATTGTCTATGCTCTGTCGAATCTGTGGCATATTGACCTGACTATAGTCAACGCAAACCAACGATACGCGACAAACTCCCCTGGCATCGTCCTCTTGCAGGAAGTCGCCAAGAAGGCGGGCGTGCCTCTTCAGCTCTTTGTGGTGCGAAACGATAGCTCGTGTGGCAGCACCATCGGACCTATGCTCTCTGCAAAGATGGGCGTGCGAACCCTTGACCTTGGTAACCCGCAACTTTCCATGCACTCGATCCGTGAAACGGGTGGTACATACGACGTCGAGCATGGTATCAAGTTGTTCGCATCATTTCTGTCCAACTATACTGGGTTGGAGTCCAAGATCCTCGTTGATTAAATTAAAGGCAAGGCATATCCGGTTCCGAGGCCCGATACCGGACATTTCGAATGAAGCTCGCAACGACGCTCCTGGAGTCTCGCATCTACAGATGGACTCGTGCTATCAGTCCCGAAGCTGAGAGGCGCGCCTGATCTTATTCAGGTAGCTTGAGGACGAGAATACACATCATCTAACAATTGCATCAACACAATCTTGTCGCACTTCGCATGAGAATACGGTTCACCAAATGTAAAGTTCAGTCTCACAAGTCGTCAAATCAACTTGGAACCCTCGCAGCGATCATAGGTATACAATTGAGTAAGCATCCAAAACCTCGTCCGGGCGAGCCTTTGTGTTCAATACTTTTCTCTCTCGCTATATTGTCGAATCGGACATGCCAGCGATCCTCGGGACTTGTGTTCAACCTCGAGCTCCCTCGAAGCCCCATAACTTGCATCCGAATATATCTTGTACCTTCGCGTCCCACGTCTCTTTGCACCCCTTCATTGACTTCAGTTGACCTCATACATCACCAGCCCGCAATAATCCAAACACGTCTTCCGTTTCTATTCCTTTGGATCGCTGCCCGTGTGAATTGTTACAACCTCCGAACACAGCTCTGCAATTGTGCGTGTGCTTAACTGTCGTGGTCTTCTTCGCTTAATCCTGGCCTCCTCCTGTATCTTTCACGCCCTTCCTCTCCCCCTTTACCATCTTTTCTGTTCCTTTTCCTTTTCTACGCAGAGCCCACTGTTCCCGACAAGAGCTTCCTTATGTCATATTATTCCCCTCCCCTTCTCTCAAGACCTGTTTCCTTCGTCCTCTGCCTGACACAGCAGATGATGTCCTCGCTCAGCGAATTTTCATACCCCAACTCCGCTGGCACTGCCGTTCATGTCCCCGTCTCTGCCCATATCGTCCTTCTTCTCCCTCCCCTTCCATATTGTCCTTCTTCCCCCTCCCCTTGCCCCTGTTCCTCTTCTTCTTTTTCCTTTCCTCATAGCCAACGGCTCTGTCGGCGGCAGGAGCGGCGGTCCTCCATCATGCGTCAGCGCCGGCGCCGGCGCCGGCGTACCGTTGGCCTGCTGTTGAGCAGCCGCTGCCGAGTGGGGTGGCGCAATGACCTCGTCGGCAAAGGAGGCGGGCTGTCCGTTGAGGCCGGTACGAGCCGCTGCGGCGTAGTCCATCGCGGACTTCGGTGCGCTGCCATCCGTCTGTGGCGGTCCAGCTGGCCCGACTGTAGCGTCAGAAGGGGATTCTGGAGCCGGTGTCGATACGCTGTCGTCTGTCTGTAATATCTTCTGTAATGACTCCACAAATCCTACTGGAGTTTTGGTACGTTGTTCAGGAGCCAGCGTTGATGCGTCGACACTCGGCTCGGAGTGCGCAGGCCTTATCGAGTTCCCGTTCGCGGCGAAGAATTCGTCGTAACACGATTTAGGGGGCGGCAGTGGTACTCCATGGCGAAGGGCAGCCAACATGGCAAGCCGACGAAGCACCCTCAACCGCGCCGATCTTCCGGAAGCATTTGGGTGTGGAAGTGTGAGCCCTGACGTGCTCTGGGTGCTGTTACCGGTATCATTTTGTCCTCCCAATGTGTCATTGTCAGCCAAGGCCTCAAGGTCTCTAATGCGGCAATCCATGAACCGGAGGAACTCTCGCATGTGGGAAAGCCCCCACCGGTCTCGAAGATCCCCACCCACGAGCAGCTCAATCGCCAGGACCTGACTGGGCCGCAACAATTCTCCAGACCAGATAAACCACCAGTGGTATCTGCAGAGGCAGAATGGGGTGACGGCCGTGTCCCCAGTGCTCATCGCGCGGATGCCGTCGACCTGGGGCCGGTCGTCCACGTACTCGACATACTCGTCCTCGCGAGCCTGGTCGTGAATCCGGCAGTGGTCGCAGGCCCCACGGCTAAATCCCTCGAGGGGCTTGGGCACCCTCGCGTACAGGCGTTTGTCAACGGGATCCTCCCAGACGAGGTAGTGCGAGGGGTAGTGTCTCAGCATTCGCCCTTTCCTGTCGTAGATCCGCCACCGCTGCAGCGTCTCAGGTCTGGCTTCGCTAGGAAGCCCCTTTGATGAGAGGGCCGTGAAGTCATTGAATTGCAGTGCCCTATCGCCTGCGAAAGAGTTAAAGACCTCGCCCGCGTCGAGGTTGAGTCTGATAGGCACAATCTTCGCGTCTCGGAGCCCCGCGTGCTTGTCGTCTGTGGGGAATCCGCTATAAGTGTAGCTGGCGCCGGAAGCTCTCTCTTCTTGGATTGCGCTGGGGGCTATGTGGTGGTGGATGGCGTCGAGATCGTCTCCGGAAAGCTTTCCAAGCCGCTTATCATTTTCGCTGGCTTTTGTCACCCAGAGTTTTCGGTATTCAAGTGGAATAGGGATTCCCGTCTTATCGACGAGGTCGTCGGCCATCAGGGTGGACAGTGATAGAGCTGGGCTCTGAGTTCGAGCAGTGACGCCTTCGATGGCCTGCATTTTGCCGGTCTGTGCTCGAGGCTGGAGATTCCGTGTTTCTGTTTCGTTCACTGGCCGAGAAGAGGGCTGCGTCGTGGTTTTGAGTGGTCCACGGTATGTGGCGTGTTCTGAGATATGACTTGAGCGCGAAGGTGACAATTAAGAGAATAGGCCCAAAATGTGTGGTACTACTGGACCGGGGATTCAAGTGGTGGTAGCTCCTTCGCGTCCGAGAGGGTGGGTGTAATGTCGATGTTGATCGGTGTAAGAGTGTAGAGACACAGGCCAAGAATGTTGTCCTTGATTTGAATGTCACAAGAGACAAGTGAAAGCGTTGTATAGTGAGGGTTTTGAACGAATGTGTAGTTGGGATGCTGATGTTGCGAAGGCGAAAGCTGAGGAAAGGGACCGCGTATGGAGAGCACGCCCGTTCATATATGTCCCACCTGGGAATTTCGAGCAACAAAGTGGTAGGGTGATTACAGAGCGTACTTAATTTCAAAATATTGACTCTTGTCGTGGACAAGATTGAACCAGGGCCTGCTCTGGAAAACTAGCCTGCCAGCTTTTTGGAAGAAATGGGGGTCACAAGACCAGGAATCAGTTATGTCGCTCGCGGCTTGTCCAAGTCAATTTATTTCGCACATGGAGACTATTTATACTGGCTTTCCGACTCATCGGAATAATTGTGTTGTGCCTGTCGCTAGCTACTAGGTGGTCAACTAGTAATGCTAGTATTAGTACTAGGAGAAGAGACAACAGACTAACAAGTAGCAATGCCTGGATGACTCTTTTAGTGCCCTACGAATCTCCATTGAGGCACACTTCTGGTGTACAGACAACTTTTTGGTCAGGAAACGGACCAGCCTAGATGATAAGGTCACGAGTTCTCCAGACTCTGATTGACTTAGAACTATACCTGGGTACATCTGGCTCTGTCGTGCTTGATCATGCGCTTGATCAAAGGCAACATCTTGCAGATCACTAGTCAATTTTCAATGAGCTCCTGAAGACAGTCTCATTTGTCACCGTACGTACACTTGTGAGGAGAAGCTCAAGCCTTTGCGCTTCCCCTTTACCCCTGAAAAGATTGTTAGACACGACGGGTTAGACAACGATCTTCGCGGACGGTTTGCTTTAGAGACCCCGAGTTCAGAACTATCAGTATAGGTTTCATGGTAAAGTGAATCAGTTACTTGCGTATCTGGCTACTTACATGCCTAGTCGTTGTCAAAACACTCAGCTGATTCTAGTATGGTCACATCAAAAATAAGTTCATCACCAGCATTCAGTCTCAAGTGCGCAACGTATTAAATCCAGCTCTTTATGCAAATCGGATTGGGGGGATATCTTTTTTCTCTATCTATTCATCCAAACGAACATGATCGCATCTTCCACCCACCCTGCGCTCTTTCTCTTTCCCTCTCTCCATCACCTGGGGTCCGAAATGTATTTCTGTCCCAGCGCATGCTGCACACATGTTTACACTGACATCTCGAGCGCCTGCATGGTTCTGTCTCCAAACTAAGTATGTATGTCGCTTGGTCGGAAAACTTCGACCACCATGACAGCCCAGTCGCGGACAAGCACAATGTCAGTCATGGACTTGAGCCTGCTGGTAGTGACGCGAGATTAAAACCTCGACGCCAGAAATCGACGTATCTAATTGCCGACACACGGGAATGTCCTACTTGCCCCCACTTAGCCTCGTGAGGTAGTTGAGGAAAGCTTTCTTGTCTGTCGACAGGCATTGCAAGAACTCGTTCCCGTCTATTCCCAGGCTTGGGAACAAGCTTGATTGCAAGTGCCGAATGAAGGCGTCGCCGGTCTTGGCGTAGATGGTCTGCTCTAGCTGGACAATCTCGTTCATAACCTGTCTAGTTTGTGCGTCCGACGGATTAAACTGCGGGTCCCTCAGGACCTCCCAGCAGATGGGGTGGAAGCGTTCAATGACAAAAGTGTCGAATCCCGGAATAAGAGGTGCTGGAGAACCTGTGGGCGGTGTGGGATTGTTTGAAATAGCAGCAACGTCCGGGCCACCCCAGACCGATGTCATCTTTATCATCAGGCCAAAAGCCAATCTGCTAGTAGACATGTTGCCGTGCGAGACCGTTCTGGCAAGCGTCATGATCGAAGAGATGAGGGACTCGAAATATCCCTGGTTTGTTTCGCTCACGAGCACTCCTCCCAGATCGTGCTGGAGTATGATTTGGATGAAGTGGAGATATTCTCTCCTTAGCTCACCGAGTTGAATCTCGTCGTCAGTACCGCTGGCTGGCTGCGACAGGCCTTCGAAGATGCGTTGCAATAATGGTGTCAGCAGCAAGTTGAGGATGTCGTAGATTTCACCCTTGAAGTTGAATACGATTTGTTCCAGTAGACGCAGGAACATGGCCATCTCATCGTGCGATGAGCTTTGGGAGAGCAGGCCTTCAATCCATTGCGGCAGCTGAGGCAGCACGGTCGCCCCAAGCGCACCAAGAAGACGAGAGAAAGCCGAGCGGCAGGCCGTTCTGATTTCACGGTTGGTGTTCAGTTCCTTGAGTGCCACAAGAATAGCCTCCGCCACACGAGAGAAAACCTCAGATATCTCTTTTGGTGGCGGAGGCTGTTTGTTCATATTGTTGCCCGCCGACGAATCAGCAAACCCGTGAGCTAATATCCCCAGAGCTGTGATGATGTGATGGACTTGAAGAATCGCCTGCGTGTCACCCGACTTTGCCCTCGGCAAGTTTTGTTCCATATCCGCAAACAGGGGCTCCATAATTGTCCGAGCGTACAGTACTTGTTGTGCGATGGGAGTGCCGTTAGTAGAGGAAATGCAGCCTATGGCTTCGAACAAGTAGCACTGGTTGGTGAAGGCGGCATCCGCCGAATGGTCGGATTCGTCGGAGGACATGTCGTCGTCAGCCTCATCACCAGGCACTTCGGCCTTGATGGCCAGCAAGTCACTAATAGATTGAATGACAGTTTCTGTCATGCCTTGCACTTGGGCACGCAGCTGCTTGACCAAGCGGTAGAACAAGTACCACGATCTCATGCGGACTCGAACGTGGTCGTGATGAACGAGGCGGACAAAGTTTTCCAGCACTCTTGGGATGTACTCCTGGCGATTCTCGAAGAAGACGGCGTAGCGAACACAGATCTCCATGTACTGCAAAAGGATTGCAGGGTGTGGAAAGTTGGAGATATCTATAAGAAGCCGTGAGTATATGGAAGAAACACATGGCAATACTGCACTTGTGACTTACCTGATTCTACCATCTTCGACATGATCACCAAGAGCCTCTCGGCAGCAGCAGTGCTAGGCTGCGACTTTCCCACAAGCCCCGAATTTGGCAGGGCAAGCTCGCCAAACAGATACATCTCATGCAAGGCCAGGTCCAGATCTCTCCAGTCCATCTGAGAACCTTGCTGGTCAAGCGTCTGGAACGTGTTCGCAACGAGGTTGCTCAGGGTCTCCATGTAAAGATTTTGGTCGACAGCAGCCACACTCTTTTGCAGGTTTTGCAGCCGTTTCCTGAGTTCTTGGAATTCTGCCTCGTCCGTTTGTTCATCCTCGTGACCCCACGACGCAGTTTCGTCGTACCTCATCTTCATGATAATGGCATTCAAGATATTTGGAAGCAACTCGGTGTATCGAGGGGGCATAGGGCTGATTTTGCGGAAGAAGGTGAGGACATCGGTAAGGGAGGGGATGACAGAGGAGCAGACCTCGTCAAACTCGTCCGAGAAGAACCGAAGCAGCAGGGGAAGGAAGTCATGCAAGTGCTGTTCCGCCTTGGGAGCGATATCTTCACTGAACGATTCAAGCACCCTGACCACGTCCGTCATGACCACATTGACGAGCTTTGCTACAGCCTCGGCCAAGTCAGTATCGTATTTGGGCGTGCCCCTGTACTGATTCAGTGGTGGGCTGTTGACAAGCTCCGCGACGATCTGCCGAAGGCCAAGGAACCCGATCAATTCCATCTTGTCACCGGGCTTCATCTTCTTCGAGGTGATTTCTGTATAGGCGTCGACAGCGGCATCCCGGACCTTGTCGGTGTCCCCTTTGGTACGTCCGATGAGAGGCAGTAGAAGGCTGATCATGTCCTGCTGGATGACCAGCGTGATATCAATCCACTGAACCCACTTCCCTAGGACCTTGAGGGTCATCTCAATGATCTTGTCATCCTGGTTCTGATACTGCGCCAGGATCTCCTGCCAAGAGCGGACAACCTTCTGCATGTCCCTTTCCCTCACGAGGTCCTTCAGGTCAACATTGCGGTTCGCCTCGTCCGGTTGGCGGGAGAGCAGCTGGTCTGCTATCTCGTCATGGACAGCAAGCAGGATACGTAGGTATAGGATGCACCCGGCCGGGTTGTCCCTCCTGTCGCTTCCGGGCAGGCTGGTCATGGACAAGAAGTCATCCAAGAAGCTTTCCCATCCTTGTTTGTACAGCCGAACAAACAGAAACGTCAATGTCTGTGTCAGCTTGTTCTGGAGGGTGGGCGAGTCGAGCTGCTCGGGGTTGGTGGCGTAGGTCCGCTTGACATAGTCGAGGAAGGTATCCTTTAGAATTGCCAGCTGATGCGAGTCGGTCTCGATTATGATGGCGTTGTTTATGACCTCCAGGCAGACGACACGGATGACCTCGGTCGGCTGAGGGTTGCGAACGAATAGAGAAACGCAGGCCTGCCATCCTCGTGGGTCGGACCTCAGGTTGGCGAGGAACGAGAAGGCCTGTTGCTTGAGAGCCTGATCGGACTGCGGGTTCCATGCTATCTCGATAGCATTCTCGATCTGTACCACGGTGGTCTCACAATCAGTTCCAGGGCTCCAGCTGGTAAGGGAAACGAAGCACGAGCACGAGCACATGGTCGCTCAGAAGGAGATGTCGGCCGGGAACTAGAGAGAGAGAAATCTGCCCGTACCTGGCTCTCCATACTGACGCAAGCTCCTCAGGGGAGATTCGCCAGGGGAAAGGGACGTCGAGCTCGAAAGCGTAAGTAGTTGGCACGAGGGCTGCTATGACGTGCGGATCGTGTACGTTTGTTGGAGGCAAGCATGCAGCATTGTATCGTGGGTGGAGGCGGGGCAATTATCAGAGGCTCATTGCTGGGGCCGGATGAGCAGAAGAGATGCAAGGCAGGCAGCACAGGACAGGGTACGCGCTCGGCAAAAAGTCAAATCACACAGCCGCGGACCTAGGTTGCCTCGCGGAGGTGCAGTGAGAGAGACCAAGGTAGCTGTTGATATTTATTGGGTTGGGATCGATTGGGCGTGGAAAGTGGACAAAGCAGCAGCAGGGCCGAGAGGGTTGGGTTGGGTTGGACTCCGGGATATCTTACTACGGTAGGCGGTAGGCGTGCTTTGCTACCTTGGAGCAGGTATCCATCCGCACGACAAGCAAAGTACCTGGTGTTGGTGGGGCATTCAAAATAAAGGGCTTGCAGCGGCTCTCCGGGGCTGGGCCTGTCAATCCTGTCATCCATGCCACCCGTCGCATTCCATCCCACTAGGCCTTTCCTTCTGATCTGACGGACGGTACACGGCCACGTGCCGCATTGTTCGTCCAAACCCTTCATGCGCTGTTGCTGTTGCTGTGCTGTAGACTACATCCAGGCGCTGATCCCGTAGACTTTGCCTGATTGACTGCCTTTCTGCAATCGCCTTCATTGCTAGCTGTATGAGCCAGTCCATCCCTGAAGCCTGCATATTCTTTATCACTAGTCTCACACACATATACAAACAAAGCCTGTCGCCCAGCGGCCTGAAAAAGTAGTTTTATTTGCCCTGGCACCGATTGCCTCTTGCGCGAACACAGACCCTCGGTATCTTCAGAATATTCATGCACCTTCTGATGAAAAAAGAATAACGTCCCCTGTCGCGATTAAGAAACTCAATGCTGCCCTGAACATTTCGTGATAGTCCATATGCCGTAAAACGCCTATCCTGTCCTCTCCCGTCTTCAACGCTGAGCCTCCCAGCTCATAGCCCAGCTAACTTAGGTCGTCTTCTTCTTCTTCTTGGGGGGCGAGTCTGCATCTTCATCCTCGTCACCACCGTCGTCATCATCGGCAACTCCGCTCTCCGCGTCTGATCCGCTGCCGGACCCAGAGCTCTCGTGGTCGGAATCGAACTCCTCAGCAACGTCGGATTCCGACTCGGTGTGGAAGTCCTCATCAACACTCTCCTCGTCCTCATCTGCTGAGCCGCGGTCCGCTCCGCCGCCGACAACTTCATCGTCCGAACTCAGCTCCTGTGCCCGCAGTGCCTGCTTGAGCAGCTTCTCGTCCTCGTCGATCTCGTTCTTGACCCGCAGGCCCTTGAGCTTGAAGAACGACTCGAGCGCCTTCAAGTCATCCCGGTTGATGTTGCTGAACTGCTGTGATCCGGCACCCTTCATCTGCACTGTTATGTCGAAAGTGGAAAGAGCTGACACTGCACCGCTGACGCGGGAGAACGTCACAGACTGTGTCTGCTCGTAGGAAATATACGTGGCCGGCTTTGGCACGAACATGAAAGCCTTCTCCAACAGGTAAAGGAAGCCCTCGCTAGCCTTGATGGTACACTTGATCGCCTGCTGTTGACGGTGCCTATCCGAACATTAGTGAAAATCAATAGTAAAGCCTGAAGTAGGTGGACTCACGTCTCAAAGTCCTTCGCAGGCGTGGACACCTTCTTGTTGGACAGACCCCGGAAGATCTTAGTCACCACCTGGTGCATGGGCTCCTCGTAATGCGACTCCAATTTCCCGTCATATTGCTCCTTACGCATTTCCTCACTCATGTTCAAGTCGATGGTACTCTCGTCGTCCCTCTTAAATTGCATGACCACGAAGGGATACCGCGTCTGGCCTTGGCGCAGAGGGGGATCCAAGCCGATGGTGAGCAGGAAGTGAACGTCATCCGGCTTAGGGAGGACCATGAACTTCTTGACAGCATCGTACTGCACCTTGTAGTCGTACGTCTTGCCGCGAAGTCGGAAGGACTGGAGGTACATATCAATGTCGAAGCGGCCTCTGGGCGTAAGGTGCAGGACATCCTGGAATGTGGCGACGGTATCGCCAGCCGTATCTCCGATGTCCGCCTTGTCCAACAGGGTCTGGTAGAATAGTTGCGCAGCTTGGACCTCCTCCTCGTCGGCGTCACTGGCAGCCTCCTCGCCCTCGGCCTCCTTCTTGGTAGTTGTTCCTGGGATGTAGAACCGCATCTCAACCATCTGGTCCATAGCTGCGGTTGCCTTACGACCTTTGCTAGCGTGGCCGTTGGCCTTCTCCCCGTCATTGTTGGCAAGCTCGACAGCGATCTCGTTCCGGCCTGCCAGGTTGGTGTTGGAAATTTCGGAATAAGGGATTTCGAACGCTGGTCGGTTCTGGACGTTGAAGGTGAGCTCGCCCTTTGTAAACTCCGCCTTGCCCCAGTTCCAGCCCCGCAGCGAGTGGTCCTTGGTGTCTAGCGCGTGGCCGTACCAATTCTTGAAGATTCGGGTCAATCGCTCGTGGTCCTGTCGCATGTGTCAGGGTTTTCAGGTCACGAGGGAACGCATGCGTGTGTGTCGAACCTCTTGCTGGAAGCCATCGAGCTGCATCACCTCGGAGTTCCGCTGCAGAATCTTGACCTCGTAGCCTTTCGCAGCTCGGCTCCAGTGTGCGCCGGCGATGTTGCTCGATTCGAGAGTGACTGCATCGCCGCCGCCAACGGGCTTCCAACCGAGACCGGCCTCTGAGAATCGGCATTTGCCGCTCTCCTTGGACAGGTCCAAGTAGATGTGGTCGAAGCTCTCCCTGAGGTTGGCCATCTCGTCAGCTCGGTTCGCCATGTGTGCGACTGCAGTGCAATCGAAATGGGATTCATGGGGCAAGTTTTGGGAATTTCCCACAGTGAAAGACCTACATCGACATCTTGAAAGCCTGGAAATGGTTGATAAAAGGAGAACGCTGAAAGGGTGCTGCGAGCTGCCGTCGCAATTGCAGGAGGGAAAAGTTGGAGGTTCACCCAACTGCTTGCCTAAAAAGGTGCCGCCCGCCAGTTGCAGCACGGATAACGGATACGCGACGCGTTAAGTTGCTGCCACCCTGCAAGGAGCCGCCCCAAAGCTACAAAGCCCACGGGCCAACTCAGTTGATCGAAGAGCTTTCCCGGAAGTACTTAGGTACCTGATGGACAGCGAGATTCAACATCCACATACTCAATATTGTAGTTCCTCTATATCATTTGCAAATCCTCAGTCAGGATGCATGAATTATTAGACCATCTCTAAGGCTAGTACTGCAAGCGAATACAACTCTTGTAGCTGACATTGGTGGTCTCCGCTTCGGACTGGCCCACTTTATCACTCGGGATGGATAGCTACATATCCTACTCCTTTCGATTTAGATCGAGGTTTTCTATTCTTTTCCAGCCCCTGGACTGTGACCTACCCCAGATCATTCAAGATAACGAGGCCAAACATCCCTGGGCTGGTAGTTTGCCGCACCTAGAGTCAGATGGACTCCAGGTTGCACGCAACACCTCCACACTCAACACATCATTACTACATCGCCTTTCCGTCCTTCACCTTGAAACTCCTCGCCCTCAACTCCTTTTGCTTCTCAGCCCACTGTATCCTAGCCTCACCTACGATCTCGCCAACATCACGGTTGATGTCAGAAGACAATCCCGGCCCCACCAGCGGTTCACGATCCCGGCTACCCCCAGCCGTGAGGGATTCCGTGGAGGCTGACCTCTTCAGCTGGACGCCCGCAGCCGAGCTCCGCTCCTCGATCTTCTTCTTGAGGAATGGCTTGGCCGGGGAAGCGAAGAAGCCCATGCTTAACGCGACGCCGATGATAGGGTAGAAGTAGACTCTTGCCCAGACCTTGATGCTGTCCGCGAAGCCCAGCACGAGGAAAGGTGTCGTCACGAAGGAGAAGGCCGACTGTGTCACCAGGTAGGAGAAGAAATCGTAGTATGGCTTCAGAGATGTGGGTTGCTGTGTGGCCGGGTCGATGAAGAAGGGGCGGAAGTACCGTCGGAAGTCTACCACAGCTTGTCAATACATAGTTCTCCTGGTATAACTGGGACCTTTGCCTTGATTTGGACGGCACTTACTCTTCGCCACTGTCTGGATGAAGCTAGCCAACACAAACGTGAGGTAATATCCAGGATAAAAGCCGTGCCAAATCGCGCTGGTTCCGAACGTCGCCAAGCTCGCTCTGAACCCAGGCTTCTTGCCCCTTGGCGTGACCCTCAAGTAGATGTAGTGCCGTAGCCACAGGTTTGTCTTGATATTCCAGTTCTCGAGGTACGCCCTTGTGTTCTGTGCGCTCTCCACGCCCCAAGGGTAAATGTTGCTCAGCCTGTTCCAGCTGATCTTGCCAGTGATGGGGTCAAAGCCGTTGTATCCCAGGCCCGCCAGGATGCAGGCGCCCTCAGTCATGGACCAGACGCCGTAGTACTTCATACGTGCGGTGAAGTTGGTCATGTGAAGTATCCAGAGCCGCCGGGGTAGGCTATAGTCCATGTAGCTGTCGTCCAGGAGGAGGTCTGTATTATACCAGCCCGAGAAATTGAGGAAGCATATGATCCATACAAGACCCGTTGCCAGCTTCCACATCGAAGGTGTGGCGCTGCGCGGAATCCGGCGCTTCTTGCGCGTCGGAGGCTTCTTGGCTGGGTCCACGGCCGTGGGCACCTCGAACATGCTGGTGTCAAGCCACCGCCTGTACTCAGCAAAGTCCATTGCGGGCCCACATAGCAGCGAGGGGAAGAAGAAGACATAGCCGGCATAGTCCAGCAGGCTAGGAAGCTCCTTCAGGACCCTGTCTTTCTGGAAGTCTGACATCTGATCCTCAGGGAGCGTGCCGTCCGCAACGTTCCAGCAGAATGCGCTCAGCTTCATGACCAGGACCATTTGCGCGCCCGTGATGTCCACACTCGACGGGTCGTTAGCAAACTGTCGAGCCAGCTGGTTGACGCTCATGTGGACCATGAGGAAGACGAAGCCGACCCATGGCATGTAGGGGCTTCCACGGAGAGAATAGGCGATGCCATATGCGCCACCAGAGGCGATGAGAATTGTACGCAAGCCAGCCCAGAGGTCAAAGAGCCCGACTAGGTAGAAGATGCCGACCCTACAAAGAAAACATGTTAGTCAGGAAACAGTCCCAGTCTCATCCAGTCCTCATTCCCGCCTGGTCAAGTTGTCCGGGAAGTTCAGAACGTACGCTGCGGAGAAAAGGTTCTTGTACGCCGGCGTCGTATCAGGGACTCGCTTCAAGAGACCTGCTAGTGGGTATGAAAGCAGGATCGAGAAAATGAGCTTGACTATGTTAGGTCACAAGAGTTAGTCCTATACAGAGCGCTCGGCACGATGAGTCTCAGGGAGGCACATCAGCTCACGTTCATCGGGACCGGCACCAACGAGGCCTGCCAGGTACACAAAGGCTGGTGGGTCACTAAAGTCAGCATATGAACATCTGAAATGGACCTCAAGTCTGGGCCAGAAGCTCACGAGCGTGTATGTAGGGCAACATCCTGAACGCGAGGGAGGGATTGTTGCCGTGGGAAATTCGGATTATGGGTTGGCGGCTCGTCAGTCCATGCCTCTCAATGGCGTGTTCCAATCTATACTACGGGGGAAAAGACACAGATAAGAGGGTTGGGGCCAAAGCAGGTGGCTATGGTAGGACTGTTGTCCTGTGTAGGGGAATCTCGGCGAAAACTTAATTCTGTTTGTTGAGAGGTTCAACTGAAGCCTCACGACTCGAGACAGCTTTTTGAGACCCGGGGCTTGGTACACACTACACCTTGCCTAAAGTGATGTCATGCGCCACTGTCTTCTGTCTATTTTCGGGAGGCGGTGGGCCTAGCCACCACCAATAGAGCATCTGTCCTCGAACATGCCCATGCTATAATGGTTGCAACAATTTCATCAGCTGGACAATGTGAGCAATGCAGTGCACGCGTTTGTTTTGGTGATTTGGTCATTTGGCCCAGTACATTCAGTCCTGGAAAGCCGCACTTATACGACATTTGGCTACCTTGATTGTCCTTAGTCATTCACATTTCCATGAGGGTAAATACAATTCATTCTGAACCAGCCGAATCATCGTAACGTCATGAATTAATTGGTAGTATAAACTTCATTCGCAGCATGCATATACACATAGCGCCTTGTGTCTTTAGAGACGCCAGCCTTTGGCGCCTCGTGATCATTTGACTCTCGGCACATCAGCCCTCTACCATCGGACCCATTAAACGCCTTCCCAATAACTGCACCTCTTCTGCGTGTTGCATCCATCATTAAACCTGTAATAGTCATACAAGCGTGCGACGGCTTAGAGGACACAGTCCGGTCGCCCAGTTCTATCCCAGGAAGAAACCCAGAGAGCAAGAATGGGAAAGTAAACTGATATACAAGGATAAGACCCTGAACATGATGCCTCAGCTCTTGCCTGTTTCGAAATCATGGACGCTTTATGAGACCACGGTTGAGCAGTGCCAGCTTCAAGCTCGCACCAGATGCAAAAAAGTGCGCTCGACCATGATGACACCTTCAAAGATCATTCGCCTCTAGCTCTTCTATGACATGGAAGCATCTTTGTTGCTCTGCGAACTTGCGCTCATCACGGGCTGTTGCGTCGGGAGCGAGTTCTTGGATTGCTCGGTCGATCGGATCTTTGCCCACGCATAGACAATGCCGCTGACGAAGCCCAGGAAGATGGCCGAGACACTGCCAAATGTGACAGGAGCAGCGAAGAAGATGAGACCCGAGACAGCAATGGGCAGTTTGTTGAGCGCGCCGACCATGGAGTACGTCGTCGAAGAGGTGACACGGATGCACCAGGCCGAGCAGTACGAAATAAAGATGGCCGCCAGACCAGAGTAGATCATACCGATAATCAGGGCGTTGCGGGACTCCTCAGGGAAGTTGAGTTGAAGGTTTGTAGAGCTCCAGTCCTCGAAGATCAGAGAAGCAACAATGAGCGTGGGAATAGTAAGCAAGTTGTTGTAGAACATCGCTGTGCCAAATTAGTCTCCCTCATTCTGGCAACAGTTGTAATAGGGGTCCACATACAGTCCCAGTCCTTGAAGTTCATCTTCTTGATGACCTTGCGCATGGTCAAGACATATGACGCTGTGCAAAAGACATTCATACCCATCCATGCGTAACCCGCATTCAGGGTCGACACGCTAACAGACGAGTCGTATCCACCCGAGAGAGCAGCCTGGATATCTGCCCATGCAGCAATGACGGAGCTGAGAACCATCAGACCGAAGGAAAGAAGGGCGATCGGTGTCACCTCCCCGCCGAACCACAGGACTTCTCCATATGCGATAACGATGATGGTCAGGTTCTTGAAGATCGTGTAGACGGGAACCGACAGGAACTGGAGGGATTTGGTGCTCGTATAGATCATGCCCACGAGGAGCAGAGAGATCGGGTACCCTGGAAGCTATCAGTCTCTGGCGCGTCCCAGCTCAACCACAGTTGTTGGACGTACATTTCTTGGCCTTGTCAGTATCAAAAGGGGCCAAACTCGTGATCAAGCCTCCCTTCTTGCAGATCATGATGGCAGCGATACAGACAATGGACTATTCCAATGGTCAGCAGGATCCTCCTTGCGTGTCTCCTTGCGCGAGTCCACCCATACCTGAACAGCCAGATAAAACAGATTCAAGTTCCAGTTCTTGCCAGAAACGCAGTACTTGTTGACCACGGTCATGGAGATGGACGACAGGCAGTACGCGAGGATTGAGACGCCAGGGTTGTTCTGAAGCTTGGCGACCTTGTCGTGCAGCCCAGGAGGGCTGATTCTGTGTGACGGCCTCCTCTCAAGAAAGCTGTCCTTCTCTTCGCGGAAGGAATCGCCCCTCTCGGGCATGCGCAACACGAAGTCATCGCTTTTCTTGTCTGAGGACATCTTGAAAGCCTTTTCTTATCTTTCCAGACCAATGCACGCTAGTTGAACGAAGGACGGTGGACGAGAGACAGTGGGAGTCAAGTTCAGGGGCTGGATGTTGTCGAACAGTGAGCCCAGGTTTCTTGCTCGGATGGACAGGACGGAGGAAGTCGACGAGACAGAGTGTGGCCAGTTGAGAGCGGCGGTCCAGAGTTGCGAGCAAGAACTGGTCACAATGGCTCGCGGGAGGCTGCTGAAGAAGTCTGGTTTTGCTCTTCACTTTGCGGTGGAGGAAGGGAGACGCGTCAGAATGGTGGCAGCGCAAAAAGGGAGCAGATTGATTGCGATACCTGTTAACAAATTATTCTGGCTTCTAGACCACCTGCATGCACGCCCCTTTCCCAACTGCTGCCGGATGGGGGAGGGGCCTAGGCACCCAGGTACCCAGGTAGCTAATACTCAGACACTGCAAGGTTAGTGGCTGATGTCTAGGTTCCCAGGTTCACGCCTCGGCAGGGCATCTCTGGGCGGTGTATTGTAAATTTAGAACACATGCCTGCCCCAGAAATTATGAACACGAGCCACTCGTTTTACTAAGTAAAAGAGTCTTGCCGATGGACTGTACAGTAGATGCATTCTTCCATACCTCAGCGTAACGAATATGAGGAGCATTCTACATGTGGCACAAACGAATAAGTGAATACGACCTCTGTTATGGATCCTCAGGGCAACTTGCCACAAGGTGTACGAGGCCCTGCCTCGACATGGCCATCAAAGCATGCGGGTTGTCATTTTCCTCACAAAGCATCAAAGCCTCCAAGATAGTAACAATATATGTGTGCATGTTACATGACGGAAAATGCAGTAGACAATTTAACCTATTAAGAACTATCTTCTATTTTCATACTCATATGTCCTCCTCTTCACCGCTTGGGTTTATCTTCCTCCTATGAAGCAGCCATGATTGTGTCGCCCTGATCTGTCAAGTCGGCGGGATCTTCGCCCCTCTCCTCGCTTGTCTCCTCCTTGATGACCTTTTTCTCCCCCGCCTCTGGTGAGCCTTCCTCACCCGGCGGTACGGGGAAGTTTAGATGCTTCCAGTCCTCAATCTCCTCCGTCACTGACCTGAGCCTGTCGCGGATGCTCTCGATGGCATAACTCCCCAGTAACAGCCGCAGTGGAGGGTACGAGCAGTGTCCTAGCTGCCAAACCAGCTCCGCGCACTTTACCGCGCTCGTGGGCTGCCGGTCCCCAAGCCACGTCACCATCCTCTTCGCATGTAGTGCTGGTGAGGACTCCTGGCTATATGGCTCGCTAGCGGGTTTGATAAGGAAGTGGCCCCATGTCGGGAGCGGGTTGGTCTGTGAGTCTGGCTCGTCTCTCCGGACCAGACCCGGCTCCACGAGCGTGGCCTTCAGGTTAAATGCGTCGATTTCATAAAGCATGGCCTCGATGAGGCCTTCCACCGCGTATTTCGTCGCGCAGTACGGGCCCAGTCCTGGAACTCCCAGTGCCCCCGAGGTAGAGCTGAAGATGAGATAGCGGCCGGCTTGTTGCTGTCGGAAATACGGCAGAATGGCCTGGAGGATATGCAAAGTGCCCATGAAGTTGGTCTCGAATTGGTTGCGGATCTCATGCTCATCCTGGTCCTCGCAAGCGCCAATGACGCCGTAGCCGGAGCAGTTGGCCACAATGTCAACGCGGCCGAAGTGCTCCAGTGCGCGCTCATAAACGCGAGTCACCGAGTCCCGCGCCCTTACGTCGCATTGCAGGTTGAGACAATGATCTTGCAGGTTGGCATCAATAGGCTGTGGCGACTCAAAATTCCGGCCCACGCTGGCGACTAGGTCTCCGTGTGAAAGGGCGCTCTTCACAAGAGACCGGCCCATGTGACCGGTACCGCCAAAAACCTTATAGGATGCGTCAGACGACGAAGGCTGTATGCTGTCGCTTTCTGAGAGATCCACTCACCACCCATACTTGCTGTTTTGTTGCGCTGCCTGGTTGGGGCGGATCGCAGCTTGCAGGCAGCTGCAGTTTTCTCGCCTGCTCAGAATTTAGATCTAATGAGCTCCCCGAGGCCATGTTGGTTGGCGCTGAAGCTCCTCGTGAAGTGGAAGATATCCGAGCGTTCGAGGCTAATTGTGGTGAAGGATTGACATGAGCACGAGCAGGGACAGAGACATATCCCGATGTCGATACCCAGCGCAGATTCGCGGTTGAATTTGTTAGAAGGCCACTTGCCGAGGAATCTGTGGGATGCTGCTCCCAGCTGTCTTATATTGGATTGGCTGTCTAGCTTGGCATAGCATTCGGCAGATCATCGTTGGGATGAGCGAGGTTGAAACAGCCGTTGACCCAATCTCCGCCCAGGCTGAGGGTTTCACGCGGTAATATCAAGTGTGGTTCGTTATGCGCGAGTGCGTCGGTTCCTCGTGTCATCCCATCTTGGTAGCCGTAGTGGCATTGAACGGCCGGACATGGCGGTGCCACGCTCTGGAACCACGCTGACGGGTCGGCACTTGCAAAGGAAAATCGGAGGCCTGTCCCCGCACGCCTGGGGGTGAGGAGTGGGTGGATGTCTTGATACCCGAACTCAATTCTTAGTAACGAAGCCGGCGCTGGCTGTATTGGTGGAAGCAAAGCTCCTCGTACGGACATAACGGACGTACAGTTGCCGTGCTTGCGGTCGAATTCCAAACACTTGTCACAGGCCACAGAGTCACAACAATTTAGGGCAAAGAAGCGCATACTGCAAACAACTCTTCGCCCCAATCGAACTGAGCCTGAGGGCCCCAAACTGGGGTGGTCCGGAAATATCACGGTCACGCATCCTTTCATCATGTATTACTTGCTTTTTTTTCTCTTCCAAAAAAAAAAAAGGAAGGTTATCTGCTCGTATTCTTCTAGCAATAAGCTTGAGCTAAAAAGCTTAAAAAAGAATTAGCTGATGATTGATCGATAAACAACGAAAGGTTCGAGAACCTTGCAATCTGTAGTAATAGCTTAACTGTGTGTGTAGAGCCTCTGAACCCGACCCCGCCGACGTCACATTTCTGAGCGAGCACGCCAGACCATCGGGTTTTACACTGTGACCAATGAGAGAGGCCAAGTTGGGCATCACTCTCATTAGCGACGTCGACGACACCAGCAAGACCTTATTATAAGTGGTCAGGCCACTCCGATACCGACTTATCCCTCTAAAACATCTTGCAGCCTTGAAATTTGCTCGCCTTGCTGCCCTGTGCATTCAAACTCACCAAGACCAGGACTGCCTTCCGCTCAGAGCCACTCTCGCACGCACACACACACACACTCGCACAAGATGAAGGCATACCTCTACGACAACCAGCCGGTAAGGTGCACCTCGCTGCCACCGCCAATATAGAAATGCCACCACCACCACCCCACACAGCAGCGTTACACATGCTGACCTCGACCCCTCCCCCAATCTAGGGCGACCAGCGCCAGCCCCACGACTCGGGCAAGGCCGTGACCACGGACGCGCTGGCGAGGGTGGGCGTGCTCTACTACCACATCCCGGCGATCGCGGACGTGGACGCGCTCGCCAGCGAGCGGGGCTACAAGAACCGCGACGAGGTCAAGGTGTCGCCGCAGAACATGGGCGACGCCTACGAGGCGAAGGTCAAGTCCTTCTTCGACGAGCACCTGCACGAGGACGAGGAGATCCGCTACATCCGCGGCGGGCGCGGATACTTCGACGTGCGCAACGAGGGCGACGAGTGGGTGCGCATCGAGCTCGAGAAGGACGACCTCATCATCCTGCCGCCCGGGATATACCACCGCTTCACCACCGATGAGACAAATGTGAGTGGCTTTCTGACCGAGGGATAAGGAAGGAGGGCACGGCTGACTGGTTAATGCGTGTACGCAGTTTGTCCATGCCATGCGGCTCTTCAAGGAGGAGCCCAAGTGGACACCATTGAACAGGAGCGGCGACTTGGATGAGAACCCGCACCGCAAGGGATACGTGAGCCAGTACCTGAGCTGAATGGCCATCGAAGTCGGGGAGGGAAAGCAATCGCCGGACGCATTGAATTGAAAATATAGGATCTCACCGAACATATAATTACGGACCATTTATTATCTCAGGACTTGGTGGTGGTTTCTGAAGTGAAATGATTCAAGTTGGAATATATTGTCAAATCTATTCGGACTCTGCTTGAAAATAATGGAGTGGCTTATCGATGCAAGTCTACTTGGGCTGGAAAACGTTCCAGCCGACCAACGATCAAGCGAGGACATCCAAATAGTCCCCCAGTCTTGCGGACGTGCAATCCGGCCCGCGATATCTGTGTGAACTCGTAACGCCCCGTAGACCCATGTTTTTTTTTAAATTGCTTGAGCTTCATGTCCAGCGCAAAAGCATTCCTAGCCCACTATCCGTAACGCCGTAACTATGTGTGTCGGAAATCGATCTCGTATGCGCAACAACCAGTAAACAATCCACTACCGCACTTCAGGAGCGACCTCAGCGCCAGCGACCGCGAACTCGTGGTTGATGGCATTAGCAGTGTCGTCGTTTCTCCTGCCCTCAAACAGCCGCCTCCACCACATCGGAGGGTCCAGCGGCCTGGAGCCGTTGTGCAGCGGCGGGTAGACGTCGCTGAAGAAGTACCAGATGTGCCCAATGACGACGCCCATGATCTCGTCCTTGGGGATTGTGCCGTGCAGGACAAGGCTGAACCCCATGAGCACCCACGGCAGGTAGGGCGCGGTGAAGACCAGCAGGCCCAGGAAACTAAGCCGGGTGTCCGGGTTGCGCCGCGACCATATGTAGACGAATGTCGACGAGAGAGGGTGGCCCAGGAAGGGCATCGACACGAGCGGCGAGAGGCAGATCAGGCACGCCATGGCGTAGAGGAGAAGCCACGAGAAGTGCGCGGGTGACCGGCCGGATGTCTCCTCGAGGAGGCGGGAGTATCGCTGGAGGAAGTAGACGTGGAAGAGGAGGTCGAGGGACAAAGGCCCAAAGTAGAGGAATGTTGTCAGGAGCCGCCAGTACTGCGATTCACGATGGTCAGTGCCGCTGGCTTACCGGACGACGCAGGCGCGTGGCCGTGGTGGGTGTCTTACCTGTCCGTTGATGAATACAGAGCGATAGCTGTAGAAGAGCTGGAAGGCGTTGACGACCTGGCATTGCACCAGTGCGCTGGTGACGACGGTTGCGGTGGTCCACCACCTGGTGCAAACGGGCATCTCCCAGAACCACTGCTCCAGCGGGAAGCGGTCGCCTTCTCCCATCATTCCTTCCATGATGTGCGGCTGGTTTCGTTGCTCAGGAAATGCTGATAGCTGATGATTGCGTTGGTAGAGTCTGTCTGGTTGATAGATGGTGGGGGTGTCTGGCGCATACGGCGGGTCGGTCTCGCAACGCAGGCGGACAGATCGGAAGGGAGAGAGAAAGGGAGTGGACCGTGAGATTCGCGGCACCGATCCCGGGATGAGCGGTTGGACGGAGATTCGGATGGTTTGAAACCAAGAATATCGAGAGGGTTCCTTCTACCTGTATGGAATGTTGTGAAATAACTAGGTGTATTGTAGGTGTGAGACGTCGAGGTGTCCTTTCAGACGGGTACTCAATAATAACCGGGGTTGTTTCCCTAGTGAATGCTCAACACGGCAGCACAGCCGTGAATGACATGATGCGGGACGCCCACCTCGGAATGACGAAGGCTGATGTGGCCCCTATTTTCCCCTCCGCGCCTCAACGCCTACTAGACTTATCTACTATGATACGGTAGGTCGTCGACTAGAGTTAGTCAGGGAGTCTTCCAGAAGCCAACGGCTCTACTCTATGCCAGAATCTGCTTAGGCGCAGGTTCATCGTGTATTTCACCCTTGAATCTCTACTAATCCACCACTACCAGCACTAGGAGACCTCGACCATGTTGTAGCGATGGGCTGACTGACGAACATTTGCTGCAGTCTCCGTACTTGGATCTGTGCACAGAACCTACCTAGCGTGCCTGGGTACTGTGCATCCTCGCATCAAGAGAATAAAGAGGTCGCAGGTTCATGAATCGGCTGCAACCAAACAGAAGGCAGCATCAGTACCTGAGCATGTACGAAGATGGGGGGGGGGGGAGCACGGTCCATCAGACCCCAGCCACCGTTTTAGTGGTCTAGTGTCCCTTGTGCCTGAGCCAGGCGTCTGACTTCCCACTCAATTAAGGGTCTGGCGCGAAAGCCCACTCCCAGACGCGTTCGGCTGGGGACCATGCGCGTAAAGAGCTTCTTCCCTACCTGCCCACCCTGCCCGCCTCTTTCTACTCCCTTCAAAAGTACCGGCGCATAGTCCAGCCACCCAGACCTCTCTCCTCTTGGCTCACTCCCGCCAATTGAACAATACCCAGCTCCCAAGTCTCCCACTCGGCTGTTGCGCGCATACCTACGGGTGCTTCATATTTAATTCTCGACCCTCGAATCTCGCATTGGACCTTGCCCGCCTCGCTCCACGCTCCTAAGGGTTGCTCTTTGCGCCCAGCCTAAGCGCACCGCTCCGCGCAGCCCCTCCTGCGCTCGACCATCCGACCGACCTTCTACTGCTGTCCAACGAGCTGGGCTTTACCTCGAATTCAGATCTGAACCGGGCATCATGCCTCCCAGAAGACGGAGCAATGTTCAGCGTGAGTTGGGCCGCTATTCTTGCGCTGCGCGCCATTGGAGGATGGCTACTGACTGATACTGCGCTCGTAGCTGGCGACCCAGTGCCTCAAGGCAGAAAATACAGATATCGACCGGGAACGAAGGCGCTGAGGGAGATCCGGCAGTACCAGCGGACCACCGACCTGCTGCTGTTGAAGCTCCCCTTTGCCCGACTGGTAAGCCCCGACTCCTGACCTGCCACGGCGCATGGAAACAGCAGGACGCTGACAGCGATTCCCAGGTTCGAGAGGTCGCAATGTCGTTCAGGCCAATAGGGGAGGAGATGAGGTGGCAGTCGCAAGCGATCCAAGCGCTACAAGAAGCCGCCGAGGCCTTCCTCGTTCACCTCTTCGAGGATTGCAATCTGTGCGCAATCCACGCGAAGAGAGTCACCATCATGCAGAAGGACATCCAACTGGCGAGGCGGATACGTGGGGCCTGGGGAGGCGCCGCAGTATGATACCCTAGTGCGAAAAAGTCGAACAAGAATGAAAGGCGTTGTCTGTTTCTGGTGGCGGCGTTCCAGGCGTGAGGATAATGTTTCGTTCGGAAAATTTTGTGCCGCAGACGCTCCGTTAGGGCGAACCTCGGATTTGCGCGCGGCATGGGAGGCATTCATATCGGAATACCAGTTGGTCTGCCTTTGAGTTGTTATTTTTCGACCATCATCTCATGCTCGGAGGACAAACCGGCATGGTTTTGCAAGGGTTACTATTGTGCTGGCAAAGTTGCAGTTCTGCACCCCAGAGCCTAGGAGCCTGCTATGAGAAGACTTGGGAAGGTTCTTGTCAAATGTCAGCTGAGGTCGTTTAATCTTAGGTGTATATATAACAGGAATGAACAAAAGAACTCATGCATGTTCTGTCTTGAGCGTGTCCATTTGGTATGTTGAACGAAAAGACTATGTCTCACTCTAATAGGGCATGATTACCGTGTCACCCTACAAGCAAAATTGATGGTAGTTTCTCAAGCGAGATTCGGTCTTAGCTGTGCAAACTGTCGGAGTCATATGACTTACCCCATACTCCTTGTCACTATTCTGAACGGCCTGGAAGTGTTGAGATAGTGTCTCAATGGGTGACTTCATCTAAACATATTTGTCGCAGCACTAAGCTTGAATGTATCAATTGACTACGCAGGACTATTCCACGGGGCACATCAGTTGGCAATGACAGTCAAAAGTGGTCGGATCAATGCACACAACCTTTTCACTCTCAAATTGGTTGATGTGCTACTTACCCTGCCAGGGCATTCAGTGAAATTCATAACTGGGTGCGGATTCTGTGCTATGAATACCAGGTCTCAAGGACAATCTGGACTCCTAATTTAACAAGAGCGAAAAGAGAAGCATTTCACCCGCTGCTGCTCAACTCCATCAAGACCAATCCTCTCACACCGAAGCAATTACAGAGCAAATGGACCACAGAAAATCTCACACACACAATGCTTGAAGGACCAGGCGTTCTGCCATCCACCCCTGGTCCACCACCATAATGTTGGTCCTCAACATGTTGCTGGCGATGCCTATCAATCTCCGGTTTACCAACTGAGAGCTTGGGACCATACGGGTTCTTTTTGATGGGAACGGTCCATCACAAAGAGTCTTCCAAGATAGCCAGACAACAGCACGAGATGAGGCAACGCTGAATTTTATCTTGTAGTCTATTCTAAATACGCTGTGACTGAATGCTTCTAACAGGCGCCATATAACGCTCGGCCACAAATGTCGAAACCGTCGCTGGCTGGCTTCGGAACATGACTGGAACTTTATACCAGTATCGTGCCTTGCGTTGCACAGAATACGCAAGTACACTCTGAAGATATCGCGTATTGGCTGTGGCATGTAGTCCGTCGCGACACATCTTGAACCTAGGCCTCTGACCAATGGGGTCACGATGTGCGTTGTCTCGAAATCGTGTGCCGCCCGGATGACTGACCTTCCGCCGAAGCACTTATTTGCTAACGGCCGTGAAGCTGCCCTTGTGTCTGAGTGGAGTTCATCATCTTTAGGGGTCGACCCTCATGTCATATCAACACTGACGCCAGGCATCGACCCGGGCATAGCGCCCGACCCAGCGAACACATCTTCTGCCCTAGGCTGCCGGCGGTACCTCAAAGAGTCTCGCCTCGACGAATCGGTGCCCCATTCGGCCCTCGCGTCCTCCTCGGCCTCAACCTGGCTCCTCGCCTGGTTCCTCATCTCGCGGCTGATTTCCGCGCCCTTTGCCTTGCCAAGCGACCTCTCCGCTTCGGCAATGACTTCGTCGCCGCCGCGCGTGTTCCTCTTCCGCGGCCACATGCTTGGCAGGGCAATCTCCTGGAAGCGTGGTTCGACCGCCCGCTCGTCAAACCACTTATGGAGACGCGACTCGACCAGCTGGGCAATCTTGGGAACGTCCTGCAGGCGTGATCGGCTGCCGAGCAGACTGCGGATGGAGAAGTCGAGGCGGTAGTCGTCCAGGAAACTGAATGTCATCATGGTGGGGGTTGATTGAGACGGGTTGCTGGGGATGAAGGATATTGATAGTGTCCCACTGAACCGCACAACCGACACAGATAACGCAACGGGGAGTACGGCAGAAAGTTTTTTGGGATAATTGAGGAGCATTTTGGTCTCCAGAGCCAGTGTGATTGCGTCGCTCAGGTCAACGTCCATGCGCGCCTGCAGCCGACAGCCCTCACGCGTGGCCATATTCGCATCGAAGGGCTTCCCGGGTGGGAACGCAATGCCATCATCATCCACAGGTATAATGCGACAGTTGCTGAAGATGGGGAACTCCTCGCCCAGGTTGAGCTCTGTCACGCGGATCTCGTCGAGGAAGTCGGGCCGAGAGGGGCTGTTGAGGGCCTTGGTCAAGGAGCCGAGGATGGCATCGTCGTGCTGAGCATCGCTGCGGAACTGTGCTATTGTCTGGGCAACCAGCACGTTGAACCAGTCGAGAGACTCGGGCTGGTGACTGTCGACCTTGTAGTATGTTTTACTGAGAATGGACCCGATGGTCAGCGTCGGGGGGCCGGATCGTAAAATGCTGGATTTCTTCCGGTTGAGAGTGTTGGACTGCTGCTCGTGTTGCCTACTACTCGGCCGCCCGGCGGTCCTCAGACTGAGGAGCGACTTCTTGTGCGCCAAGGTCCTCGATCGTCTTTCGGTGGCTCGTAGGGAGGCAGTCACCTCGGCAGAGGGGGGGTCTCCGAATATGAAGAACTTGATGAAGGCTGCGATCAGGAGTACGACTGAGATCTGGCCCAGAATGAAACCCTGTGTAAACGAGAAGCTGTTTGCTCGGCATCCAGCTCTCAGGTCAACTTGTGCTTGCGACTGCAAGGCTTGCTCGGGACTGGTGACATACGTGGGCTCAGGACGGGCCGGACAGACGTCAGATGCCATCTTCAGGCTCGATATGGTCGCAGATGCGGTAGGTCACGGAATTTGTTATTTCCTGTTGTGTCATGTTCCCGCCATTGTTGTTGTCGTTCACCTTGTGCTCACAGCAGACGGGTTTGGTTCGGACGATGAAGTCAGAAAAGTGGGAGATCCCGAGCAGGAGCTTCCGTTGTTGATCTAAGACCCACTGGAGCAGGGGTAAGATGTGGGGAGCCGGGGTGCCAGCCGGGCATGCCTGCAGCTGGGGGTGACCTCCATGGCCGGAGCCGCATCTGCCTGCATCTCTAAACTCACTTCACTTCAACGCACCTGCAGCTCTCATTCGCATGACATGCCCAGTCGGGTTTCTCTCATCTTTTCCCAGCAGCCGTTTTCTCAGCTCACAGATAGCTCACTGCGCAGCGAACAACTCCATTGAAGGGCCCACCAAATCGAGACACTCCACTGTTGGCATCCGGCCACTTGTCCAATTGATGAGGTGACGACACCCCTGACTGAGGGCTGCCACCGCAAGGGTCTTATGTACCCTCTCTGGCTTCTATCCTCGCACACAATTCTTCCCCTCGAGTACCGGGTGTCCGAGTAAACCAGATTAATCGCTCCTTCGTCTTGCCAAGATGGATGTCGTTCAAGCGGTGGCCGGGTCCGTCTCCAAGATGGTCTCGACCGGGGACAGCGCCAGCGGTGGCACATCCGCCAAGATGAAGATCCTGTTGCTAGACCGAGACACAGTACCGATCGTCTCGACAGCAATCACTCAGTCTTCACTACTGAACCACGAGGTCTATCTGATAGACCGGCTTGAGAACGCCAGCAGAGAGAAGATGCGCCACCTGAGATGTCTGTGCTTCATCAGGCCCTCATCCGACTCTATCCAGTACCTCATAGATGAGCTTCGCGAGCCCAAGTATGGAGAGTACCACCTCTATTTCAGCAATGTCATCAAGAAATCCGCTCTGGAGCGTCTTGCTGAGGCGGATGACCACGAAGTGGTCAAGCTGGTCCAGGAGCACTTTGCCGACTTCGTAGTCATCAACGCAGACCTCTTTTCTCTTGATGTCCATATCCCTCAGCAGCGGATATGGAGCACGACTCCCGATATGTGGAATACCGATACTCTGACGCGAACAACCGAGGGTCTGATAGCGGCACTTCTAATGCTGAAGAAGCGGCCACTCATCAGATATGAGAAGAACAGCTTCTTGGCCAAGAAACTGGCGACCGAGGTGCGGTATCATATCAACCAGGAGGACCAATTATTCGACTTCCGAAAGGTGGACACACCGCCTATTCTTTTAATATTAGACAGGAGAGACGACCCGGTGACCCCGCTGTTGACGCAATGGACGTACCAAGCTATGGTGCACCATCTCTTGGGTATTGACAATGGCAAGGTCGATTTGAGCGACGTACCAGAGATCAGACCCGAGTTGAAAGAAATCGTGCTTTCTCCGGACCAAGATCCATTCTTCAAGACAAACATGTTCCTCAATTTCGGCGACCTCGGCGGGAACATCAAAGACTACGTCGAGCAGTATCAGTCAAAGACTAAAAACAATACCAATATTGAGTCCATTTCAGATATGAAAAGGTTCATCGAAGAGTATCCGGAATTCAGAAAGCTCTCCGGAAACGTCAGCAAACATGTCACTTTAGTCTCGGAGCTCAGCCGGAGAGTCGGTGCGGAGAACCTTCTGGAGGTCAGCGAAGTCGAACAGAGTCTGGCCTGCAATGATAACCATGCGGCAGACCTGAAGGTGAGAATTCCTGCCACTTGAGCTCTCTGTTGTGGCCTGACAGGAACTGACCGTATCACAGAACGTCCAAAGGCTGATCCAATCATCTGCGGTGACGGTTGACAACAAGGTCGGCCTCGTAGCCCTGTACGCACTGCGGTACGAGAAACACTCGTCCAACTCGGTGCCCATGCTCATCGACCTTCTGTCAACGGTTGGTGGCGTCCCAGCCAGGAGAGCAGATCTTGTAGCAAAATTGCTAGCGTATCACTCATCCTTGCAGCAATCACAGGCTTCTGGTGGTCTCACGGACTTATTTGATTCTGCTGGTATTTTCTCAGGTGCTGGAAGCAGGTTCAAGGGACTGAAAGGCGTGGAGAACGTCTACACCCAGCACTCACCCTTGCTCGAGATGACGCTACAAAACCTGATTAAAGGAAAATTACCGGAACGGCAATACCCGTTCGTCGAAGGAGGAGGTACGACGCGCGATAAACCGCAGGACATTGTGGTTTTCATAGTTGGAGGAGCAACCTACGAAGAGGCACGGACTGTCGCAACCATCAACGCGGCGACACCAGGAGTTCGGGTAGTGCTAGGTGGGACTACTGTCCACAATGCTACTACATTTTTAGAGGAAGTGGAGGATGCTGTGTCATCATGGCCGGAGCCACCGCCAACTACCACGGCTGGGAGGTTACGAAAGGAGCTTGGGAGGAGGTAGCGTTCTTGACGGCGATTGGTACTCTTGACACAAGGACAACGCCATACCCGGCGATTCAGTACATGGAGGCGACGGGAATGATAGAAGTAGGTCTTCATAATCTAAAGTCAAGTTGACCATTCCCGAGGCCCTCGACAGGCGATGATACACTCACTTGTGAGAATGTCTGGTTATATACTCTCCTGGACGAGCATCTGGAAGTATCGCAGCTGTGACTTCCTAGAATCACGTCCGATCGCGTGTATTGCATGGCGCGCCCCATCACATACACTATTGGAACAACACGGCCACACTCTCAAAAATCACAAAACATCATGGTGGAGCCCCATGTGGCCGACTTACTCCCTTCTATTGAAGGTTATCCAACAGAACCGTATCACACAGGAAAGTATCCCACAGGAGGTCATCCTAACCGAGATTAATCCACAGGAGGTTATCCCATAGGTTATCCCTCACAGGAAAATATTTTATCAGGAATTATTTTAGAGTCAATCACCTTTAAGAGATTATTTTCCTTTTCCATAACCCCCCCCCCCCTTTATTTTTCTTCCCTACTTATTCTATGCAGATACTGTGGCCGCAAAGCGCACACCCGAGCTGAAGCTCGTTCAATGCTATCGCGGGATCGAGACGTAGGGTGGAGGCGCACCATGAGGCCAATCCAGCCACCAGCGCCACTTTCATCCCATCTCGTCTCTACCTTATCAGAGGCGCAATACCGTAGGCTGGCATGGAGGTCAGGGAAATTCTGGGTCATATGACGCAACTGTTAAGCCCTCGTGGTTGCTGACACGGGCCGGACGTCTGGGCTTCCGTTAGGATCCAACGTCAGAGGCGAAGGGGCTGGCCTCGGGTTCAATTCCCAGAAGCGGGATGGGAGCTGGCCTCTTTTTTGGTTGTTGATGCTGGTGTTGGTGACTTCATCGAGTTTTGCCCTCCATGTGCCGAGGGCGTGTGTGTAAAATGGTCGAGCGGCGTATTCGTCTGGGGGGAAGCAAGTACCCGCGCGCGGCCCTGCGCGGCTTGCCTGCGCGGCTTGTTTCCCTGACGCCCAAAATTCCTCACCCACACTCGGTACCGCACAAAATACGAGCCTCTTTCTAGGTCAGCGTCGATCCGGCGGCGTGCAGCCCTAAATTTTTGATATACAAATCGTACGACTTGCTGGGACCAGGCCTAGCCAGGCACTGCACTTCCGCGGCCGTGGATCTGTTTGCGAGCCTGTCGGCATCCTTTCCCACGCCAAGAAACATGGGGAAACGTGGGTGGATGGCAATCTAAGAAATGCCACCGTTCCAAGACCCTGGCCGACGCAGCATCGGCATCGCGCGACTTATGGGATTGTGAGAGAAACTCTTCCCCGGCGATGCAACCTCACCATGCGGACGGCCAGTTCTGGCCAGCGCCGATCATTGCACGTCTCACGATGGTGCAAGTGGACTAGGTTTGTACACCATGTACAAGTACAGTTGTATTCTAAGGGCCAGAGGAGAGTTATTTCAGGGTGGTGGCATTTTCTCCCCCTGCTGTGTTTTCTCTGATTTCGTTCGCCTCATTTCTGTCAGGCGGGTCAGGCGGATTCCAGCTGACTTGGCAGACGCGCGCGCCTTCAGCTCAGTGTTAGTTGCCTCTTTCGAGGCTAGGTACGATAAGATAAGATAACACTTTCTGGCGATAAGCTTTTTGGGCTTCACGACCGACGGCCAAGCCTGCGAACATTTGCGATAGCAGACGAGCGGTATCCATTCCAGTAGATGCTGCCTCTCGACCCAAAATGAGAAAGGCATGGCAGCCTCGAGGCTTGAGTAGGCCGGGACGGCTGCTCAGCCGTCCAACGGTTCTCACAGCACAAGGACGACGGCCGGGGCGCAGAAGAACCTTTGCCACAGTCTCGCAAGACTCCAGGTACGCGCGCACTCATCCTTCCTGTCATTGACTTCCTTTGATCGAGGAGCTCTTAATCTGACATGCATCTCACAAAATACAGGCCTTTCGATGTCGTGGTAATAGGAGGCGGCCACGCCGGCTCCGAAGCATGCGCTGCAGCCGCCCGGTCCGGAGCCCGCACCGCCCTCGTCACGCCGAAGCTCGACAACCTGGGCGTATGTAGCTGCAACCCTTCCTTTGGCGGCATCGGCAAGGGCATAATACTGCGGGAGATCGACGCGCTTGATGGGCTGGCAGGTCGCATCATCGACAAGGCAGGCGTGCAGTTCAAGGTGCTGAACCGAAAGAAGGGGCCTGCGGTATGGGGTCCACGCGCGCAGATCGACAGGGAGCTATATAAGAAACATATGAGGGAGGAGCTGGTCAACTATCCTGGTCTTAGTGTTGTTCTCGGCAGCGTCTCGGATATCGTGGTTGGACAGACACAAGACACGGACGGACAGACCTTTGGCGCGAAAAGCAAGATCACGGGCGTGAGACTCGAGTCTGGCGAGATATTGCCTACGAACCACGTCATTATCACGACGGGGACTTTCTTGGGCGGGGAGATCCATATTGGCCTTGAGGCATACCCATCAGGGCGGATGGGCGAGGCAGCCACCTTCGGTCTGAGCAAGTCATTACGCGACGCAGGCTTCCAACTCGGGCGACTAAAGACCGGAACACCACCGAGGCTCGACAGAAAAACCATTAATTACTCTATATTGGAGCCTCAAGAAGGTGACAATCCGCCCATGCCCTTCAGCTACCTCAACGACAAGGTCTCCGTCCAAGACCAGCTGCTCTGCCACGCAACCTACACCAACGGCGCGACACATGACGTCGTCCGCGCAAACCTCGACAAGACGATTCATATCCGCGAGACGGTCAAAGGTCCCCGTTACTGCCCATCCCTGGAAGCCAAGATCGTCCGGTTCGGCCACAAGGAGAGGCACATCGTGTGGCTCGAGCCCGAGGGCTTCGACACGGACGTTGTGTACCCGAACGGGCTCTCCATGACCGTCCCGGCCGACGCGCAGGAGCAGCTCCTGCGCACTATCGCCGGGCTGGAGAACGTCACGATGCTGCAGCCCGGCTACGGGGTCGAGTACGACTACGTGGACCCGCGGAGTCTGCGGTCCACACTCGAGACCAAGGCAATCAAGGGCCTCTGGCTGGCGGGCCAGATCAACGGAACGACGGGCTACGAAGAGGCAGCCGGGCAGGGCGTCATCGCCGGCATCAACGCGGGCCGGGCGTCACAGGGCCTGGAGCCGATAAGCCTCACCCGCAGCGACGGGTACATCGGCGTCATGATCGATGACCTGGTGACCAAGGGCGTGTCAGAGCCATACCGCATGTTCACAAGCCGCAGCGAGTACCGGCTCTCGACGCGCGCGGACAATGCCGACACGCGGCTGACGGCCAAGGCCCGGCGCTGGGGCGTCGTGTCGGACAAGCGGTGGAGCGCACACACGGACGAGCAGCAGGGCATGGCGGACCTGACGAGGCTGCTGCAGAGCCACAGCCTCTCGTCGCAGGCATGGCTGCGCAGTGGGTTCCGCGTCAAGGAGGACACGGTCCGGCGGGACGGGATGGACATCCTGCGCCTGGCCAACGTGACCATGGAGACGTTCGCGGAGCGCGGCGTCATCCCCGGTGTGATGGGCTTCCCGGAGCGCGTGCGCAACAGGGTCGCCATCGAGGCCGCCTACGCGCCGTACGTGGCGAGCCAGCTGCGCGACCAGGAGAAGTTCGAGCGGGACGAGCAGCTGCGGTTGCCCGTGGACCTGGACTACGACGCCATCTTCGGCCTGAGCCTGGTGGAGAAGAGCATCCTCAGGACCACGAGGCCAGAGAGCCTCGCGCAGGCGAGGAGGCTGGAGGGCATCACGCCCGCCGGGTGCATCCGGCTGCTGGGGTACGTGCAGCGGGGTGCAACTCCCGCCGGCAAGGCTGCCGATCTAGAGCCTCTTGCGGCCCCGGGCGAGGACCAGGAGACCATGGATGCCAAGGCCCGGGTCGCTGAGCTGTAGAGGGGTCAATCCGAGCGTATGAGTGCTCGCCTATGTATGAAAAGTTCCGAAAATGCATCGGAAAATATTTTAACAGGGATGTCCGATTTTCGAATTGAGAGACGATCTCGGGACTCGGGCGGGTGATAGAGTGTACAAAAAGTGTACATATAACCAAAAACTAGTAGAAGGACGGCGTTGTGGACGAGCGCCAGGAACACGAGGCCTAGAGGCAAGGGACAGACAACGGCTCAGTCTAGACCTAGACAGCCAGGTGGCATTGGGACAGGGTTGACAGGGCTGACGACAGGTGTCAAACTACTTTAGCAGCACAGAAGGAAGGCCCGGCCGTCAAATTGACCAAAATGCCTAGCTTGCCGTCATGTCTCACAACCTCGTGGGTGCCTCGTGGACTGAGGTCGTCCGCGTGTGCACGGGGCAAGCGACTGTAGATCTACCACGCTGTCATTGCCAGCTTTGTACGAAATAGGAAGAGCGCGTCCCCTGCAACGGCCATGCCACGGTCTCGGAATGTTTGGGAAGGTTCAAGCCACAGCCCAAACAGTTTAGAAACAATTGCATATATAGGCGCATATAATGTTTGGTGGTTTTCTTCTTGGTGCCCGATGAATGCACCACATCACAATGCCTTTGACATCCATGCGTTAAAAGTGGTCGGTCAAACAAGAAGTTGGATGTGGGCGTCGTAGTGATGCGGCTCGAGCGGATCGACGTCAAGGATCGTCAGGGCCGCCGCCGCCGCCGGGCCCCCCAGCCAGCCAGCCAGCCAGCCAGCCCTGCGTGAACGACAGGACCAGAGCTGCGCCAGCCAGACTCGTATCAGCAGCCTCGGTTATGTGGTGTTGGGGTACGTGCGAGGGGAGGCTCCAGCAATGGCCCTATACTGTCCGTACGTCACCTCGGGGAGGGTGACGCGTGACCGCGCGCTCAGACATCTCGTGGGTCAGTCAGTCAGTCAGTCGGTCGACCGACCGACCCAGACCCATCGATATCCGCCAGAGACTGACAAGCCTGACAAGGACTTCATGGCTCGAGCCTCCACCCCCACTCCGTCCGCCATCGACCGCAGAGACATGGGCACGAGAGCGTAGATCACTCGCCTGTCGAAACAGGCCGTTTGGAGAGTCAGCCAGTGAGCAAGCGTAGGAGAACACGGACAACAATGGACATATTGAAGCACCCGCCGGGTGATGATGGTCAAGCCCGAGCGTCGGGTTAGTCTTTGACCCGTCGCGGCTGGAACAGGCCGCTAGCAACAGTGACAGCCTGTCAAGCATTTTGACACTGCCGCTCCCGCCTCCATTATGCCTGTTTAGTTCTGATGGCCCTCCCATTTGGAAACATTTCCCCTCTATTTTGGCAAGTGGAAGTAGACTTTGGAAACGGGCGCGATAGGCGAGGCTTCAGATTGTTCGGCGACAGCCGGGCGGCAATGGAAAAGTTTGACAGTGTTTTTCTTCTCGTTTATACTGAATCTATATCAACCTCTACTATCAGCAGGACAGTACAGATACAGACATCTGACCGAAAGCCTGTGAATGATTGTTGGTGTCTTAGATTGCCCAAGCGCCATCCGCCAAATCCCCTTAAACCTGTCCAGTAGTTGCAGGGCAACCTGGGTATGTCATCGGCGGTGCAAGATGATGGCCTATGTGCTCAGCTCCATCACGATAGCTCTCTTAGAAGGGCCGACTAATCAGCTGGGTATTTCGTGTATGCTGGCTCTTCACTGGCCAGACGCAGTCGATATTGCGTGCTCGTCTGTGCGGGATAAGCGGCAGGTCACACACATCCCGACATGGTGAGGAAAGTCTGAGTGCAGTCCATTTGTTTTTTCTTTGTGTTGTCAGCTAGTTTCTCAAGAGCGTCTAGCTCCGTGTGGGCTGGTTCTTTCCGGTTGTGTGACCAAGAGGTCAGGGGATTTGAACGGTCGTGCTGAGCACTTGATGTCTCAAAATGGTCTGATAATGCCGCCGGCGCACATCCTCGAAAGTCGGCCTACTCGCTACTTGTTTGGCGATACAGTCCACTTGAGTCCGTCAAGGACGCTGGTCACCTTTTTGCCTCTCCTTGATTTCTTCATGCGACAGTATCTTCACGGCGTCCTTGCTGTACACGTAACTAGCCCCGCTCCAGACTGTTGTAGTGGCGACGACATACCTAAAACAACCTCACGTTAGCTGCTATCTTTTCGTGAGTCCATATTCGTATTCGGGCGTGGGCGTAGCAACGTAACACAGCCAGCAACCGTCCCACGCGGGCCTTTATGTAGCCTGACGGTACCCGTGGCGGGTACAAGTGCGTCCCGTGGAGACAAATTTAAACGCAAGAAGTAGTTCTACAGGATTACTCACTGCATAACGGTCAAGGGCGTCCCGCCCACGACCGGTACCAGAGGCGCCATTGTCGTGAGGCCCATTAGTGCAAGCTGGAGGAATGTGTTGTACTTGCTGATTGTTGTCGGGTGTACCTCTGCAGACGGCAACGAGAAGTCCCAGTACCGCATAAAGGTCTTTGGTGGTGGTAGAGATATCCATCGGAAATAAATGGCTGAGATGGCAAGTGCAACATCACGACCGAGGATGATCACTGCTAACCAAACTATCAAAGTGAATGTCAGTTAGCCAAATTCAAAGGCGAATTGTCGAGACACCGTGGTGGTCTGATGATTCTGAGTCCATACGGCACATGACTTGCAAGTGCTAAAGACTCCAGTGATCGCTTCCTGAGGAAAACTTTTGCCGAGCAGGACTAACCACCGCCTAGATGGAGAGAAAAGGGTCCGGTATCTACACCCGGACTTGAGCAGAAATCAACAATCACTTACTAGGTAGGCCGCCCTTCATTGCCAGTGCCACCGTCAAGACCGTCATGAGCGTCTTGTCAGCCATGGGGTCGATGACAGTGCCTACAACCGTGCCTTGATTCCACTTCCGCGCTATCCACCCATCCAAGAGATCCGTGATGCCCGCGTAGGCAAACAAGCCCAGGGTCCAGGCATGATGGTCGTGGAGAATGCAATAGCCAATTACCGGGGCCAAAACAAGCCGGGATGCAGTCAGCAGGTTAGGGATGGTATAGATGTTCTCATGGGCTGCAACAGGGAGTGCCTTTTTGATTGCGTTGGCAATCTTGCTGGGTTGAGATGCCGACGAAGATGGCAGACTGCATGAAACTCGGGGTATTAGCAAGGTGATCACGGCATCAGGGAAGACATATCGGGCAGTTCAATGGGAACATTGCTAGTGGGACGTAACACAAAGAGTTCTGCCGACGGATCGCGCTCAACTCCAATGTAAGCAACATTCGCGATACTCTGGCCGGGTCGTTGTCATATGCCGGCTTGTTCTCCGGCTTGGAGCGGACCGGGATGAGAGATGTGACGGAAAGGACAGGAACCATAGAGGAGGGGTAGGAAAGGGGTGCCTTACCCTGGCTCCCGCTCCTCTCTCTTCCGCCGCGGTCGTGTGAGGGAGACGAATGTTCTCAGCTGGGTGATGCCAAGAGCAGTGGAGGAGGGCGAGGCATCAGAAACGACTCGGGTCGGGGAGTACTTGTTGGGACATCTCAGTGCTGCCGCGGGGCCCGACATAGCAGCCAAAGCGTGCCATGGGGAGGTGTTCGGCAATCTGAGACAGCGAGAGGGATGAAGGCCTTGCCCGGCGAGCAAGGCGCTCTGACATGTGATCCTGAGGGACATTGATGAGGACCAGCAGGTGGTATCTGCCTGGGTAGACCTCACGGTGTGGCCTCTTTAGCCGGCAGGGACGGAGCCAGGCCAGGCGAGGAATTACCCAGGGTGAGAGGTGCAGCGGAGGTGAGGCCGAGGGCGAGTGCGAGGGCTAGAGCGAAGGAGCGATTGGGCATCCAGCGCGAACTACTGCATCCCTGTTCAGAATGTCGTCTGTAGTCTTGGAGCCGTTGGGCGTTTGATCTGCTAAGGGACCCCCCCAAAAAGCCTAATAGTTTAAATGGAGGGCGTGGAAATGGAAGGGTGGAGCTGTAGCCGCAGTCTGCCGCAGAGTCGAGAGGAACTTGAAACAAACAGCAAGAAGCGAGACCCCACAAGACACAAGGCGCAAGGCTGCGATAGGTGCGGACGGACGAACTGCAGCAGTGCTATGGTACGGCTGACGGAGGGCGGGTTGCAAGTCGGATCTCTGGAGCCGCAAAGGAGGGATGGGGGAGTATCCAGGCGTCTGTGTGGTGAGTGTTGACGTTGTTCGTCCCAGTCAGCAGCTCACGACAAGGAGCAAGGTGCAAGGTGCAGGGTGCAAGGAGGAAGGAGGAGGAGGAGGAGGTCGATGGCGCTTTGACGGTGCTTGCATCAGAAACAAAGCGCGCGCCAGGCGATTGGAGGTTGGGGGGAGGTGGGAGGTGGTGATGCTGTAGGCGGATGACAGTGCTGTGTATCTCGTGAATGTATCCTGTGTATCGTGCCCGTGTGTGCGTCTTGTATGTCTTGGCGGGCTGTTGACAGTTGGCCTGACAAGCTCAGCCGCAATGGCACTTGTGTGTATGCACAGCACAGATGTCTTGACACTGTCCTGTCACTGCCGTCCCCTTGGAAGCCCCTGCAGATGTTGAGGACGTCGAGATGTCGGCCGCCAGTAGGGTGTCCACCGCTAGGGGTCTCGGTGTGTTGCTCTGACACCTTGACTCGATCGCCGGCAGCTCAGCACAAGTCAGACGACACCGTACCAGTGCAGTTCATTTCAGTCCAGTCTAGTGCAGTCCGATCCAGTCTGAACCAATGGCAGGCCTCGGATTTGGTGGGGTCAAGAGGTGACGGCGATGCCAGGTGTCGTGGGAGTAACTGGAGTGGATGTAGTCAAGACGGTGTTGGTGTGGTGAGGTGTGGTGTGTGGTGTACCGTCAAGGAGGGGGGGGAGGGGGCAATTCTGTAAGTTGCAGATGCAGATCCAGTGCAGATTCAGGCTCAGATTCAGATTCAGCATCGGTATCTGTGCCACAACACGACCCACGCTGGCTCAAGATGTAGATGCTGTGCTTGTCCTGCACAGGAGTCTACCTCGCTGATCTCTGCGCTCGAGGTATCCAGACGTTGTGAGCTGGACGCCCTCACCGTCGTCACTGGAAAAAAACACGTACACGCGCTATCACGCAAAGTGGACCGGGTGCTGCAGGCCACAACCCCACTAACGCCAGAGCCTCATTGTGGTCTGAGCCACCCCTGACCAGCCGTTTTTGGTGGGGGGAGACGGAGCGGTACTGTGCTACGGTAGGCCGGTCCACGACCCACATCTGCTGCACCTACAACAGGAAGTCACGGTGGGTGATGGTGGGGACTCTGGGACTGACAGAGAATAGAGAATACCACTGCAGCCACCGAGTTAGAGGGCAAAAAACATGCATGGACATGGACGGACGCTGACAACCCACATCTCTTCGATTACATGCCATGTACTGTGCACAGCACAGCGCAGCACAGCTCAGCACAACGCAGCATAGCACAGCACAGCACGGCACGGCACAGCAACCATTCTCCATGGATGGCCACTGCGACCACACCGTCGTGCTAGTACTAGTGCTGGCCTGTCATCACTCTTTCACCATGTCATGTCCTTCATCCAAACCTGGGCCTCCCGGCCAGCATTCGCATTCGCTTGATGGCTAGCTAACGGGAATTCTGCTCTGTCTCTAGTTGCACTCCCCTCGCTGCTCCCTCGACAGCCTCGTCTCCAGGGGCCCAATGGACGAGGGACGAGGGACGAGTACCGGGTACTAAGCGGTATATTCTGCTACTGTATATCCGACAACCCGTGCCATGGCAGGGCATGGCAGGGCATGGCAGGGCATGGCAGGGCACAGCAGGGCATGGCACAGGAGAGTTCCAGATCTGAGCCAGCCACGACATCGCAATCCCACCACAACACGCGGTGCAGCACGGTCTGGCCATCAACGATCTGCGCGTCCTCTCCTGCCCTGTCCTGCCCTTCCATGTCGCCCAGCATCATCACCAGCGTCAGGATCCGGGCGAGCTGGCGGAATTTCCATCGCCAATTGACCTATCCAAACCTTACTCACAGTCGGCGACCATGCCACAGCGTTTCTGGAAACCCGACGGTTACAGAATAAGTCCATGTGCAGACTCCTGGCCCTAGCACTAGTCCCCAGCCCCGATCCCAGACCATGGAATCAAATCAAACCAACGCGGTGCCAGTGTCAATTAAACCTCCGATTGTCGTCAGCACAGACACGCAGGAAAACACACAGCAGACACCCAGGTCGGCGAGGTCACTCAGGCCATCAAGCCTGCAGAGGTCTGGCCAACTTATCTGGTTTCCAAGGGGGCGAGGGACGCGAGAGGCCTGAACCTGAACCTGAGCCTGAACTGCTTGGGTCAACCTACCTCCGCATGTTGCCTACACCCTAGGTACCCGCGGGTCTGTTTTGTGTTTTGTGTTCGTGTGCGGAATGCTAGGGGGTAGGGACTGGGGGGGCGTGAAGGTGAGGCTACTGCAGCCGCGCCTGATGCCACCGGATCTGAAGCTAAGCAACCATGCCCGATATCATGCCTTGGTGTCCCATAACAGGCTTGCCGTCAACCCGTCTGAACAAGCTTGCAAGCCCGGCCCCGGATCCCCTAAAACATGCAATTCGATTGCCCCAGTACCTTGTGGCTAACCCCTTCAACGGTAAGAGAGGTGCTGTCTGTACAGTACTCGTACAAGGTAAAAGTGCTTGGGTGCAGTACTGCGGCAGACAAGGTGATCGCATCCACCTATATTGTTCTTCTGGGGGTTCGATATGTGCGCGGACGCGCCACAGTAGAACGTGGTCATCACATCTCCAGGTTTATTACAATTCCTCAGCCCTGCAAGTGCTTGAAGGATGGAACAATTAGATCGATCGCGTTGACAAGTCAGAAATTGCTGCAGGTACAATGCCGACACTACTTGCTCTGCCCGGCTATTCTCTGGCACAAGGTCGGCCGGTCATCGCCTCGATCCGTCAGGTCGCACAACAAGGTCGCAATTCTACCCATCCGCTAGTGCAGTCAGAGTACGGGTCACTAGCACAGCAAGCTACAGCACCCTGAACGTCATGTTACGGTCGTGATCTCTCCCGGCCCCCGTTGCCTGGGATACCTTGCTGGGCAAATAGACAGATGTTCGCATTAGGGACCAGCCACGGGTTCCATGCCGATCCCATGCACATCAAAGTCACCATTCATCCTGTCCCAGTCCCTCTAGCGGCACCCGGGTCCCCTGAAAGTGGCCTGATATTACTAGCTCGCCTGATATCCCTAGCTGCCCTGACCCTGGCTATGGTGCAGAACGAGATGCAGTCTTTTGGGCCGTCATCATGGTCGGTGATCTACTGCCCGCATCCGCAGAACAAGTTGCATACTGCGGATGAGGTAACAGAAGGAGCGGAAGGGGGTGGGAGGGTGTATGTGAGGGGCGACAGAGAGAGGCTGGGTGTCATCGGAAACACAAATCAAAGAGTTGCGAGCGGATGCAGCACCCTGTCTGTTCGCAACGGCGCTCCTCTCCGCCCTCCAACCAGCCGTCCATCGAGACTCAACTCAATCAACCTTCACTCTCTAGCCCAGTCGGATTCCGCGTCAAAGGGTCCCGTCCTCTGTACCACCCAGCACCAAGCACCCAGCACCCAGCACCACAGTGGTAGCAGTTCACCCCCAAGCGCTGCACACCCTTCTGACCAGGCCGCGACCAGGGGTCCAACCTGTCTGTCATCGGGGCACCCAAAGCTTAACCCGGAGATGCGAAATGCACACCTCTAACTTTTTTACTTTCCCTCGCCAGTTTTCGACCCCCAAAATGATACCACCTAGGAAACTTCCTCCGCGATGACCCCCTGACGAACTGCGCGCTGGCTGGCCCGCGCGGGCATATGCACAGTCTTGAAACAAGAGAAGAAGGGGAAAGAACACACAAACGACGAGGAAACTCCTGTCGAACAAAAAATAGCGTGCAACCCGCGCGGCTGAGTAGTCAGCCTCTAGCACCTCCGGGCGCCCATAGAGAAAAACAGAGGTGCGCAAAAAAACAGGCGAACTCAAATCAAAAGAGAGGCATAGCTGCGAGCTGATTCGTATGCTGGCCCACCCCGAGGGATATCGCTCTGCGCTCAGGCTTGTTTTCCTCCCTGTGTGTGTATGTGCGTAACATGATGTTTGGCCTGCTGGCCCTTCTGGTTCGTCGGTGCGTCCGTCCTTCTCTCTCGTCACCCACACAACCGCGAACCCGATCTGCGATATTCCATAATTGGCACCAGGCTCAACTCTGTCTTCGATCACGCCTCTTACGTACACACTACCACCTGCCATTACCGGCTCCAAAAATGGAACAAAAGGTAGATAGATAGAGGAAGCGAGGCGAGGATAGGAGGGTAGACATCAATTCATCACGAGGGGACAAATTTCGGGAAAGCTTCGCAACCAACGTACGTCACTTGGCCTGGCTGCATTGGGTTCTTCATCCTGGTAGCGAGCGCCTCCGTGGTCGGCATAACCCGAGCGCATTTCCCCAGGGGAATAGTCGGTCACGTTTGGAGTGTGTAGACAACCAAAGAGGTAACCATAGGCATGTGCTCTGTTACACCAAGTAGTTTTACCTAGTTATGCTAGCATTCGCTTGCAACAAGCCGGACAGCTTCCCTCCTCCTGCCGGAGCAGCCGCCAAACACAACCACCACCAGAAACCACCGCCACCAAAGAGTAGGCACGTTACAACTTGCTTCCCAACACAGTATGTGGTCTCCTGGGGAAAGTATAGACGATGAAGCATTTGAAGTGAGAAAACAAAAAATGTCCCAATTATCGGTGACGCCGAATTCCCAGGAGGTGTTAAAAAAAAGTATGGGAGGTTTCCATCTGAACAATGCCTCGTGGTTTCTCCTAGCCACACACCCGCCTGTGGCCTTGGGGCCTATCCCATCGCTCCCTAACCCAGCTATCTTTCCTGATCGGGGCGAACTCCCTACTCCAATATATGATCATTTTGATGAAGCGAACAAAAAAATAAGACAATGCGGCCCATGCCTCACCCTCGGAGGGGGGGTTTCCTTTCCCATCAATGCACAAGTGTGCACGTGCCGCATCGGACTTCGTCCCGTTTCCCGTTTTGGTGGCCGTCTCTCTCTGAAAACGCCTTTGGGGCGAGCCCTCCCGCCGCCCGCCGCCGCCGCCCGTGGTTGTTGTTAAAGGATTCGCACTCGAGTGAGGCGTCACTCGAACTGGTATCCTGGTCCCATTTGTTCCCAACCGGTGTCCACGCCAGAACGCCAGAATCACAATAAGTCTTGCCATACGCCCACAATTCCGCCCGTAGTCCATGGTCGAGTCCCATCTTGACCATAATCAGTCGTACCGAAGCCACGAAAAACACCCTTGCGCCTGCGTACAAAAGAAAGTGCCGCCTGTTTTGGAGGTGCCTTGCCGGGGGTCAGGCGGCTGTTTGACCCTGTAGGGATGACGACGGTTTCCCTATCGGTGAGTGCCAGACTGCGAGGCGTGCGGCCAAGCTCCATTCATAGATCTTCCAGCCGTCGATAGGTAGGAGTTGCTGTCGTGCGTAGAATTCCAACCGGCGAAGTTGGGCGATGAGAAGTAGTGGGAGTCGCGGTGTGATCCATCTATAGAAGTCCCCGAGAGAGACGGTATGGAGGTCAGCGTGGCTCCAAGAAGTCCATCAGGTAGAGGTGTACTCACTGGAGGTGCCATCGTGGTCACAGACGGGGCTGCGAAATCCATCGTTGTTATTGGCGGGTCAGAAATTGCACTGACATGTGACGGGGGGGCCATGGAAGTCACGGATGGCTTGTAATCCACCGTGGAGTCGGCTCCCATTGTTGTCGATGGCAGCGACGGCATCGCGTAGGAGGAGGTAGCTGGTTGATAATAATGGTGCGATGTCCTCGCATCTGTGTGAGTCATGCCACCGGGCGAGAAGAGATCCTCCGCTCCGCCGTTAGACTCGTAAGCCTCTGAGCGTCTTCTCTTGCTGCCGCTCTCAAAGTGTGGTGGTAGGGTCGCGTTTGAGGCGTATGTAGGAAGATTGATCGATGGCGCGCGAGGCCGATGATCCCAAGGCACGAAGCCGCCCTGAGAGTGACCAAAATGACCACCAAGCTGTAGGCTGGAGCCCATAGGCTGGTGCATGTGCATGGGCATGTGGAAGTGGTTCTGAGCACCGTATGGCGCCATCATTGGCATCTGAGGCAATGACATTGTGCGCTCCAAGCCAGACTGTGGCGCGTAGCCCATGCCGAGCATCAGGGCTCGCTCGTCCATGATCCGCGGGTCCTCCTGTTCGACTGGTACGCGGAAATCCTGTTGTCCTAGCAATTCATGGCGAGGCCGAATGCTGAGAAGCTTGGGATCTTGTGAAGGGGTCGGCAGGTTGCCAGCGCTCGCGTCCTCAAGAGAGTAGTAGCTGACAAGATGATGCATAACACCCTGCCATTTGATGCTGATGGTCTTCTTGATCAGGCCACCCTCCTTGAAAGGGTAAGAGTCAATGAGAGACCCAAGAAGTGCTCTTTGCCTCTCGTCGTTGATCGATCCAGGAGAAGCGGTCATGTTGGAGTTTCCGTTTGAAAGCTCAGGCTTGCCGTCTCTCTTCCTCTTGATGGCCCTCTTCTTGTCACCGGGAGGGAAATTCTTGTCCAGCTCGCGATAGATCAAGAAGTTGCCCAGGATTCTACTAGGACTCCAGTTCTGGCCGTCGGTCCATCGCTTTATGCCGGAGGAGGATTCCTCGTAGACAAAGACATTGCCGCTCTGGATCAGGGAGTCGCGTTCCCTGTCATGTGGGCGGCGAGCCGTGTGCATGAGTTGGCCGTTCAGGCATGCCTCAATAACTCGCAGGGCATCATAGGTGGTCATCACTATGCCGCGCCAGCTGGGGGCGAGGACATTGTTGTTGGTCGGTGTTGATGGAGAGGGAAGGGGCTGTGGGTGGTGTGCTTGTTGGTGAACTAGATCATCCATGGCGGGTGGCAGCGGTGGTTGACCCTGCTGTAGAGCAAAGTCGGAGGGCATTGATGCAGTGATAAGCGGTATCTGTCGAGGTATGCTGGCGGGGCCTGTGGCAGACCACACCAAGCATCAAGTACGCTGAAGGTTCGTCAAGTAAACAGCAGTGGCACTGGAATAGGTGAAGCTTCCAGGGAACCGGCTGGCAGCACTGAGACGAGGGGATTATGATTATATGTGCGGACCACGTCGTCTGATTGTTTGGGGAGAATGTTGTCCGAGTCCTTGGCTTGAGAGCAATAAGTGTCCCATAGACTGAGGAGAGTGAAGAATGACGACAGCCGACGACAGGTGAGGTGGGCGAGAAAGAAAGGCGGAAGATCGGCGTGTTAAGTAAAGTGACAATGGGGGCCCTGGTTGAAGCCTGACAAGCCCTTCTGCGTGTAGGGTTGCGCCTGGCTCTTGGAGTTCCCGGGTTGGCTGGCTTGGCCCAGCCGTCGACGAGACGTCGAGTTTGGAGATGGATGTAGCTGAGAGCTCAAGCTGAGGCAGGCTTGGCTCAGTGCGGATGCGGGTGCGGGTGTGGGTGCCTAGTGAAGGAGAAAACACCACCCTTCTACTCCAAGTGTGTGTGCGAACTCAGTGCCGCAATATCAAAGTGTCGTATTCGTGATGGACAACTGCCGGATGAGGTGAGAACACAATGTGTTAGGGCCTGCTGCTGTTGGTGGATGATGCTCCTGAACAAGACGGCGGGTGAGTGCCGGTCTGCCTTGTTGACGAAGGAGTTTCCTGAGGAGCGGTGAAGTGAATCTGAGATTGGACAAGAGAGGTCGAAGAGACAGCAACGGCGTAGACAAGAAGAGGTCTACAGCTTATTAGTATGCTGCGGTCCGATGCTCGTGCAGGAAAGCTCTGCAGTGTGAGAGTGGGCAACGCCTGAGAGGACAATCATTGCACTTTTAGACTTTTTGGGGGAGCACAGGTTCCCCTGGGCTTTGGACTTTCAATGTACTCGCGGATGTGGGTACCTAGGGGTGTGTGAATGAGAGCGAGTCTTAGGGGGGTGCAATGAGCAGTGGGAGTAGGTACGGTACCGCAGTACCTGGACTTGGACTGGGACTTGGACTTGGGCAGGACATGGCAGAGGACAGGCTCCCATGTCATGGGCAGGGAGACAGGGGTGGAGGGATGACGCCTGGTGGGAACTGGGGTAGGCAGATGGGAAGAGAGGCCTCGACGGAGGGCGGAGTGGGGGACGACGAGGATGGGCTGGGAGTGGATGGGGGAAGAAGGGCTTAGCGGTAGACCAACCTTGGAACATTGATGAGGTGGACGAGACGACCGGGGCCCTTTCTCTCGTCCAGGACCAGCCCAGTGGACGCCAAATTAGTCTCCCGCCCCGAGTGCTAGCAGTAGTAGCATCAGTAGGCGACGTCGCGAAGTAGCCCCAAAGTCCTCTCCAACAGAGCCGACGGATCAGATGGTTCCCGGAGTGGATGTTGCAAAGGCTACCTGCCTACTTAGCACTACCAGTTTTATGCGGGATTCAAGAGACTCACCCGTCGGCCGGCCGTGTGATCAAGAGAGCAAGAGAGTGGCTTCTGCTGAGGTTGATACTGCGGTGGGGAGAATAACTGATCAATGATCACTTGGCAAGTGCTGAATTTGCTCGAGAGCGTGATAAGGCCCAAATGAGACGACGATCATGTGCAGTTGTGGAGTCCCTTGGGAGCCAGTAACACTGTACATGCTAAACCATATAAGGCTTCAAAAAGGGCAATGTACGACGGCCGCGCGCGGTGTCATTACACTAATCAGCAATAAGGGGTGAATGAGCGGAGGCTGATATTTGGGATATAAAAGCATATCGAGAGTAACGGAGGGACACGGTTCATTCGACAAGGGCCCATCATGCTCACCGTGAGATGCTTGCAAGTTGAGCCCTCAGTCGACCGACGTATACCTATGCTGGTCTGTTCGGTTGTTGCGTTTGGTCCGGTTAGTCTTAGGACCGGCTCCGAAGGAAGCACCGAACAAAGGGCCACGTCCGACTCATGAAAGTAGCCATTGCCGTCTGGTCCTGGCCCCAACGCAAGGATGCGTTGTTTGGACCAAGTGTTCATAGTCGAGATGAAATCGCTTGGTACATCCACAATTGAACGGAAAAATCTCATCAATTGGCTTTGCCAATGCGGGCTGGCCAAGGGCGAATATTGGACCACGTTGAGAAAAGCATCGCGGGAAGGGGAACTGGGTCATCCTCACCAGCGTCGCTTCAAAACGGAGCGGGTAGGCCAGGACAAGGACGACAGTGAGGGCTTGCCACCAAGCAGCCCAGGTAGCCCTGTAGGCCACCCCCTGGGCATCACCGAGAGTGAAAGATCAGATGGAGACCGCCTTTACGAGCCGCAATCTCGCCATGCAACAGTCATCCTGCTACTGTTCAGCCCAGAGCATACTTCCTGCTTGATGCCCAATCACTAGCTCATCTCATGGCGGTTGAGATGGTAGGGGTGTTGGTGGCCATTGTTCGCAAGCGCCAGCCTGGAAATGACGGGCAGTGGAGGAAGGGGGGGAGGAGGACGAGGAGGAGGACGAGCTCGGGGCGGGAGCACGGACACGCTGGGGTCCGCCGGCAGGGTCGAGCGTGTAGGGAGTAGGAGAAATGTGTTCCATCTTGTCGTGGGTCGTGGGCCGTGGAACAGTAACCCGCACTGCAATATGAGCAGCAGAGTCTATTAGGTAGCATCGGTGTGGTTTCGTCAAAACACGTGGAAGGGCTGGCTCCAGCAAAACCCGCCCCTCCCCCTTCATCTCCTCTTCCTCTCTCCGCGATGCTCGCCGCTTCTGTCCAGTCGCGTCCTGTCCAGTCGAGTCCCTGTTCTGTTGTGATCAGCCGGCACTTTCCGGCACGGAAAACCTCGCAGGATGGTACGCGATCGAGTCAGTTCGGAAGCATGAAGTCGTGGAGTGGAGCCGTCTGATTGGCCAGACACGGCATTTTGTTTTGACCGTCTGGGTCCAAGTCGGCGATAGGTCTCGCCGATTGTCCGACTGTCCGGCCGTCCGACTATCCGACTGCGTTCTCGCCATTGGATCTTGTCCGGGTCCAGAGTTGCTCTGATGGTGTCTTGTACATGGGAAGAGACACACACACAGTAGTAGGTCGCAGGCAGATGTTGATGGTGCCGGGTCCAGTACGTGTGCGGTGCTGCGGCTGCGGCTGCGGGAGGGACGATGCTATACCGTTTTGGTGGTTGCACCCCATGTCTGTCTCTGAATGCCACAACATGCTATTTCCCGCCCGAGGACCCTTCCTGCATGCTCCTGCGTCCTGCCATCTGGCATCTGGCAGTTGGCATGGGCATGGGGGCGTGTGCCTTGCCGACAAGGGCTGCCATCACAAGGGGCAAGCGTAAGCGCAAGCGCATACAGAAGCACAAGCACATGCAGACGCCTGCCAACCGTCGTGTGATCTAATGCACGATCGCGATATTGCCATCTGCTTGACCGGAATCGTTCACGACCCCCTGGTGGGGCTTCCGTCGCGGCCAAGCTGTGATACGAGTGGCTGCCGTGGTATCAGATGCAAAAAGTGGGACTTGGGGCAGGACCCGTCCTGTATACGCTGCAACACGATACTGTGGTATGTACAGTACTGTGGTGCTGCATTAGAGAATCGAGCCCACCCGACCTCCACCCCCGGCCCCGGAGCATGGTGGAGGGTACGGAGTACATGGGAGGATGCAGGGAGGGTGGTGGAGGTGACAGTGCTTGGCAGGTGTGCTGGGGGGGGGGGGGGGGGGGTAATGGTGTGGGTACAACTATTGATGCCCGGGCAGAGAAGACGAGCATTGATGGTACTGTTGCGAGATACGGTACTGACGACGTATTGACTGCATCGCTTCGACATAGGGGTCCCTGGGGTCTGACTAGGTACAGGATGGCTAGGGCGTCCATTCAGTGCTTGGAACAGATCTGTTTGGAATGTTTGGGGCGCCGAACAACGGCCATGTCCGTGCCCACAGCTGGGCTGCAGCATCTGTGCTGGTGAATGATGCTGGTGTCCTATGCCAATACTAATGCCAATGTTGTTGTAGAGCGCGCGCTCGTCCCAGACAGACTGACTGTGACGGGTTTCCCGGTAAAGCCTCCCGGGAACGCATGGCAATGGCCCTGGGGACTGGCATGGGCACAGGGGCCACAACAGCACAGGGCATGATGTGCATTGCCATGTGCATTGCCATGTGCATGTCCTGTGCCATCCCGTCTGAAATCGATCTCGACTCTGGTCGCCAATAAACCCAACTCAGTGCCCAACCTACCAACCCAACACCACCCTCCCTGTCTACCCAATTCAGCCCAACAGCCGCCGCTTACGGCTTGCCGCGTCTGTTTCACCCATGGCTAACCTTAGCGAGGCAAGGCTGCACATTGTGCGCAGTGTGCGCAGCACAAGTTCCCGTCCCATCCTGAAGTTGTCGTCCTCGTCCTCGACATTCATCCTGACTCCACAAGTCCCTCAAAACAGCCGCAGTTGCCAGTGACCACGACAAACGCCGTTCCATCATGCCATGCCACGAATAGAGCATGCTGCGAGTGCCAAGCCCGGACGACCCGCTCGTCGCTGTTTCGCTCGCCTGCCTTGGCTTGGCGTAACTTTTCTGCCATCAGCTGGGTCTTGGCGGACCAGATTGCATAGCCATGCGCAGAAACCAGCGTGCGCCAAGCATCACCAACCGCCAAGCCCCGAGATATGGGTGGTGATCGAGTCAACGCCTACTAGCTCTCATGATGAGGTGTCCTCGGCGCGAAGCCACCTTGTGAGACTTGCCAAGACCTTGGAAGCTGAAGCGCTGCCCTGCGGGTCCAATTCTGGTTCGATTTTTCTTCATGCCCGCCTGCAGAATTCATTAAACCAACAGCGGTGACTTGTTTCGCCGACCTGAAGAGAGATGGGAGATCACCTGCAGGTCCCAGCCCTAAGTTTGGTACGCCAAGTTTGGCTACAAAACAACTCCCGAGATCCAGATCTGTGGGCTCACGATCATCCGGCAGACCCG